AGGCAACTCCGGCGGCCGCCTTCCGCCCACCCCCGCCCGCAGGCCCTCGTCCCACCCAGCCCGCGGTTCGACTCATCTTCGCCACAGCCCCCCCCACAAACGCGCTTCTCATCGTCTTTTCTCTTTCTCTTTCTCTCTTTCTTTAGGCTGCGTTCCGTCATACGCCCCCGTCAGGCCCACTGCCTCCGCAGCCGGTGGGTCATCCGGCGTACGCCGCGCAACAACAACCGCAGACGGCCTACAGCGCGCCGGTCCAGCAGCACCAACAGCAACAGCAAGCCTACGCCTACGGTCAGCAGCAGCAGCAGCAGCAGTACTACGACGAATCCCAGCAATATCAGGAGGGTGGCTACTACGACGAGTCGCAGCAGTACCAGGAGGGCGGCTACTACGATAATGGCTCCTACAACAACTACCAGTACCAGTAGTTGTAGTCTGTTGTAGTAGTAGAACATGATAAAGCATACTTATTTTATATCCCAGCAAGGCCACTGCCTTCTGGCTCATGGCGAGCCAGCTAGCGTGATGGCCTTTCGCGACTCGAACGGGCCGTCGGTGCTGCGCGCCATGAGGTGCACCTCGCCCACCGTGAATCGCAGCTCTGTCCACTCGCTTTGGTACTGCGTCCGCATCCGTTCCGCTTCTTCCTGTAGACGGGCACTCACGCTCCCGAGCATGAGTTCACTCCCTTCGGCCCCTAAGGTCACACACACTTACACCCCAAGGTAGGGGCCTGCACCTTGTCGACGAAGTGACCCACCGTCAGATGCGGCACGAAGGGCGCCTGTGCGCCGCACTTGGGAAGCGCACGCACCACGCCCTCAAACACTCGCTGCAGCCCATCGGCCGGCTATGTGGTGTGTGCGGTGTGTGCGCGGTGAGATAAGCACATGCAGAGAGGGCAAGCTCGAAGGCAGGGAGGTGGCGTGCCTCAGGCTCGGGCACGAGGATGAGGGTGAGGGCCTTCTTTTGGCCGGCCATGAACTCGAACCGTCGCAGCCGCACCTCGACCGGCGGGAGGTGCTGCAGCTCGCGGCGCAGCTTGAGCTCGGCGTCGTCGAACTCGCCGGCGTCGATGAACGGCGAGGCCACGGTGAAGTGCGGGTAGGGGGGGCGCCGGACGTGGGGCGCCATGTGGCGGGCCTTGATGGCGAGCAGGGGCGGCCACAGCTCGGCGGGCGGCATCAGCACCGCCGTTAACTTTGTGAATGGCACCTGCGCCTCCTGCTCTCGCCGCAGTTCCGCCTCATGCACAAGCCACCAGTTGTCCACCCCAAGCTCCAGGCCCATCGCCACGCCCCACCCGTACCAGTGCACCCTGCTCTCCTCCTCCATGTTTTTTATATTGTTTATTCTGTGTGTCTGATCATTTATTTAATGTGCAAATGGGCGTTCTGGGATAATTCTCGTTATGAGGAATTTATGGCATGCGGTCTGAGGAATGTGCTGAGGAATGTGGTGACTTAGTGTGCGTGAGAGCGACAGCAACGCCACGGCGCTACGCACACGAAGCGTAGAGACAGAGAGCAGAGAGAGAAGATGCACAAGCTGGGTGGGGGAGGCGGTGACAAAAGCACGGTCAAGGTCAAATTCGAGATCACATTCAAGGGCGTGTCGGGCCTCGGGCCGGTGGGTGATAAAGATGGAGCCAGGGAGGTCTACTTGGCGTGGAAGAGAGGATCGAAGAAGGGCAACCGCGGCGAGACCAAGCATGCGCCACTCGCTGCGGGCGCCAAAGACGCTGGCGCTGCCCAGTGGAACGAAACCTTCAGTGTCCAGGCCACGATGCTCCTCTACGAACGCCTCAAGAAATTTGACAAAAAGCTGATTGATGTCACCCTAAAGGAAGTACGTCCCTCGCTCACTTCTGCATCCATCAATCCTGCCTGCCATGCACTCTGTTTTTAATTATGGCCGAGATTAAATCTCGGGATGCACAACCCGTGGCTGACTTGAGGGGTGTTGGCATGGTACAGGTGCAGAGTGGAGGAAAGAAGGCCAAAGAGCTGGGCAGCCTTGAGGTCAACCTCGGCGACTTTGCGGCCAACGGCACAAGCGTCAGCAAGGACTTCAAATTCTCCAAGTACCTCCTCCCTCCACCTTGCCTTCTGCGCTGACATGTCGCATGAGTCCACCATGCCATCATGACGCATGACCGTTGGTGCTCGAACGTTTTTGGCTGTGCGCTGCTTCACCCTTTGTTAACGGTACATCTTTTTTCCACACCCCAGGATGAAAGGAGCAATGAACCCGCTTCTATCGGTGCTTTTCTCCAACCCACATGCGTGCCAGGTGTTGTTTGCGCGACGTTGTGTGTTGTTAACTGGAATACTTGTGGTGCTCATGCAGGTGCACATCAAGTCGCAGTGGACCAAAATCAACGGCAAGTTGATGGTCAAGAAGTGCGACCCTCACACGCTGACGTAATCCTCTTCGCTTTCTTTCTCACGATTGCTGATACCGACAGGAGCGGTAGCGGTGAGAGCGGACAGGACGACTATGACCTGGTCACAGACGACGAAGGTTCCGATACGTCGGAAATCTCTGAGCTCGATACCGACGCCGAGAGCGACACCGAGACCGACGTACGTCAGTCCGCCCCAGCTCAGCTCCCCATCACCACACTCCACTTCGTTTGCAGGCCCGCGTGACCGTGATCTGTCTGCCCACGAATGATGAACTAACTTTGCTGGGCTCAACATCACCAGGCTTCGGACTCGGAGTGGGGTGAGGATTCGGACTCAGAGAAGATTAAGGCGGCCGCCCGCGCCAGGGAGAGCGGCGAGGGCGGGACAGTGAGCGAGAGCGAGGTCGCCGAGGGCGACGAGGCGAACTTGAAGCGGAAGCTGGAGGAGGAGGAGAAGAAGATGCAGGCCATGGAGAGCATCTACAGGAAGCTGCGCAAGCGCGAGAAGGAGAAGAAGAAACTGATCGAGCTCGCCAAGCGGGACAAAAAGAAACTTGAGGAGGCCACCAAGGAGAACCAGCGCCTCCAGCTCGAGCTCGAGGAGGCCGCGGCCAAGGCAGCTGCCAGCTCGGCGCCCAGGGAGGAGGTCGTCAACGACGCCAAAGCGGCGGAGCAGGCCGAAGCGGTGGAGCGGCTTCAGCGAGAAAGCGACGAGGCCAAGCAGGAGACTGAGCGACTGAGGCTCGAGGTGGACACCCAAGCAAAGGTAGCTGCCGCGCTGGCGCTAGAGGTCGAGGCGCTCAAGAAGGAGGCCGCAGAGGCAAAGAGCGAAGCGGAAGCGAAGACCAGCGCGCTGCAGGAGAAGACCCAGGAAACGGAGCGGCTGACGCGCGAGGCCACGGAGGCAAAGAGCGAAGCCGAGACGGCCAGGAGTGAAGCGGAAGCGAAGGCCAACGCACTGCAGGAGAAAACCCAGGAAGCGGAGAGACTGGCGCGTGAGGCTGCGGAGGCAAAGAGCGAAGCCGAGGCGGCCAAGAACGAAGCGGCAACGACAAAGAGCGAAGCCGAGGCGGCCAGGAGCGATGCCGAAGCGAAGGCCAACGCGCTTCAGGAGAAGACCCAGGAAGCGGACCGACTCGAACGCGAAGCCGCGGAGGCAAAGAATGAAGCCGAGGCGGCCAAGCGGGAGGCGGACGAGCGGCGCTCGGGAGCCCAAGAGCAGACGGAGGAGGTCGAGCGACTCCGTCAAGAGGCCGCCGCGGCCAAGAGCGAAGCCGAGGCTGCGAAGAATGAGGCCGCAGAAGCCAAGGCTGCTATCGATGCGGCAAAGAGCGAAGCCGACGCGGCCAAGAACGAGGCGGAAGCGGCCAAGAACGAAGCCTCGAGCGCTAAGAGCGAAGCCGAAGCGGCCAGGAGCGAAGCCGAAGCGAAGGCCAACGCGCTGCAAGAGAAGAGCCAAGAAGCGGAGCGGCTCGCGAACGAGGTCGCCGAGGCAAAGAACGAAGCCGACGCGCGTCGTCAGGAGCTGGAGCAGCTGAGGAATGAAATGAACGCCAAGGCCGAGGCCCTCGCCGCTACCATCAGCGCCGCCGAAGCCAAGGCCAATGCGGCCCAGCGCGACGCCGATGCCAAAGCGGAGGAGCTCGAGCGTGCCAATCGCCTCAAGGCCACCCGCGAGGCCGAACTCGAGGAGAAGAAGCGCGAGCTGGAGGCCCTCCTGCAGCAGAAGAGCGACGGCGACCAGGAGGGCGTAATCGCTACGATTCGCGACAGCCTCAAACACAAGGAGGACGAGCTCGCGCAAGTCCGACAGCAGCTCGACGAGAAGGAGAGCACTCTGAGCGAGAGGGACCGACAACTCGCCGAGCTGCAGAAGGCCAAGGACGACGAGCTCGCCCAGGTCCGACAGCAGCTCAGCGAGAAGGACGGCGCGCTGAGCGCCAAGGACCAGCAGCTTGCCGAGCTGCAGAAGGCCAAGGACGACGAACTCGCCCAGGTCCGCCAGCAGATCGAGGAGAAGGATGGCGCGCTCGGTGCTAAGGACCAGCAGCTTGCCGAGCTGCAGAAGGCCAAGGACGACGAACTCGCCCAGATCCGCCAGCAGCTCGACGAGAAGGACGGCGCGCTGAGCGGTGCCAGCGAGCAGCAGGCGGCGGAGCTGCAAAAGGTGAGAGACGAGCTCGCCCAGGCCCGACAGCAGCTCGATGACAAGGACCGCGAGCTCGGTGGCGCCAGCGAGCAGCAGGCGGCCGAACTGAAGAAGGTCAGCGACGAGCTCGCCCAGGCCCGGCAGCAGCTCGACGAGAAGGAGGGCGCGCTCAGCGCGAAGGACCAGCAGATCGCCCAACTTCAGGCCACCGCCGGCGAGGAGCTGTCCAGGGTGCGGCAGCAACTCGAGGAGGAGAAGCAGAGCGCACTGGGCGCGCAGGTCGCCGAGCTGCAGAAGCGCGAGCTCGAGTCCGAGCAGCTGCGGGCCAAGCTGCAGGCGGCCGAGGACCAGGTCGCCGCGGCCAACGCCGCCGTCGAAGCCAAGGCCCAGGAGCTGGCCGAAGCCGAAAAGCGCAACCGCGAGAGCGAGGACAAGCTCAAGGCCGCTGCCGCCGCTGCTGCCGTCGTCGTGCCTGTGGCCGCCGCTGCCGTCGTTGCGCCGTCGCCCAAGGGCAAGAAGAAGAACGGCGGGGCGCAGGCCCAGCAGGCGGCCCAGGCCCAGCAGGCGGCCGAGGCAAATGTGAGCAAGAACGAGCGCAAGAAGTTCAACCGGGAGATCAACGCGCTCAAGGAGCAGCTCAAGAAGAGGGACGAGCGCGAGCACCAGCTCCAAGCCACCATCACCCAGCTCGAGCAGCAAACCACGGCGGCGGCCAAGGCTGTGCCACCACAGCCGGAGGCGACCACCACCACGACCAGTTCGAGCGGCACGAGTGGCGAGGAGAGCGCCGAGGACAAGAAGGCGGCCTTCAAGAAGCGACTGGAGCTGCAGCTGCAGAAGACCACCCCCGGCATGCTGCCCGCCCAACGTCGCCGCGCACTCAGCGATCCCGACCGATCGAATACCGGTAACACAGACTATACCGCACACACGACACGCATGACACACAACACACACACACACGACACAGCGCTCAATATGTGTATGTACAGAAGCACCGGTGGAGTCTCGGTCGGAGATCGTGAGGCCGACTGGTGAGCGATTGGCGTCGATGAGCAAGGACAAGCCCATGCAGACCGGCAAGAGACCGCCGACGCGCGTGGGCGGGAGCCTCATCAGATCCCGCAGCAACTCGGAGGAAAGCGTCGCCAAGGTGCGCACACAATGGGCAAGAGGGGCGACGAGCACACGCGCTAATTGCCTTCCCTCGCATACATGAACAGTTGCAACAGGAACTGTTGGCCAAGGACGAAGAGATCCGTCAGCTCAAAGAACAGCTGGACGCGGTACGACACGCGTATGACACGACACGCACACGACACACAGCTGATTATTGTCACAGTCATCAGTGGCGGTGGCTGGTGCCAGCGGAGCTGGTACGGCAGTGGCGGAGGAGGAACTGGGCAGGCTGCGCGATGAGCTGGAGAGCGTGCGTGCGGCCAAGGAGCTCAAGGAAAACGAACTGGAGAGCCGGCTCAGCGCGCTCGACCACGACCTGGCCGAGGAGCGCAAGCGCACCGAGCAGCTGCTCGCCGCCCGTGTGAGCGGCGAGGAGCAGGAGACCGCCCAACGCCAGGCACTCCTCGACACCGAGACCCAGCGGCTCAAGGCCGAGCTCCATCAGAAGGACGACCAGCTCAAGCTCGCCGCAACCCAGCAGCAGGACATGGTACGTACCCCCTCCCCGCCTATCATCGCCCCTCATTGGGTTTCTTTCTTCACGCACCGCTATATATCTTTACATCATCACCTATACATATATATATTCACACACACCCATGCCGTATATGTTGTATATATATCTCTATTCTCTATGTATGGGGAAACCAGAAAGGGATATTGGCGGAATTTCAGGCTCAGCTCCCCTCACTCTCGGTCTCACTCGCTTCTCTCGCCGCAAAGCTGCGCGAGGAGGAGGAGAAGGTCAAGGCCCAGGAGGCCGAGCTCGAGCGCCAGCGCGCCCAGGCGGAGGCCCTGCGCGAGCAGCTCGCGGCGGCCGAGGCCGAGACTGGCGCCCTGCGCGAACAGACGCAGACGCTCGAGGCCGACGTCGAAAAGCTGCGCGCGCAGCTCGCCCTTCACGTCGACTCCGACAATGGCGACCGCGACGCGCAGGCACAGGCGCTGATCGGCGCGCAGGCCCGCGTGATCGAGCTTGAGGCCGACGTGCGTGCGAGGGAGCACGAATGGGACAGCGCGCGCACGCAGCTGCAGACCGAGCTCACGGCCGCCGAGACCCAGCTGGAGCAGCTCAAGGCCGAGCTGGCCGAGAAGGACAGCGTGCTCGCCGGCGTCCAGCTGCGCGTCGTCGCGCTCGAGAACGAAGCCCACGCCGCCGCCACCGCCGCCACCGCGAGCGACAGCCAGCGGGAGGAGATCGAGCGCCGTGACGACGAGATCGCGCAGCTCAAGCAGCTCGTCGCCAGCCTCATGGCCACCAAGGCCGACAACGGCGAGAACGGCGACAAGAAGAAGGGCGACCTTGGTCGCAGCAATGGCGGCGACGACGATGGTGATGGTGGCGAGCTGAAGGCGAAGGTGAAGGACCTGCTGCGCAAGGTGAGGGACGGTATGCGCATCGAGAGGGTGGTGTACGGCAACGTGGAGCTGAAGGGCGACGAGAGCGGGGCGAGCGACGACGATGCGGAGGCGGAAGCGGAGGACAAGTTGGGGAAGAAGGGGAAGAAGGGAAAGGGTCCGGACATGCGCAAGCGGGCGGAGCAGCTGATGGACTTCCTCCTGGAGCGCGCTGCGTTCGAGAGCGACGCCGACGGGCTCCTGCGGCATGTTGCCTCGTCTCTCCGCTCTGCCATCAACGTATGTCCACCGCACACACCGCACACACCGCACACGACGTTCTCATTTTGACTGTGGCGCGTGCGACACAACAGTTGGGCACGGCGGATATGGTGCAGCAGTGCGGCTGGCTTTCCTTCGGTACGCACCTGCTGCACCTGATCAGGAACGACGACTACGTGTGCGACCTCCTCCCCGCCGCCCTCCTCGCCGACCTGCACGACCCCAAGCTCCGCGGCATCCAAACTGTACCGGCCGGGTCGGCCGCCACAAGCAACGCCGACAGCGGCAGCGGCGGCGGCAAGCCGAAGGGCAAGGGCAAGACAACGTCGCCCCGGTGGAGCGACGACGGGCTCGACAAGAAGGGGCAGAAGGCCGAGGACGCCAACGCCGCCTTCGTGCTGGGCCTGCAGGCCACTGTCCTCACCGTCTACCGCAACATCCTCGACAGCGTACAGAAGGACATCGGTACGTACCGATGACGTTTTTCTCTTTTCCCTCGTTTTCTTACTTTTTCGGCGAAGGTGGGCCACTGACCGTCCAACGCTCGTACAGAGCCGTACCTGTTGCCGGCGATTTTGGCGCAGCCGGCGAGCGTGTTCTCCAACACGTCCGACCGAAAGAGCTCGGCATCAGCCAAGCTCCACGAGCTGCTCCGAGGTATGGAGACCCGACGACGCGCGCACGACACAACACACCACGACACAGGCCTAACCTCGAGTGTCACGATTCTTTCTTTTCTGTTCTTTTCTGTTCTCCATGATGCAGACTCGCTCAACACGCCGGAAGACATCATGCGGGTGCTGGACGGGCTGCTGGAGCGGTTCCGGCAGGCGGACCTCTTCCCGTCCGTCATCAAGCAGCTCTGCGTGCAGATCTTCTACTGGCTCGACATCTCCCTCTTCAACTACCTCGCCAAGACCGACGTACGCCATTGTTTGTTTGTGTTTACTTTTTTTCTTCTTTGTTTTGATTTTGTTTTTGTTTGTTTTTGTATGGGTGCTCACGACGGGGTCGGTGCACACGTACACGACAGAATCTGTGCACGTGCGGTAACGGATTCCAGATCAAGTACGCTCTGGCCGAGATCGCCCAGTGGTTCTACCAGCCCTCCGTGACGCCCTACATCGACTCTGCCACCGCGCGGTACGTGCGTGTATGCTTGCGTGCGTGCGTGCGTGCGCGTGTGCGTGTGTGCATTCACTCACGCACACGCACGCATCCCAAACGCAGGACGATGCTGGTGCGAATCAACGAGGCGGTGAACGTGTTGGTGATGGACCGCTCCATCTTCTCCAACGAGAGCATCGTGCGCGAGGTGTTCCCCACTCTCAACCCCGTGCAGCTCATGCACCTCCTCGACTCCTTCCGCCCCGACGAGTACCCCCCGCCCCGCCCCTCTTCTCATCTCGCTGTGTGCGGGTCCGCCATTGACTGATTTTCGGTGTATCCAACACAACAGGGTATCGTCGGAGCCGGTGCCAACGGAAGCAAAGCAGTTGCTGGCGCGCATGGCAGGCAAGGCGCGGAACACGACCATGTTCCTTCAGTTCGACACCTCTGTGCTGCTGCCCTCCGCCGAGGCGTGAACGCCCACACACACGTGGAGATGCTGTACAGACACGCGTGTGGTTTCTCAATTTTAATTTTATTATTTATTGATGCCTTCTCCCTTTACCGTGACATACCTGCGACTCAACTTTTGTGAGTCATGATGGATTTCTTCTTGCTTGGCGCAATTTGTCTTGTTATGGAGTAGTGATGTGATCTACTTGTTGGTGGCTTGCTTCCACTTGACTGTGGACTTTTACGTCACAGTGTCCTTATAGCTGGTGGGTGTGTAGAAGGTGAGAGGTGTGGGGTTGATGAAAGCTCTATCTTGATGTTATTGGCATGGATGCTGGAGTAGTGTCCTTCCCCCTTGGCCATGCAATGGTGGTGGTGGGCTGAGTGGTGTTGGCTTCACTGAGCTGGAGTGGCTGGCGATGTGTGGCACCATGGTGGGGTTGGGTGGCATGGTGTGAGCAGGCTTCACAGGTGGGGCTGGCAGCCAAGGTTAATTCAGGAAAGTGGCAACAGGCTGGTGTTGCTGACGTGCTACTGTGGTGGGTGATTGAAAGTAAAATGCAAAGCCACCCTGAGATGACAAACCAGCAGTTGGCCAACAACTTGCAATGCTCAAGATCTCTGATCAAGAAGGTCAAGAGGTGGTTGCAGGCAGGGGAGCGTGGCCCACAGGAGCATGGGTCAGGAGTGAAAAAGAAGATGGAGGAACACCATGTTGAACTGATGGTGGCGTTGGTGGAGATGAACAATGGAGCAAAAGGAAATACATTTTTGGATGTCCAGAAGAGCATTGAAGAGTGGATAGGGAAGTGATGGGGCTACAGCACAATCAATTAGGTTCTAAATTGAGAGCATTCCTGACAGAAAGTGACATTTGAGGACCATGAAAGTGGCTGCCAGTGAACTGTGAGCTCTACAAGAACTTCCTGTTGTGGTGCTTGACTGTCCCATTAGAGTGCCACTTCCAGGTCAAGGTCTTTGATGAGGCAAGGGTGGACCACACCCATCTTGGAAATCTGTCCTGCTGAGGCCAATGACCACTTTGGGAGTGCTACTGCTGAGACATCATTGTGGAAAGCTGGATGGTGACAGTCCTTACAGTGCTTGATGATGACTTCCCTCTGCTCTTCACCCTCATGCCCCACTCCAGCAACAGCAACAAATTCATACATTTTATTTCTTTTATTCTCCATTTATTCATGATGGCAACATTGTTCTCAGGGACAACTGCTCCTTCCACCAGCGTGGATGGGCAAGCATGACAGCACAAGGCATGATTGAGGAAGTGGGTGGAGAGTACAAGTGTCTGCTGAAGTACTCACCTGAGTTCAGCCCAGGTCTTTTCCTATCTCAAAACTCTCCTCCACTCATCCTTCCATGCATCCAACAATCTTCTGAAGGCAATAGTCTCAATCCTCAGCAAAGTCACCATGCCCAGAATGCTTGCCTGTGGATGGCTCTAATAAAACAATTTATTCATCTGCATCTGAATCACCCTCTCTTTCAGCAATCCATTCTCCAGTCCTCTTCTGCTACAAGCTGATCTGCCTCTCCTTCTAATTCAGCCTTCCTCTTGCAGATGAAGTACATCTGTTCATCATGTGGAAGATTGTGGGAGAGGGCTTTCAATTTGCTTGATATTTTGCTGATTATTGGGATGGAGATTGACGTAGCTGCAACTTGCATGGCCACCACATTCCTCTTCATTGGTGCATGTGTGCTTGCTGCTGAAGAGAAGCTGGTGGCAGAACTTCTGGCATCTCTTTGGCGGACAGGTTGCAGGGATGTGGATGGTTGTATTGCTTGGGGAAGGTGGGCTGAAGGAGGGGGTTGCTGGGGGTGAAAGATAGGAATAAGGGGCTGGTGGAATAGGAAGAAGAGGAGGTGCAAGAGTGCTGATAAGGCTTGCCTCATACGCTGCCCTCCCTTCTGCTGCTGCTACAAGCACCCTCTTTCAATCACCCAGCCACAACATGCCAATCTCCTTCAGTTCATCAGCAGTCACATAGATGATTGCCAACATTGAGCAAACCAATTGCATTGTTCTTGGTGGTGTCCTGCTCCATGGTGTTTGCCAACAACAAACAAAGAAACAGACACTGTCAAGTGCAATAGGCCATGGCATGGTTATCCTTTTTTTCTTACCCTATTTCCCACGTATCCCAATCCACCAGTTGGTGGACACGGTTTGCCAAGAATAGGAATAAGGCATCCCTTGTCTTGATGATTGGTTGACCGAAATTGGCTGCAATAATATTGACCACAAATGTCCACTCTTTTATCTCAGCGAAGGCAAACAGAACCTGACACACAACTCATTGGATGCAAATCAAAACTTGGCAGGTCAGCCTTCAAGGTAGGCGGTGTTGAGGTCACGTTGGTTGTGCTTGAGTGTGGACAGCGGGTATGCGGGTGCAAGAAGCACGTCCAGCTTCCGCTCCACCTCCGTCAGCCTCTTCTTCAACTGTTGGGAAGCAAAAAAACGCATTGCATCAGGACCAGGTGCGGTCGTGGTGCGTATTATTCGTGTGTGTACCTCGGTGAACTCGTCCCACTTCTGGCCACCGCCGGCGCCGGCGTGCTTCGTCTGCTTCTGCTTCTCGAAGAAGGCCTCCAGCTCGAAGTTGATGGCGTTCATGTCGAGGAAGGTGTCCAGCAGCACAAAGAACGGTCGCAGCTCCTCGCCCAGCCGCTCGAGCGCCACGCCACCGCTGCCCGCCGCCGTCGCTGCGGGCGCCGATGATGAGGTCGACGACAGGCTCTTGCGTACGTAGCTCATGCGGTCGGCCGTCTCGTGGAAGAAGGTGGGCGTGGCGAGCTTCTTGATCTTGAAGCGGCGGATGGCGAGCGACGACGATGCCGAGGGCGTGGCGTCGATGAGACCTAGCAGCTCGTCGGCGAGCCGCTCCTCGCCCTGTAGGAGTCGCAGGAGAGCCGACTTGAGCGCGATGGTGGGGTCGTGCGTGTGCGGCGCCAGCATGAAGTCAAAGGCCGTCAGCAGCGGCACGAGGCCGGCATGGGGCGGCACCAGGGCCGACGCCACCTGCACCGCCAGCCCGTCGGCCCACTCCGCCGCCGCCGCGTGTGCGCTCGCCTCGTAGCCCTGCAGGTGCGTGATCGCCGGGAACGAGCGCACGAGCGACGCCGACGCGGTGGTGGTGGCGGTCGTCGTGGCCTTGGCCAGCACCGTCGTGCTCTTGAAGGTGGGCACAAGCGAGGGGTAGGTGTCGAGCAGGACCACCTTATGCTGCTGCACGAGCTGCCTGAGCCGGCCGAGGGAGATACCGTCGAGGGCGGCGACGGTGGCGGCAGTGGCCGACGGCGCTGCGGAGCTGCCCCTGGGTGCACGGGGCTCGATCGAGGTGAAGCCGGAGAAGAGGAACGTGAAGTCGGGCCGGGTGTTACGGTCCATCTCCTTCCAGTACTGCACCACGTCCCTGTCCATCTCCGCCTCCTGCTCCTTCTATCATTCACATGCACACGCGACACGTCAGTGCGTGTGCGGTGGTGTGTGCGGTCCGCGAGGGTGTTACCTTGTGCTGTTGTGTGCCGAAAGAGGGAGTTTGCTTGGGGCCGTTGCCGCCGGCGCCGCCGCTGCGGTTCTCCTTGACGTCCTTGCCGTAGAAGAGGGGCAGCAGGAAGAACTTGAGCGCGGGGGCCGCCTGCTTCGCGCGCTTGCGCGTCTCGTCGAGCAGGTGGTTGGCCACGTAGGCGTGGAGGCTCGACAGCAGCGACGTCTTGCCGCCCACCGAACCCAGCATCGTCGGCGACGTGGTCGACGGCAGGTGCGGCGCGGGCGCGTCGTCGAAGAAGAACGCGAAGCGGGTCACAGCGCCGGCGCCCGTCGACGACAGCGCGGTCATGCGCTCCACGACGCGCAGCTTGTCGACCTGCTCGCGTACCTTGTCCTTCTCTAGCGCGGCGCCGGTGAAGAACGCCGCCGGGAAGCTCAGGCCGTAGACCAGCTCGACGCCCTCGCGCGCGCACACGTCGGCCAGCTGGCCCACGCGCGCGAGCTCGGCGTCGCCGTCACCACCACTGGCGGCGGTGGCGTCGACGACGTAGAGATAGGCGGTGAGGCCGCTCGTCTGCCTGAGGGTGGAGATGACGGTGCGGCGGTCGTCGGCGCTCCAGCGGTGGAAGGCGGCCGACGGGTAGAGCGGCGCGTAGTCGAAGGCCCGCTCGCACAGCCCGCGGAATTTGAACGACCGCTGGCTGGCTGTCGGCGCGGCGGACGACGCTGCCGAAGACGACGAGGAGGAGGAGGAGGACGTGGTGGGAGCCTCTTCGGGCGTCCACTCGCTGTCGATCGCATAGTAGTCGTGCTGCACACGCTTTGAGGCACTGCGCACACTCGGAACGAGTTAGATTGATTGCACCCGACACACACGACACACGACGCGCACACGACACACGGCGTATGCATACCGTTGCTGCAGCTTCCTGTTGTACTCGTCTTCGTCCTTCTCCTTGTTGGCGGCATGGTCGGCGGTGGCCTTGCCCGTCGCCTTGCTGCTGCCTCCCTTGGCGGCGGGCCGTTCGTCGACCGCTGTGAAGACCGGAGCTGGACGCCGGAGCGTGGGGTTCTGCAGCACGCCCCGCGAGATGTCGTCCGCCTTCTCGAAGAAGTACGCATCGTCCATCGCCGCACCTGCACCCAGCGCACGCCCCAATTAGCCCATGCCCCTTGCGTGCGTGTGCGGTGGTGCGTGCGTTCGTACGTGTGGTGTGTGCGGTGGTGCGTGTGCGTGTGCGTGTGCGGTGGTGCGTGTGTACCTTGGTCGACCATTACGCGACGTCCGGCAAAGTCGAAGGAGATGGAGACCTTGTTTTTGGCGTCCTCGCGCTGCTTGCGCCGCTCCTCCTCGAGCTTCTTCATTTGCTTCCTCTGTTCGGGGGTCATCCACTGCGAGCCGTCCGTCTGGAAGTAGTCCTGCTGATCGTCTGTAGTTCAGGCGGATCCCCATTCCCCCCCCCATATCAACCATGCCACGTCATGCCACCACGGCAAGGTGGTTGTTAGTATGCTTTTTGAAACATGAACGAACAAACAAACAAACAAACAAACAATGACTACTCATCGCCCGCGCCACGTAAAGGGGCGGAGGCTGCGTGCCATAGATAACGGTCCTGCGCGCGCTGGTTCTCTCGTACTCGAGCAGCTTGTCCTTGTGCTCCAGCGCACGAGCCAAGCTGGCGTCGTACTCAGCGTCCGCCTGGCACCACGCATAGCATGGTGAGACTTCACGTGACATGTGCGTGCGCACACGTGTTCGCTCATGCGCGAATCGTTTTGTGAATGTGAATGTGAAATGAACGTGAAGGTGAATGTGATGGCATGCCACGGTACCTCTTGCTTGGAGAGCGAGATGCTGCCGGCGCCGGGCGCTTCGCCGACCGCATTCCCGCAAAAGAGGCAGGGACCGACACCTTCCTGCGCGCACACGATTTTGCCGCAATACAGGCAGTTGCCCAGCAGCGGATGGCGCGCGGCTGTAGACGCCCGTTGCGTTGCGTTGCGTTGCGTTGCGTGAGAAGCCATGACCAGACACTCGCCGGCGGCCAGCGGAACTGAATTGGATTGAGTACATACCCATGCACCCGCACCAGGCGCGTCCGGGAAGCTGGAGCGAATCGCCGGCCTGTTGCTTACCGCCCTTCTTCTTGCCACCGCCAGTCTGCGCCTGGCCCGCGCTGGGGATCGGCGGCGACGCGCCCTGATCCTTGGGCTTGTTCACCGGCTTCTTCTTCTTCTTCACCATGCTGTAGTCGACGTAGCGTGTCATGTAGTGCGCACTTGGCTTAGCATGACTGCGCACCATCAGAGGAAGTAGAAGAAGAAGAAGAAGAAGGCGTACTAGGGATCGACTTCGTCCTTCTTGCGGTAGACCTTGACGTTGGGCTCGCTCGGACCCTGGCCCGAGGGTCCGGCGGTCGAGAGCTTCCTGATGGGCACCGTGCGGAAGAGGGGCGAGGCGTCCTTCCGCTTCTGAATCAGATCCTCGGTGAACTTTTGCACCGCCTTGCGCTCGGTGCCCAGGATGTCCTGCGTTAGGTGAGCCAATCGTTAATGCCGCCAGGCTAAAGAGGGGGGGGGCAAGTGAATGTGAGCGAGAGTGGGAATGTGGCGGGCAGTGGACACTGAGCTTTCTGTACCTTGATGTACTTTTCGATCTCCTCGGCAGATTGGAGCTTCATGAGGTTATCCACGAGGCCATCGACCTCGTCGAAGCCCAACAGGTGCTTCAATCGCTTCATTACCCATTCCCTGATCTGCACGAGCGGCTGCTCGGCATGTTGCACGATAGGCTGCCTCCCAGCCATCCCTTTCTACACTTCCAGATGAATGTTGTCTGTTTGCGGATTTAAAAAAATGTATTTATGTCTCAATTATTGTTTGTTCGGTTCAGCTTTTCTGCGTTTATTCGCCAGAGACCAACAGAAAATGGAAAAAAAACACTTGAGAAAAAGCAAGATGAACATCAATCCCCTGCATGTGGCTGAGGTGTTGATTACGCTGGTAGTGACTGTCATCTTCGACCCCAAGAAGCTGCACATCTCCGCCAAATGTGTGATCATTGCCGGCCTCTCTTTTCTCGTCGCCTACGGCGCCTTTGAAGCCGAGGTCGCGAAGATGCAGATGGCCATTCTGCTTGCGGTGTACGCCCTCGCGTGCTACCTCGTGGCGCTCTACATCGGCGTTCGATACAACCGTAGCCGCACCGATCGCATGTGGATCCTGCTCGCGGTGGTGCTCGGGATCGGGCTGTTCGTCGTCTACACCAAGTACTACTACCGGCCAATCGCCAGCGTCACCGACTACTACAAGGAGATGCACACCAAGCAGCGCCCCGACGCGGAACTGGCTCAGAACGCAGATCAAGAGGAGTACCTCAACCGCATCAAGGAAGAGTTCTTGGATGCGGACCGACCAGCGAGGGGAAGAGGGAGCAGCAATCGTCGAGCCCCCAGCGAAAAAGATGGAATTTAGAAGGAGGACAATTCGGTGGCGATCAATTATTTATAATGAATTAGGAACCAAAATGGAGCGTAAAGAACACGAGGGGCAAGACTTAGTAGGTAGCGCTCTGCTCCTTGCTCTCTCCTCCATAGCCGAAATCGCGGTTCGCCCGGTTGGTGGTCTGGCACTCCTTGAACATGTCGTAGGCCCAATCACACTCAGTGGCGTCATCCTCGTTCTTCTTCAGGCACTTGAGGAATCCGTCGTAGGGGCGCGCGCAAGGTCCCTGCTGCACCTGCTCCTCGGCCTTCTGGATTTGCTCGGGGGTGGCGTTGTGTCCGCCGAAAATGACGTTCTCGATGGCGCGGCTGGCGACGTGACCGACAGCATAGCCAGCAGCCATCTGGGCTACGCCGCCCAGGAAGCTCTGGCCGCCACCACCCATCGCGGGGGCGGTCTGAGCATGCTGCTGGGTGGCAGGGGGCTGAGCGCGCTGCTGGGTGGCGGGGGGAGCAGCCTTCTTCGCGGGCGCTGCCGTGGCAGTGGGCTTGGACGCGGGCCTGGCCGATGATCTCGAACTTCCTCCTCTGCGGCCCATGATGATGTGTTGCTGTTCTATCAAAAATTGATTGATTGAATCGACCAGGAGGAGTGTTCTATTTAGTCTACGCCCTTTTCCTCTAATTTCCCAGCTATCGGTGACTCCAACCTTTCGCCGACTTGTCACCAAAAGCAGAGAAAGAAAAGCTCCAGCCATTCCGGAAGAAGCAAAGAAACTCAAAGGAAATGTCAATGACCGAGAAATGAGACTTTTCAAGAATATTTATTTTCTGCTCTTCACTTCTACTTCTGGTGCCAGAGAAGCGACTCCCACGAGAAAGAAGGCTTTTGCCGCGATTTGCAGAAGCTCACTTCGCTCAGTGTCGGCAAAAAAGAAATCTCGCGCAGAGGTCGACAAAAAGGGTGACGTGGGGGAGAACGGTGGTGCCCTTTCGGCCGGACATAAGTAGGTCGCACGGTGCAACCGGCAAACAGAGATCTTTCAAAGAGACGGAAGACGTGCATCATCATCTTTTTCCCATCATGTCCACGCGAAAGAAGGTTCTGTTGAAGATCATCATCTTGGGCGACAGCGGTGTCGGTAAGACCAGCTTGATGAACCAGTATGTGAACAAGAAATTCAGCAATCAGTACAAGGCCACGATCGGCGCCGATTTCTTGACGAAGGAGGTCATGGTCGACGACAAGCTCGTTACCCTCCAGATTTGGGATACTGGTACGCTGAATCTTCATCTTTTGCTTCATGTTCTTGTTTTAAACACGCATCAATGCGTTGTTCCTTAATCTTCTCCATTCTACATCTGATTAAAGTGATTATCACGTTCTAATCGCCATTTTCATCATTACTTCCCAGCTGGTCAGGAGAGATTCCAGAGTTTGGGCGTGGCGTTCTACCGCGGCGCTGATGCTTGCGTGCTGGTGTTCGACGTCAACGTCGCCAAGACCTTTGAGAATCTTCACAGCTGGCGTGAGGAATTCCTCGTGCAGGCCGGTCCTCGCGATCCCGAGACGTTCCCCTTCATCGTGCTGGGTAACAAGATCGATCTCGAGAGCTCGCGTGTGGTCTCGCAGAAGCGCGCACAGACCTGGTGTCAGTCGAAGGGCAACATCCCTTACTTCGAGACCTCGGCCAAGGAGGCCATTAACGTGGAGCAGGCTTTCCAGACCATCGCCAAGAACGCCATGAAGGAAGAGGAGGAGTACGTTACCCCCAATTTCCTTAAGTACCGGCCGCTAAGGCGTGGCTGAGAATCTCACCATCATCTCGCATTTTCGTCACCAGTGTCGATCTTGCCGGCATTACCGACGCCATTCAACTCGACAAGTCTGAGCCCTCTCAGTCGGGTTGCTCGTGCTAAACGTTGTATATGTATTTAAAATCTTCTTTCCAATGACTCTATCACCCCATCAACAATCACAGCTTTTTTTGTGTTGTTTTTCCTTCCTTGTGTTTCTGTCTTAGTTGGTCTGGTTACATGCAGGAATTAAGGTGGAAGCCCACACCATTTTTAGTGGTTATAACTTTAGGTAAGGTGTTTGAACCCTTGTGATGGCCTTCCACCTTTTAGCCCACACACCAGCTTCTGGAAAGCCCCTACCCACCATGTATGTGAAGGGTTCCCTGGTGTGGGGGCCTATAGGGTGATAGGGTTGTCCTGCATGCATACTTGCTTGCTGAGTGCATAAAGTGTGTGGTGGGGAACATGTCTGGTTAAATAGTGGAGGCATTGGCCCAAAAGATTACCAAAAGAAACACTTTTTGGCTGAACTTTATCTTAACAATAACTCAATGACAGTAATTCTGTATTTTTTGGAGTTGTTTTTTGCTAGTATAAATGATGATAGCAATTTAACTTCAAGGGCATGATCCCCAGCTAGACTAGGGGGCCATCCACCTGTAGAGGTGGCACTCATGGGCAGCCACCAAGCAGTTCCTTTCAGCATGTGCACCAGCAACCAATCTGGGCAACTTCCTGCTTTTACTGATTAACCCTGATTACTTCCCTCCTTAGCCACACTGCATATGCCTGGTCCTGCCTAGGATTCAACATCAATTTGTCAGCCACAGGGGAGCACCATTACCATGACCAACAACCCAGCATGGTGTCTGTCTTCAGTGATTATGATGGTGGCTGTTCATGTCCTCCAATAGCTTATTGCCTACACAACTGCTGCCAAGCCCAAGCTCTGTAACATGAAGCCCAGCAAAGATCTTGTGCACCACTTTGTGCTTGCCCTTATCCACAAGGACTGCTACAGGGTTGGCTACCATCACCTCTTCAAACACATAATGGTGACACCAACAGCCAATTCTGCACTCTCCAAAAAGGACTTTATTTGGACATCACAGAGCCAAGGGCACTTTTTATGCTTCACACCTTTCCTCCTCTGTCAGTGCTTCATATTTGAGCACAATGTCCTTGTCAAAGTGAAACCTATAGCCAACAGTCATGCCATTTAGGAGCTCAGGAAGCCTGTTGGGGTAGAGGGTAAGTGGGAATAACTTGATGGAAAAGAGTAGACAGCACCATATTTTGTCATCCTGTAAAAGGCAAGTGACTTAGTACAGTGTAAACAAAGATCCATTGGGGCTGGGGTATGTACTGCCCACATGTCATCATATGGAATATCTTTGATTGGCCACCATTGAGGTCTCATCTCTGTGTGATGAGGGTTAGCAAGCACAACTAGTTATATGTGTGTGCTTGTACCTTCAGTTTCCTGGATATCATTCTTGTATTGCTCTGTCACATAGATATGACACCTATGGGCAGTGGTTAAAAAAGAGTGACTGAAAATAAAAAAGTAACTACTTTGACATGATAGTTAGTACCTGTTGTTCCAAGCAGGATTGCCATGGTAGATGAACTCAACCACACCCTTCCACTGTAGGTCACTGGGCTGCAGCTCTAGGCCAGATTCCTCCAAGCACTCACGCACTGCTGCCTCCCTGATGCTCTCTCCACCCTCCACTTTGCCACCTGGGCCTGCACAGGGGAAAAAAATCTTGAGATTAAAATCTGTTGGTGCCATCAGATTTCTTTGCAATCTGTTTAGCAAAGGAGACTGTACCATTCCACTTACCCTTACCAAAGCCACGCTTTTTCATCGCCAGGAGTATCTCGCCCTCTCTGCGCACGTAGCACAGTGTAGTCAGGCGTAGCATCTCCCTCGGTGCTGACACAAAATAGAAATTTAACTCCGCAAAGAACCGGACGAGAGCACCGCGATAAATCATTATTTAAATGTACATAAAAGTCAAGTTGAACTTTACAGGCAAACAAGGTGGGGTGGTGGAGCCCCAGCGCGCACGACCAATGCAGTTTGACGAGTTGGTGACGGGGTGGTGGTCATCTTCACAGATCCTCGTCATCGACCAGGTTGAACTCCTCAATGCCGGAGTTGGGAGGCGCGGCCTCGCCGCCTATGAAGAAGAAGAACGACGGTGAGCCAAAGATGCGCCAGCGAGGCTCGTTATAAACGCAACTACGTACTCGGCATGATACACTCGGCATGCCGCCACTCCTCCATGGTAACGGGAGAGCTGTCGAGGTGAGTAAGCTTGCGCAGGCGACTCAGTATGTAGATCCTGCAACACCACCACGCGACACATTAGACACTCGTATACGCATTGGATTGGTGGGGGGGGGGAAGATGATTAGTGAAAGAAGGTTTTGTCGACGCGCCTGTAGTTGTAGTAGTGGTGCTTGGCCGAGGAGAAGAACGGACACGCGGCGTTGTGAAGGGTCGACAAGTAGCGCAGATTGGGCGCGGCCGCCACGATGTTGTCCAGGAACTTGTCAACTTCGATCAACCTGATGCCAACGGTGAGGACTTGGTCGAAAAATGTGTGCGTGTGCGTGTGCGGTGTGCGGTGTGCGGTGTGTGCGTGTGCAAAGCGAAAACTGTAAAGGCAGGCGTCTCGTACCAGTTGTGGTTGATGGAAAGGGTTCTCAGCTTCGGCATGGGCGGGAACTTGGTGTCGTGCGTGAGATGGTTGTTGTCCAGAATGAGCGTGTTCAGCTCCCTGAAGCCCTCCAGACAATCGATGTTCCTGTGGACGTGAAGAGACCGTGAGCCGCCTCTAACGAACACGTGGCCTCGAGTGCAATCAAAAGCGGTGGTGGGTCCATACGCAAGTCCGTTGTTGGAGAGGTCGAGCTCCTTCGCGGTGTACTTGAAGTGCTTCATGACCGACAGAATGTCATTGTGGCCGACCAGCTCCCAGGCCAGAGACAAGCGTCCTGTGTGCCCATCGTGTGAGCCCCTAGTGAAGACTCGCACAGTGGGAAGGAGAGGAGGGAGAGGTGCTGGTACCAGCCGGGTCCATGGGCGCATAGTAGAAGGGTACGGGCTGAGAATACTGGACCGTGTCACCCTCCTTGGGCAGCGCGGTGAGGTCGACTGTGTCACTACCTTCTTCGATGCACGCCAGCCAGAAGTAGACGATGCCGGGCTTGTGCGGCGGGACTTGACACTGCACGACTCCCGGTGCGATTTCCTGCAGATAGGAGAGGACACCAGGGCTTGCCTGCATGAGAAAGGACACACACACACACACACACACACCGCAACGGAACACGCACGAAATGGAGGCGGAAAAGGGGTAGTTGAGGCAACGCACCGTGCACGGGACGGAGACCTCCTCAAACAGGCACGAGAAGCGATAGCACTTGTCGTCGCTCATGTGGAAGCCGTTGTGGACCAATATCATCTTGGAGTACTCCGTCGACGGGCTGAGGAGACCAGGCGAGTGTCAGTGCGGATTCGGAAAAAACCTCTTTGGCAAACCACGCACAGCGAGCAAGTTGTCTGTTTGGAAAGGAGCTTACCCGGCTTCGGGGGCGTAGCTCTTGATCTCCGCAGGCCTGGGTCCCGTGCTGTCGCTGGTCGCGGAGGCATTCATCGACGACGGGATAGGTGTGAACGGCACCAGGGCTCCGTTCTCGACGCGCGAGGTAAACCTGTTTTTGGGAGTTACGTACGCAATTCATTAGACAACGCGCAGCGTTGTTGTGCGTGGTTGGGGGCGTGCGTGAGAGGTTGACGTACACCATGTCGGACGAGAGCGCGAAGTCGTCTTCGTCGGGCTCGCTCTTGACGGACATGCGCGGCGTGTAGAAGGAGGGCGTCGACACGGCGTTGGAGTACGGACCCATCGGGGGCGAGTTGAGGGACAGCATGGTCGACGGCGACTGCAGCGACGGGGTCGTGGGCGCGACCGAGAAGTTCGTCATCGCCTCGAGGCTTCTCGACATCGTTCCCCTGGACATGCCCAACGACGAAGACGAGGACGAAGAGAACAGCAGCTCGTCGTCGGCCTGCGACGTACCATGTACAGCGAGTTGGCGAGTGTGAGTTGTAATAACTTCGTGACGCTGTGCACAGCAGAGAGAGAGAGAGCGATCACCGACCTGCTGCGAGTCTTCAAAGTGGTCGGGATGAGGGAAGAAGTTGCGTGGTGCGGCGCTGGTCATTGCGTGGCTGTTGCCGACACTCTCCCTTTCGCGCTTGCGCACGTTCGTGGCCATGGGCGGAAGCGAGGATGACGACGAGGACGAAGACGACGACGAGGAGGTGGTCGAGAGGAAGGATGGTCCGCTGGCAGGAGGGGCCAGGGTACCGGGCGGCGCGGGATTGTGTTGGGCGAGGAGGGATGACATGGTCATGATGTGCTCGGACTCACCAAAGTTCCGATCCGGCGACTCCCCGACGTCTGCCTCCTCCTCCTCGGCCTTGAAGGAGCTGCCCCTCTTCCTCTTCTTGCGCGGATGACCGCTCGCTTCCCTGCATACATCGCCCGAGAACAAACAGTGAGAGCGAGTTATAACATTTCGGCTAGGCCTTGCCGAGCGACGGGCACGCGGATACGTACGATCTGCACCACACACAGACACGGACACGGACACGGACACACACACACACACACACAGACACACAGACACACACACATGGAAGAGATGTCGAGAGGGAGAGTTAGGCCATGATGGTCGAGCCTCGGTGTCCGGGGGGAGTAGGTACTTTTTCCAGAAGTAGTGGACGAGCACGGGGAACTCCTGCAGCGACTGACCCTCTGTGACAGACAGCCGACCATCCTGAAGAGCGTATGACATCGAGAGAAAACGTGTGCACACTCAGGAGATTGGCCACATGCGGAAGTGCACTAGATTATGTATGAGGCGGCCCTACCGACGCCTGTTTGAAGTAGGTCTCCTTCACACGAGCTTGTATTCGTTACGTCTCCAGCCTGACGAAGGGAAGGCAAACGAAAAGAAGTGAATGAGCAAAGTGAAGGAGGAGGCATGTGGATTCCCTCATCAGACCAGGTGCGTGCGATGAGGCGGCAGGTACCCTTGTCACCGCCATCGGCTCTCCATGTTTGCCTCCGCATGACAACAGCGCCCTCGTCGTTCTTGTTGTTCTTGAGCTTGTACATGCCGCTGTTCTCGTTGAAGATGATCAGCTTGACCGACATCTTCTTCGAGTCGTTCCATCGAATCTCGTCCGACTGTGTAGGCGAAACCCAAACCGAAACCGCAGAGTGCAGCGTGAGAACAAAACTCACAACACGACACGACACCAGGCGAAGAGGGCGCACCCGACGCCTCTCGATGGGCACACGAGCGTCAAAGAGGTACAGGAAGCCAGGCACGGTTCCCTCCGACGGGTTCGCCACCACTGGGAGAAACGAGCAAGTGAAGAGTTAGGAGGACACCACGGCGAGCACCAGAACCGTGGTGGAGGAAGGGTACACGAGGAGGGCGAAGGGACGGCGGCTGAGATGAGCTCGGCGAGCGGGTTCTGGAGCAGCAAATGGATGAGAGGATAGTCCTTCGATCTGAATTCCTTGGCCAGATCGAGGGTCTGGTTGAGGACATCGGAGGCGAGCTGCTCGCTTCTCAGATTCTTAAGATAGTTCTTGATCTTATCGCTGGTAAGGGCGATGGCTTTGTTGTGGTCCATCTACGACAAGAACCATATGTGAGATGTTGAATTGTGGTGTCCCAATTACGAAGATGAGAATTTTGTGTAAAATGGAACCGTTAAGCCATTTTGATCTAGCATCAAATCAAATGCACAACACGTTGCATCAACGTACGTCGTTGGATCGATCCTAGGCGCTCTCGCCTCACAGGTGTCTCACCTCCCCTTGAACGTTCTTATCTTCAATTTAATCCACGCCTTGTTGCGGAACTGCAGTTTGTACCCCTCCGCTTTCTCCACAGCTTGTTCGGAACGTCTTGCCCGACCGGAGACCAGCAAAATGCCTACTTATTTCCAGGAATTTATTAACACGCTTTTTTACCCACACAAAATAAAGGCCCGAACTGTTCGTTACCCGCGCAGCTCGTGGGCTTACTCTTCGGGTTCATCGCCCTGCGGCAGCATCGGCGGGACGTACGGACGCTTCAGATGGTTCCAGCCGACTACGCAGTCATTGCATCGCCAGCGCCACTGTTCCCGTGTCGAGCGTAAGCAGATGTAAGACTACTGACGAACCGAGTAGAGCAGAGGCGAAAGAGATCTGTGCGTGTGCGAACCTGTGTGGGCGCCTTGGCGAGACCGAGACTCGAGAGAGGCGTCGTCACAGGGCAAGTGTCGCACTCGACGCAGAGCTCCTGCCGGGTCGCTGTCTTGGCATTGCGTCGAGAGGCCAACTCGCTCGCGGCTCCGTACAGCTGGCTGCGGTAGCGGCTTTCGCTCGCATCGGGCTTCACCCGCTTCGCGCTCGGCTCGTCCATCGGCTTCATCACCCCTACCGCGTACAACGCCGGCGACAGCGTCAACTCGCCCGCCAACTGTGGTGCATGTACTCTCTTGCGAAGCATCTTCTTCTCGTGGCTGTTGTTGTGTTCGTCTACGTGTTCGACTAAAGACTGAAGAACCGTCTCTGCCGGCACAGACAGCTGAGCGAGCTGCCGAGAAAGGAAAGTGCTTTGCCTGCGTTTGCCGGTTGGCGGCAAAAATAAAATAAAACCAAATTAAATAGAAAATGAAATGAAATGAATTCGATAAAATGGAAACTAACCAACTTGTTGCTATGCGGGCGGCTGCGAGGGAGGAGATGGCTGGGCGCTGGGCGTTCCTTGCGTTGTGGCAGGAAGGAACTCGGAGATGGAGCGGAGTAGCATCTTGGCGTCACGGTTGGCCAGCGATTGAGCTCGCCACTTGCACCAGGAGCCCGACATGGCGTCGCCGGCGGATCGCGGGACGACGTGGAAATGCACGTGGAACACTGTTGTTTGCTCCAGGTCGAGGTGAGCAGAGCGTTCAGCGTGGGTTGGCTTTCAGTGATGAGGGTACCCTCCTGCCCAGCGATCTTGCCGTTGTTCTGGATGATGTTGAAGGCCTGAGTCCCGGTGGCCTTCATCAGCGCTCCGCCGATGGCAGGCGCCACCTCCATGCACGCAGCTGCACAGCGCCGTGAGTGAACCTGCCGACCAGAGCACTCAACGGTGGAGAAGGAAGGAAGAGGAACCGGCAAGTGCAGCGGGCAGCTGGTCAAGGCTGGCGTAGTGTCCCTTTGGCACGATGAGTGTGTGGCCAGGGTGCAGCGGGTTTATGTCCAGGAAGGCCACCACCTTCTCATTTTCCATCACTAGGCAGAAGGGCTGCGTGAGTGCACCATTCACCAACCAATGTTGGGGAGAGCTTACCGGTATGGGAGGGAAGCTCGCCATTGATAATCTTGCAGAAAATGCACTTCGCATCTTCGGGATGGCTCTCCATTTCTTGCGATGTTGCGTGGTTTGCCGCGGTGTGACTCGAACCGCCAACCGTGTTGCAAACTCCTGTTCTTGGCGGGAAACTCGACAGGCTGCCGCCCAAATGCCAACAAGATACCAATCCTAACACGCTGAGGATGGAGGCGATTGAGATAAATCCAAACGCCAAGCGCTCAACCTCGCACAAGATAAGCGAGCAACAGTTGAACTGCTCGAGTTTAGAGGATGTCTAGCAAAATCGTACATCACATGGAGGGGCTGCATGGGAGGCAGAACGACTTCATGGCCTTCTCCTCCCTCTCGTCGGTTGTGGAGAAGGCTCCGCCCATCGTCTGGATCGCGCCTCAGGCCTCAATCGCCGCCGCCTGCGAGCTGATGAAGGCTCATCATTTCCTCTCCCTTCCCATCTACGATGAAGTTAAACGTCGCATCCTCGGGCTGGTCGACATACTTGACGTCTGTGCCTACCTCTGTTGGGGTACGATGCACTTCTTCAGCGAGAACACCGAGGCGCAGTCCGATCGCGAGCTGAAGGCCAAGATGAGCGAGGTAGCCATCGTCGAGGTGCTCAACGCCAAGCCACAGCACGGCCGGCCTTCGCTGGTGGTGAAGCGCCACCTCGAGCCCGTATGCTCGCTGCTGGACCAGATGGCGCAGGGGCTCCATCGCGCGCTCGTGCGGGTGTGGCCCGAGACCGAAGAGGAGGAAAAAGAGGGCAGCCAGCGGCTCGAGTACTATCGCATGGCGGCCCAGATCGACGTGGTGCGCTTCCTGGTCGACCACAGGCGCAACCTCAATTACCACCTCATCACCAGCAACATCACCGCCCTCGATATGGTCGGCCCCGCGCCCGCGCCCGCGCCCGTCTCAACGTCGTCCCCTCCGTCGACCACGCAGAGCGCCGTGCGGACCCTCATCTACTCAGTCGAGGAGGGCAGGACAGCGCTGGAGGCCTTCCGCACGCTGGCCCTGTCGGGCGTCCACGCCATCGGCATCATCGGCGTCGGGAGCACAGGCCAGGGTCGCCTGCTGTACAACCTGTCGGCGTCGGACCTGCGCGGCATCACGCCCGACACGGTCCACCTGCTGCGCGAGCCGGTCGAGGTCTACCTGGAGCGGGTGCAGGAGAGCGCCCCGACCTCGAGGCCCAGGAACCTGGTCACCTGCACGCCTGACGCGACGCTGATCGAGGTCATGGAGCTGGTCCTGCGCTCTCGCGTCCACCGCGTGTGGGTGATCGACCAGCAGCAACGGCCGCTCGGCCTCATCACCCTCACTGACATCCTCTCCAAGTTCGCCTCCTTCGACTACGCCCGCGCCCAGGCCGCCGCGACCAAGACCATCGTCCCGCTCTCCCTCTCTTCGCCTCACTGATACCCTGTTCAGCAAGGCGCTGCCCCATTTTCTAGACCTATGTTAGCTTGTACATCCCAACAATCAATGATGTTGCCACCACAACAGCACTGCGTTCTCACCTTCAACAAAAGAACAGTGGCAGTTGAAACACGCAATGTATTGCTTGCCCCTGAAGAGGTAATGTCACAGAGAGGGCCAGGGAGAGAAGGCCGGGGACAGCAACAACGAAGGAGAAAGCTAAAAAAGACGTCCAGGCCACGCGTAACGCGGTCGCGAGAACGAGGACCGCGGCGCTCATGAAGGTTGCGGATGGGCGACGATGATGGTGGTGATGATGGTGAAGGCAAGCCTCCTCTCCCTTTAATCGTATCGCGAAGCTTCTTAGAAGCACTTGCGGAGGACGCGAGGGCCCTGCTCCTCGTACTCGGACTTGTTCATCCAGAAGGCGGTCTTGTCCTTCATGATCTCGGCGAGCACGGCACCGCCGAGGAACACCATGTGCTTCCTGCGCGGCGGGTCCTCGATGCGGCACTTGAACTTCTGCATCGAGACCTTGTTGCCCTTGGCCACGCGCTCGAAGTAGAGGCGCTTGATCTCCTTCTCGAGACGCGAGGGGAGGCCGGGGTACATCGTCGAACCGCCGGAGAGCACGATGTGGTTGTAGAACTCGGCACGGGTGTCGATATCGGCCTTGTTGATGCAGTCGAAGACGAGCTCGCCAACGCCGACGCTCTCCTGATCGACGAGCGCGGGGTTGAACATGCACTCGGGAGCCTCGAATCGCTCGGCACCGATGCGGATCACGCGACCGTCGGGCAGGGTGTACTTCTCGACGAGGGTGGTAGTCTCGAGGGCCAGACGCTTCTCAAGCTCGAGGTCGTAACCGACGTAGCAGAACTGTAGACGGTGGCGAGTAGAGAACAGGGTGAGCAAACGACGGAGCTCTCAATCATCTTTTCCACTCGCAAAAAGCTCTCACAATTTTGCCCGCGGGGGGGGGGAGAGAACGAAAGCGAAGATGTAAAAGAGCGAAAAGAGGGAGTGGGTACCTTCTCCTTGATCTGACGGACGGTCTCGAAATCGGCAGTCCTGTTGAAGACATAGCCGCGGAGGAGGAGAAGCTTGATGAGGTAGCGAGTGACGTCACGACCGGCGACGTTGAGACGACGGGTCAAGTGGGGCAGCGAGAAGCCCTCGTACACGGGCACGATGTGGGTCACACCGTCACCCGAATCGACGACCACACCAGTAAGCAGACCCTGGGCGTAGAGGGTCAAGACAGCCTAGTGCATCGAAAAGAAAAGGTGGAAGAGTGTCAGTTTACAACATCAATTCAATGCTCAAGATCTGAAAACGTAGAGAGATCGATCTTCGAAATCTTAGGGCATTTGAGGATTTCTCGGGTGCGCGTCGTACCTGAATGGCGATGTAGGCGGCCTTGAAGCCGTACTTCTCGAACATGACCTGGACCATCTTCTCGCGGTTGGCGAGGGGGTTCATGGGCGGCTCAGTGAGCAGGATCTTGCAGTCCTTGGGGTCCACCTTCAGCTTCTCTGTTACATCCAAAGCATTCGACTGATTAGCCACTCTATCGATAGTCTAAGCGAAGCACTGAAACGATGAAAGAAAGACCAAAAGAAGCGGAAGAAGCTGTTGATGGTGGTGGAACGTACCGAAGAAGGTGTAGTTCCAGACGTGCTCAGCATCCTCCCAGTTGCGGACGATACCGTTGTCGAGCGGGTAGGTGATCTGGAGCATGGACCTGAGCTTGGAGGCCTCGTCGCCGACCATGATGTCCTTGATCTCGACGTTGTCGAACTTCTCCTCGGAACGCAGGATGGGCCTGCCCACCATCGAGGGGAAGATGGAGGCCGGGAAGTTGGAGCCGGCGAAGCCGCACTTCACGAATCCCGTGCCGTTGTCGCACACGATCACCTTCGACGAGTCGGTCATGTTTGGCTGTGTAGTAGGAAAATGGATTCGATGTACAGATGGATCGTTTTGCCTTGCGTGGCTGTGGTTGAAGAAGAAAAGCGACGTAGACCCACAAATGAAGTGCCCTCCCCGTCGACAGAAAAGTTACACCAATCCAAGAGGAGAAGCAACCAATGAGCACGCTGCTCCGTAGCCGTAAGGTGGCGGTGGACGACCCGTCACGAGAAAGAGGAGCCTCAACCAAGAAAGAGTCTGCAATCATTGTCCAGTCGCACTCCACTATCTCACCTCTTTCACTACTTGATAGGGGGCGGTTAGCGTGGTACTGACTATCAACAGGCTCAGTAACAAGGGTGTGGTGGTGGGTGAGGCACAATGCAATTCGAACAAGGCGACCTTGTTGCACAAGCAGCCCAAAATGGAGCGGGCCTTCAAGGGGCAGGGAGGTTAAAAAAAAAACAAAGAGCTACCTGAACCAGACGAAACTCACAACAGCACCATGAGAAACAACCGTTTCATTCAAGTGGAGGATGATGAGCAGCCCATGTGCCCCGGCTGTGACAAGGAGATTTGGCCCAGCGAGCGCTCTCTTCTGGCACTTGGGGTGAAGCATTCCCCCTCTCTTTATGTGCCTGGGAGTTGTTCCTCACCTTTGGCGAAACCTTTGGGGGGATTTGCAGGCCAAGTACCACACGGCGTGCATCAAGTGCACAACGTGCGGGATCAATCTCACTCCTCGCTCGATGGAGACCTTTGAGAAGAAGCCTTACTGCCGTGCCCACCTCCCCACCTTCAAGGCCACCACCGTCTCTGACGACTTCATCACTAAGGCCAACGCAGGTAACACGAGTCTCCCAGACCCACCACTGCTCTACTCCGTTCCCCTTCCTCGCACACTAACTTCATCAATCCACAGCCAAGCCGGTCGGCGATCTGAAGAGGCAGCAGGGCATTAACAAGATGGAGGGCACCACCTTCAACTCCACCAACGTCACAAGGGAGAGGTAAGTCAGGTCCACCTTCTTCCTTCTTGCTGTTGAGTCCGACCTGCAGCCTGAATACCCCCCCCCCACCTACATTTCGTAGTGCCGGCTGTGTCGTCCCTCGGTGGGACGCAGAGGGTGGTCCGGTGCCCGACGTGTCCGAGCCCAGCAACGAACAGGCCGCTTCGTTCTGGAACCAGCAGGAGAATGCCGAGCCCGCGGCGGCGACCTCGCAGCACGTGGACGAGTCGCTCCTGGCGGCCAAGTCGGGTAGTGGGGCGGCTTCGTTCTGGGCGCAGCAGGAGAAGGCCGCGCTGGAGCCCGCCATGGCGGAGCTCACCATCCAGGACGACCAGCACCAGAAGGACCATCACGAAGAACCTGCCGCTGCCGAGGAGTATCAAGAGTAAGCTGCATTGACGCTCTCCGTGGCTCCCTTGTGTACGATACATCTATCTGATAGAATAAAACGTGGAGCTTCAGCCCGAACGCCGACAAAGGCTCGCTCAGGGCTTGGCATAGCGCGACGCCACGCCCATGGCGAAGTAGTAGAACATCGTTGCCACAAGGCGACCCGTCCTAGAGACCAAGAAGCATGTCATGTCAGGCCTCGACCAGTAACAGTTGTGCGCGGCACATATGTGTCGTACCTGTACTCTTCAACAAGAGGGTTGTATTCGGACAGGTCGACCAGCCGCACCTAACGATATAGAGCAAATGGTGAGGAGTGGACGAAGCAGTAGTAGGGCAATAGAATCTGCGACAAGGCACCTTGGGGTTCTTTCCCGACACGAAGCATATCTCAAGGGCGTCCTCTGATGTGAGCCCAACCGCTCCGGGCGCGCTCACTCCCTGGCAGATCGTGAAACATAGTTGAGTTATGAGCAGCTCAGTGTACAAGAAGCGCGCTGCGCTGCGAGAGCAGTGTCGTACGGGGCAGTCGCTGCTCTTGATGGAGTCGATGTCAAACGATACGAAGATGGCTTCGCAGCGCTGGCCCAGGTCATCGAGAATGGAAGCAAACAACTCGCCCGCAGTTTTTCCGACTGTTTGTGGAGTTTGTACACGCGACCGGTGAGATCATAAGTATTAACAAGCTGGAAGGGGGCGGGGGCGTGTCGCACGCACCTTCTTGATATCGGAGAGCCACACGATCTTTCCCTTGTGTTCGGTGATGTACTGCGCGTGCACCGCACTGCACTGATTGCCCTGGCTCGCAAACTCGACGAAGTGCTCTCCCTGGAAACGGTCTGCGGCGCGATACATCGGTCAAGCGTTGCCACACACGAGCTTATGCGAGGAGAGAACGATCGTAGACATACCATCCTCGATGAGAAGTCTGAAGGGAGAGCCGGAGTGGACCTTGCCCTCCTTCAGAGGCCGAACGTCAAAGTGAGCGTCGATGTTGATCGCGGCCATGGAGCCCCTGGCACCACAGCCAACAGAGTAAAACACTGGCCATCCGTTTACCAACAGACATGTGGAATGGGTAAGGGTACGACGGGACGTGAGCAAGGAGACCGCGGGCATTCGGGTACGACTGATCGTTACCTCCGCCAATGACGAATGGAATACCTCCTGCATGGAGCCAGCACAACATGTCAAGAAGAGTGTGAGTGCCGCTCTCGCCGCTCTCACAGAAGTGGTGTACATGGGGCTAGTAGTGCGGCGCACACGGACCGTGTCCTATGATCTTCCCCACCGTGCTGGCCAGTGACTCGTGGCCTTCCTCCAGCGTGGGAACAGCAATGTCGCCCGCATCCACGATCTTAAGCCCTCTGGTCACGAGAAGGAGGAGAGTCAGTCGCGCACACGGTGACGTCCCTCGGCTTGCTTGCGGGGGCAGTACCGCAGGTCGATGCCGAACTCGGGGTTAACCAGAGGCCCGACCTTCATCAGGTGCTTCCTTGCCGCTTCAGGCCCGCCTGTGGTTTGTGCAGTGAGCTGTGCGCGGGACTCAAGGGGGGAAGAAAAAGCGAGGGTGAACCTGCAGCACCAGGTCGCCCGCCGTTGCGCTTGACACCTTCGTCAGAGGGGAAGCCCACGACCACGATGTCGCCCACCTCTCCAGGCACGACAAGTGCTCCCAGCCTGGGGTCATCGTTCACCGCCGTGCTCATCTTAGTTTCAGGTTCTTGCAAAGAGAAGAGAAGAAAATTGAGAGAAATATTTTGTCGACAAGGTTCACGACGGCCGCGAGACAGGGACGGCCTTGTGCGTGGGAGTCCGGACCCTTTCGTCATCTTCATCTTCCCTCTCATTCTTTTACACAAATCATGCGGCGGAGCACTGTGCACGTTTTTCCTCGTCTTGCTCTGCGCCAGGGCCAGCAGACTTCTGCTCTTTGTACCGCTTCCCCTACTGCCTCCGCTCACGGATTGCCGTCGCATTTTAACGATAATTATCCTTGCGCTGCCGCTACGAAGACGCGCAGTTCACTTACGGCTTCATTCATACTATCAAAAGGCCTGTTCAGCAATGGTTCGCGCACCGCCGTGAGCTCTGAGACGAACATGGCTTCAATTGCCAGAAATGTACGCCCCCCCCAATCAGCCTCAATGCAAATCAAAATAATCAATTCTAAATCGCCGACTTGCCGACACTACGTCCAGTACGCTGCCCCGGCGAAGGGAGGCAAGGGTGCTCCGGCCGCTGCCAAGCCCGCCGAAGATGAGCCCGCTGAGCCCCTCAAGCTCGAGACTGTGACATTCCCCGATTTTGGCGAAGACAAGGCCTTCACCGCCGACATCTCCGATTTCCCCGCCCCCAAGGACTGGAAGTACGTGTCCGATTGGAAGGAGTTCGAGTTCTCGCCCCGAGTGCGAAAGATCGGCGAGGCCCTGTTCCAGCTCAACCAGGTCGAGATGTTCGAGTTGGTGAAGCTGCTCCAGCTGCGGTTCGACGTGCCCGACAGCGCCCTTATGGGCGGCGGCGTGGTCGTTCAGGCTGCCGGTGCTGGCGCTCCCGCTGCTGCCGCCGAGCCTGCCGCTGAGGAGCCCAAGGAAGAGAAGAAGGAGAAGATGATCTTCGACGTTCAGCTCACCGCTGTCGCTGAAGCCGACAAGTTCAAGGTGCTCAAGGAGATCCGCGCTCTCAAGCCTGGCATGAAGCTGCTCGAGGTCTGTTGCTCTCTCCTCCCCCATCTCACCCATTCATTCCCTTCCCTGTGACCGTCACTCACTAACTGCCCCTTCCCTCCGTCAACGGCACGCCGCACGCAACACAACAGTCGAAGGAGATGGTGGAGAAGCTTCCGTCCATGCTCAAGCAGAACGTTCCCAAGGAGGAGGCCGAGCAGATGGTTGCCAAGTTCAAGGAGCTTGGCGGCACCGTGGAGCTCAAGTAAATGCGTGAGTGTTCATTCATCAAATCGACCTACACAATAGACATCAGCATTGCGCGAGTCACAGTGCCTCATGCGTGTCGTGGTAGCGCAGCCCTCTGCCACCTCTTCCGTTCTACTTTGTTTGTCGTCGAGCTCTTCTTCATCACCTCCAGAGAGCTTCAGTGTGTGCAGTTCATTTCTTTTCTCTTTGCTCTCGGCCCGCAGACTTTCGAAAGAAGAACACACAACACACAGCAGAACACACAACACACAGCAGAGCACACGGCGCACGCGAGGCGAAGTGAGGGTGCTTCATGCGAGGAAGCTTGGGAACGTCATCGACTCAAGCAGGAGGGGCGAGGAAGGCACGCGGACACACGCCATCGTTGTTTGTGCGGACGGTCTGCAGGTACCTGGGGTGCGGCAAGTACTCGTGGACGGGCTGGGCTGTAGTGTGCATCTTCATCCTCTTCTCCGCCATCACCATACGTCTGCTCGTCATACGGCGGGCGCGCCAGCAACTCGACAACAACACTCTGCAAGCCTCCGCGTCAGCCTCCAAGATGAGCGACGAGGAATCATCCCGCGAACGATTTCAGGTCGCGGAGGGCCACACCCTTAGTGTCCTCACCGGCGGCAATGACAGCAGCGACTACCTCTTCCTTTTAGTACGTCCTTCCGCTCCATCATTGAATTAATCCAATCAAGATTTATAAAAGGAATAATTGATCAACAACCCTAACAAGAGGAGTGGGTCCACACAGGTGCATGGCGCCAGCAGAGAGTTTCAGAACGCGGAGCATTGGAAGCCACACATGGACTTCTTCGCTCGGCTCGGGCGAGTATACGCCGTCGACCTGCTCGGGCATGGCCACTCCACTCCCGGCCCTAGCGATGCCCTCCAGGTGCAGATCTGTAGTGACCGTCTCCTCGCCTGGTTATAAATGACTGACTTTGCGCACGAGGAACACAGAACCCAGTCTCGTCTGAGGCTCAGGTGCGAGCTCTGTGGAAGCTGATTGCTGAGAAGAAGAAGGACCAACAAAAGCTCGGTACGAACCTACCACTGGTGCGTGCGTGCGTGCATGTGTGTGTGTGTGTGTGTGCGCGCGCGCGTGCGTGCGTGCATGTGTGCGTGTGTGGCACAACCGGCTGTTGACGTAGCTCGTGACCGCAGTTCTCGTCGGACGCTCCTATGGTGGGCGGATCGTCATGAACCTGGCCAACACGCTCGGCGCTGACCAAGTCCACAAGATCGTACGTGGCCGCGTCACCCTGTGCTCGTGAATGTAGGAGGCTGACTGGCCGATGGCCCCGATGCGCACCAGATCCTCATTGCACCGGCGCTGATGGACGACCAGGTGCAGGGTCTCAAGAAAGAGGTCCTGGCGCTGCCCACGCTCGTGTTCTGGGCGGGCGACGACACCGCGGTGCCGTATCACAGGGTGAAGGACCTGCTCGACTACTTTGGGGACAGGGAAGTGGTGCTCTTTGAGCACGTCGTCTCCGAAGGCCGACAGGCCTGGGAGGCCCACACTCCCGAGCTCATCAAGGTGAGCCCCATCCCCCCACCTCTTTATCTGTCCTCCCTCTTCTTTTGTTCTACTCGCAATGCTCGCAATGTGGCGGCTTACAATCATCGCGCCATCTGCCACATGACGACACTCCAGGTCGAAGATTTCCAGAACAAGGTGGAGGCCTGGCTATCTTGAGGCACTCCGGCGCTCTTTCTCTCTCATGTACACATCCATCTCCCCTTTCTCTTTCCTATCCGCCTATAAGGTGGTCGCTTCTTGGGTCGCATTAATTGAAAAGAGATGAATACCCGACGAGGCGCACCGCGCACGCTTCAGACAAGTATGAGCGTGCCCTCCTTCTCGCCTTCCTCCTCATCTTCAGCGTGTCGTCCACCATCCAGCGAACGTTCCTTGCCCTTTCCCAGGTTGAGCTCGTCGTCATCCTCGTTGCTTCGGCCCACCGCGCTCTCCTCCTCGTCGAGCGTGGCACCTTCGGGGAGGGTGTCCGTCTCGGCGACTTCCTCCGTCTCCTCCTCGAAGTCCGACGACCCGCAATCCTCTTCCTCTGCATTGCGGTCATGCAACGTTCTACGTTGTGTCGTGTGTCGTGCGTGTGTTGTGTGTGTGGCGTGTGCGGCGTGTGCGTGAGTAGTGGTGTGATGACAAAGGGCCGCAAAGTGGTGCGCACTTTTGGGCGATGTGGAGGTAGTGGTTGATCTTGTCGACGATGGTGTCCTTGAACGGGTCGTTCATCGTATCGAAGAACATCGTCACGTCGAACTCCTCCCCGCTGTACAAAACTTCAACAACAACGACGACGACGACGACGACGACATGTCAGGCTTAATCATCTCCATGACCGAGGAGACGCAGAAGGAGACCTCTAGAGGGCGGAACGTACTGAGGATGACCTTGGACATGGACCTGCCGGTCTGGCCGATCGTAATCTTCTTCTCCGCTCGATCCACGTCGAGCACACGAATCACCTTCGACTCAGTCCAGAACAGCCGCCTGACTCGTGCGCAGCACATACGTGAGCGACAAAGTTGTCCACGGGCGTGTGCGTGTGCGTGTGCGTGTGCGTGTGCGCACCTGTTGGTGACGCGCTTGATCTTCTTGCGGAGGAGATCGACGATGACCTTGCGCTTGGCCATCAGCAGCACCACCAGCGGAATCAGTGCGGCCACGCAGAGCGCGAACAGATACCTAGAGGCACAGCACCACCAGCGCCGGCGCGATGTGGCCATCAGCATGGTCGTCATGTGCGCGTGCCGTAGGCAGCCAAGCAGGGACTACGTACAGGCCCGTGTGATGGTTAAGGATGAGCGCCAGCAGCGCCCCCACAGACGACACACCTGCATTTATGAATAAATAATCAGAATAATAAGAATAAAAAACAATCAAAAATTAATCATTAACACATAAATAAATGGTAACAATTAAAAAAAATAAACAAATAAACAAATAAAGACTATTAATAAGTGCAGAGCGTGGGGAGGACCGATGAGGGTGGCGAGGACGCCCAGGAAGACGTTCCAGTGAGAAACGTCCTCTACAACCAATTGGAAGCCCCGTGTGCGGAGGGCTATCCCAGGGCCGAAGAACGACGTCCACGACTCTGGATCGTTTGCTGTCTGCTCTCGCATCTTTTTATTTTTTGTGGTGAAAAAAATACTCGAATTACTTTTCTTTTTCTTTTGATTTCTTCCACGACTCAACGGGAAAGTGTTGTGTTACAGCCAACCTTCGGTTCACCACGGCAAACTGGCCACCAGGTTGTGTCGTGGTCCGCGTTGCGTTCTGCCCTGAGCAAGGAACGTTGTTCTTGTGGCGACGCACCCGGTGTTGTCGGCTGCTCTATCTCGCCACAGTACCCTGACCTCGTCTGCTAGCAGAGTGGTGATCTCGTGAGCCTCCGGCGCAACCACTTTTCAATTAATAATAATACAACCCAAACACAAACACCGAACAACAAGGAAGGAGCAAGAAGAGGGAGAAGAAGAAAAAGGATGGCCAGCAGCGGTGGTGGTGAGGCGGGGGCGACGTCGGCGACGAACCGGGAAGCCGCAGCTTCGCCACGCCTGCGCGGCGACTCGATTACAGATGAGGACCCGTGGATAGCCAACAAACGATTTGATGTCATCGAAGGGGGAGGCGGGCGACAACAAGATGACGAAAAAGGTGGAGGGGGGCGGGGCTTGCCCGCCGTGCTGTCGCCCCGCTTCCTCAAACGGAGCAAGCGGTCGGACACGGCCGGCAATGCCAGCCGCGAGAGGGACAAGGCCCTGGTCGCCGCCCTAATCGACAGAGAGAAGGGAAAGAGCAAAAAGAAGGGCTCGGTGGGGTCGGCGGACGACCTCGCCTCACCCAACCACCCGATACTCTCTGACGAACCCAAGGTTGGTCCAGTTCCCTCCCTTTCGTCTTCGTCTTCGTTCTTCGCCCCCCCCCCGTTTCTTTTTTTCGTTTTCGTTCTTTGGCTTCGCTTTGTTTCTCGCAGAGCTTGTTTGTAGCGGTCTGCTGAGCGCTCTTGCGTCGTTAGAGGCTTCGTTCTATTGTTTTGCTTTGCCACACGGTCGTTCTGATGGTCTGGTGGTGGGCTGTGATGGCGGTGGTGGTGCAGAGTCCGAGGGGCAGGGCGCGAGGCCAGCTGCTGCGTTCGTTCTCGCAGACGGCGCTGGTCGACTCACGCAACAAGTCAGAGCTCGGGAAGCGCGAACGCCTCAAGAAGAGCGGCGAGGTGAGCACCGCCGCTGCGGCGGCAGGCGCGGCACGCAGCCCGCGCAGCGACTCTGCCGCGCGCACGGCCGCCGCCGCCGCAGCCTCCCATACTGCGCAGGGGCTGCAGCTCAACAAGAGCGCGCCGCGTTTCCACTCGTTCAGCCAGCAGGAGAAGAAGGAGTTCGAGCAGAAGATCAAGGGCAGCAACATCCAGTTCTTTCGCAACACCAAGAAGAGCAAGAAGGGACCCATCTACCGCAACGTGCTCGAGGACGCCGACCAGGCCCTTCCCTGGCCGACCGAGATCGACGCCGGCATCGAAGAAGTGGCGGACGCCGAGGCCGAGGTGTCGGACGATGATGACGTCATCAGCGAGCGGCGCGCGAAGCTGCGACGTGGATCGGACTCGAGCGACCCGGGCAGCAGTGACTGCGACGACACGTCACCGAGGCCCAAGCGGAAGATCACGAGCAGCACCAGCCCGCCGGTGCCGACCTCGCCCAAGGCCTCGTATCTGACGCCGGAGCAGCTCAAGGAAATGGTGCGCGAGCGCAAGCTGGAGATCAAGCGCGAGCGGGAGCGCGAGAAGCGCGAGGAGAAGGAGAAGGCCAAGCGCGAGAAGGAGGAGCTCAAACAGAAGAAGCAGGCGGCGGTCAAGCGGACCAACAGCCGCGATGACCAGCCGTTCCCGGGCATCTCGCTGGCCAACGACAAGGTCAAGTCCCTGCTCGAGCGCGAGTCGTCTGAGTCGGCCGCCGGTAGCGCTGACGAGGACCGGCCCACGACCCCGCGGCGACCTAGCCAGGCGGCCGAGGAGTACATGGAGAGCCCGCGCAGCGTACCGCCGCCGCTCACGCTCTCCCAGGCGGGCGCCGTGGCCGTGCGGGCGGGCGCTGGAACATCGCCGTCGACCTCGGACCTATGCGCTGTTCATTCGTCGCCAGCATCGCCACGCGTCGTTGTGTCCGACTCGCCGCAGAAGGCGGCGGCTGAGGAGGAGGAGCAGCACAGGAAGAAGCTGGAGCAGGCGCGACAACAGAAGGAGCAGCAGCACCAGAAAGAGCAGGAGCAGCGCGAGAAGCAGCTGAAGCTGGAGGCGGAGCGACGCAAGAAGTACAAGAAGCAGATCTCCATCCATCTGGGCATGTCCAAGCAGCAGGTACCAATTCGCATGGTTTTGGCTCCGACGTGCAAACTAACTCCTATTCATCGTTATTGTTGTCGTCGTCACAGAGGCGCAGCCGGTCGTTCTCGGACTTGACCCACTACTTCACCGACCAACCGGACGACGCCAAAGCGCAAGGGCGGAAGAAGGACAAGAAAGAGAAGAAGGAGAAGAAGGAAAAGAAAGAGAAAAAGGACAAGAAGGAAAAGAAGGACAAACACGCCGCCATCAGCAGCAAGGACGCGCCCAGCAGGCCGCTCGTGCCCGAGGTCACGGTGACAGAATCCACCGTCACTGGCTCGAACCCGAGGGACGCACCAGCTGTCGTGCTCCCGCGCATCGCTGTCGCGACGGGCCAGGACCGGGAGCAGGAGCTGCGCGAGATCCGGGAGATGCTCAGTTTCCGCACGAAGAAGAAGGACGAGCCCTCGTCGTCGACCGCCGCCCAGCAAGCAGCGGCCGAGTATATAACCTTCTCTCTCCCGCTCCAAGATCATCGATTTAGCTCCGAGTTCGCTAACTTCTGTGTTTGTGTGGTTCAGTCCCGTCGACCGTAAGTCTGCACGGGAGCGCAAGAAGACGCTCTATCGGTACCGTCACTCTCGTTGGACTATTTTGTATTGTGTTGGTTTTGCGGTGGGCTAACGTGTGGTTGGGGCGACACCGCTCGCAGGTCCAACTCCGAGCAGCACCTGAAGCTGTTGACGGCCAAGATCCCCTCAATGCTCCTGCAGGAGAAGATCAGCGGCGGAAAGGGACTGAAGTCTCAAGTACGGCTTCACCTAACCCCCCCCCCAATGTGCCCCTTGTACTCATTCACGTCGTGTCGTGTGTCGTGTCGTGTGCGTTGTGTTACAGATTGTGCTGAGCAGGCCTGAGCGGGAGTTGATCGATCGCCAAGTGGACATTGCTGAGAAGATGGATGAAATGAACCGAGGCAAGAACGGCTCTCGCGTACGCAAGCGAGGGGACAAGGTGGCAAAGGACCGACTGCGGGCGAATGCTATCGGCGCCGGCGGGGACAGCGACAGCGACGATGACGGAGAAAGCGAAGAGGAAAGCGACAACGAAAAGAACGAAGAGGAGCAGAAGAACGAAGGCCAGGTGTTCGTGCAAGTGCAGCGCGGGCCGGTGTTTGGAATGACGCTCGATGAGGTGATGCGGCTCCAGCAGTCGTCTACGTCACCGCCCACCTCGCCTCAGCCCTCGCCGTCGCTCACGTCGCCCCTGTCGGGCTCGCCCATGTCCTGCTCGCCGCCGGGGTCGCCGCTGGGCATGTCCGCGTCGATGTCGTCGGTAAACACCGCCGCGGCCGTACATTTCACTCTCTCCAAGGACGAGGCCAGGCTGCCCGTGGTACTCACCGGTACGCTCCTTTCTCTCGCTCGTTCGGAGCTAAACTATGAGCGTCGGACTTGGGCTGAGCCACACACACACACACACACACACACACACATGCATGCGCAGCGCTGGCGAATGGAATACTCGAGCTGGGCGGAACGCAGATGACGGGGCTCTTCAGGGTGCCGGGAAAGAAGTCAACAATGGACGTCATCCGAGATCGACTCAATTCTGGCATTTACCAATTCGAAGAGGGTGCGCCACCCCAATCAGATTGTGGTCGTGGCCACGCACACGCACTCATCTTGGCCCATTCCATCAATTCTTTATTGCAGGCACGTGCCCGCACGATTTGGCTTCGCTGATGAAGGAGTGGCTCAAGTCCATCACCCCGCCACTCATCCCTCTCGAGCTCTAGTACCTCTCCCCCCAATTTTCGCACTTCGTTCCTCTCTCTCTCTCTCTCTCCTCTTCTTGCTTTGTCTCCGCGACTGATGGCCATCCCCCCCTCCAAACCCACAGTGATCGGTGCGTGGAGGTGTCGGGCCGTCCCAACGACTGCGTGGAGGTGATCGAAAAGTCCCTGCCCGATCTTAACAAACGCATCGTACGCTACGCCCTCCCCGCATCGGCCGAGCGTTGTTGCTAAACTGTTGCATTGATCGACACGCGGGTGCAGATCAAGTATGTGGTGCGGTTCCTGCAACAACAGATCCTCTCCCCCGAAGTCCAGCGCGCAACGCGAATGGACATCCGCTCCATCGCAACCGTACCTTCTCCTCTCACTAAATCCCCTGTGGTGCTCCACTCACTCATTTTTTTAATGTCCGATTTGTTTGTTCTGTTTTCGCGGGGGCGAATAGGCGTTCGCGCCGTGTTTCCTGGACAACCCGCTCCTTTCGATGGAAGAACTGGTCAAGAATATTCAGGTAACCTATCACACCCCATATATGGGGGGTGTTAAGAGCGCCTAATATATATAATGACCCAATGGCGTGTGTGAACGAACGTGCAGGCGCACATCAAGTTCATGGTGAACCTGCTGATGCTGCTCAACGTCAACGTGGGGAAGATATCGTCCAACGCTGTTCCCGTCCGCAAGCTCAAGGACGGAAACGACGGCGGCTCCGCTTCTCCCAGCAACGAGGAGGCCGAGGCCGCCGCCAAGGAGGTAAACTTTACATTCCAGATGTTTACGCCACCGCACACGCACACGCACCACCGCACTCGACGACACACACACCACCGCACACGCACACGCACGCACACGCACACGCACGCACCACCGCACACGCACACGCACATGAGCTCACGCGGTTCCGTTTCGATGGGTGGTTTGCAAGAGCAGTCGGAGGGTTCGCGGATCATCCCCAAGATGGTGAATGACCGCTTCAAGAAGTGGCAGGAGCGCTCCAAGACCAAGGGCAGCGCATCGGCTCGGGTGACCAGAGGCGAGCGGAAACGAAGCATCGAAAAGAGAGAGTGAGCGTGAGAGCCCAACGCGAACGACACCATCACCAACCCTCTTACCAAGCAAGCACGGCACGGAGGGCATTCGCTTGCTTGCACAATCGCCAGGATTGATATTAGCAGATGTAGCATACACATATTGTTATGATGATAATTAAATAATAAATAGAAATAGAAATTAAAAAAATAATATGCGTAAATATGTTATAATATAATAGATTACAGCGTATGAAGCAGAGGGTGGGGCCGAGCGTGAGAGCAGCTTTTGGTGACCTGCTGGCGGGTCGAGCGGGCTTCTTCGTGGTGGCCGAAGATGGCAGCATCGTGCCGCAGAGTGCATTCGAGTCACGCCCCCGCTTGATCTTCCCAGGTACCCCCCCACGCCACTACTGCCTTTTTGTTCTCTTCTTTGCCACAACAAGGCTGACCCTGCTTCCCGCTGGCGCCACCACCAAGGCTCCTTTAATCCTCTGCACGAGGGCCATCTCGCCCTTGCTCGCGTGCGTGTCTCATCTTCATGATGCAAGCCTAGAAGCTGATCTTGTTCTTGCTGACATGACCGGGGGGGGGCGCACCTTTAGGTGGCCGAGGAGGTGTGCCGGCCCAGCAAGCCGCTCCTGTTCGAGATCACCGCCATCAACGCCGACAAGCCGCCGCTCCCCGTGGAGACCATCGAGGAGCGCGTTCGACAGTTCAGGGGCCGTTGGCCTGTCGCCATCACCACCAGCCCCACGTGCGTCTCACCTTCTCTTGCAATTGTACCACGCACGCACACACCACACATCTCATACACACATGACACGCACGACACAACACGCACTCACACCACGACGCACGACACACATGACACGCACGACACACACCACGTATGATGGTACCAGGTTTTTCGAGAAGGCGCGGTTCTTTCCGGGCTCGACGTTCATCATCGGCATGGTACATGCTGCACACCACTGCCTGGGCCAGTTGGCGGCGTTCGCTCACCACACAGCCATGTGATCGGGTGGTGTGCGTTGTGTGTGTGTGTATATGTGTGTTGGGCCAGGACACGGCGGTGAGAGTGCTGCAGCCCAGGTTCTACGACAACAGCGAGGAGAAGATGAAGGTCGGCTTTCGCGAGTTCCACCAGACACTGCACTGTGACTTCATGGTCGCCGGCCGCACGGTGCGCTTCGCTTTCCGATCGAAATTGTTCTGTGTGGCTGTGAGCTCACGATCGAGTGCGAGCTTAGGTGGGCAGCGGCAGCTTCATGGAGCCCGAGCAGCTGGAGGTGGACGACGAACTGCGGCCGTGCTTCGCGCAGCTCATCTCCAGCGATCGCTTCCGGCACGACATCAGCTCGACGCAGATCCGGGAGGCCAAGCTCAGAACACAACAAAGTGCGGGCTGCGACCAACGCACATGACGAGGCTTGTAGAGCGAGAGTAGGTTAAGTCCCAGGCAGGGGGCGGTGGTGTATTGATAAGTGGGTGCGATGATACGAGAACAACACAATACGAGGTGCCGCCCGCCCGGTGGGTGGGTGTCTGCGCCGACCGTGTCTATGGTAGGGTCGACGGGCGCAGGCGGGCTGGCGATCAGGCGTAGTTGCGGTCGCAGCTGACCACGCACTGCTGGCCGGCGGGGCACACTGCGCCGGCGGGACGGTACACGCCCTGCACACATGCCCAAGCGCGCCACTCACCCGTGTCAGTCATTCCTCCTCACCAACAGGTGTGGCCTGGGCCAAGCAGTCAACACGTACCGAGGAGTTGGGGTAGCACCGGCCGACGTCGGCGTAGAAGATCACGCTGGCGATCGAGATCGGGTAACAGCCCTAGTGATGGATCGTGGCGGTGGTTACAATGTGAACCATTGCACTATGCAACCACGCAACAACGAGAGCCAAGGTGGTCCGTCGCACCTGAGCGTCACGGTACGAGGGCACGTTGTCGACCAGCACCCGGGGGCAGCAGCCGTTGACGTCGCTGAAGAAGCCGTTGGCGCACAGGCGCGCACCACCCTGCTGCTCGGCCACGACGATCGCCATGTCCGGGCACTCGGGCTCGCACACGCGGTCGGCCGGACACACCGCACCGGCGCTCCTGTACACTCCCTGTGTGTGCGTGTTGGTTAGCCCTGCTGCTGGGTGGTGCGGTGTGCGGGTGTGGACGCACAGCCGAGCTGGGGTAGCAGCCGCCGGCATCGGCGTAGAAGGCGACGCCGCTGATGATACGCGGGAAGCAGCCCTGGGCGTCGGCGTAGAAGGGGACCGAGTTGACCACGACGGGGCAGCAGCCGCGCTGGTCGGGGAAGAAGTCCGAGCCGGGGCACCTCTGGCCCATGGCCGCGCTGGCGGCGCAGAGCACAACGAAGAAGCAGAGAGCAAAGCGGTTCATGTTGGTGTTGTGTTGGTGGTGTTGGACTTGTAGTCTTGTTGTTAGCTGCTGTTCAAGTGTTGAAGATGAGGTGAAGAAAAGCCGATGCCGAGCTCTGGTTTATGTAGTGAGCCCTGGCCAATCAGAGAAAGGGCTCTGTTGGGATAAAGCGCCTGGTGGGCGATTGGAAAGGTTCACGAGATGCTCGCCATGGGGGGCGGGGTGCAGGAACGCCAGCCCAGCACCTCCACCGCCACACCAGCGAAGTTCCGCTGGTCGACGCCACCACAACATGAATTGTAGAAAGTGGGGCGGGCGAAGGTTCAATACCTGTGGTTAGCTGTGTTATGTACATGATGCTAAGTACACCACTCATCGTCGACCTGCCACACGCCCAACAACAATGTAAGACAACAAGCAACTGATGTGTTTGTCGAGTATGTATGTTGTATGTAAATGTTATGTAGAGCTGTACATAAACAGAGATGATCAAGACTGTCCGTTTCGTCAGTCGGCAAAGTTGCGCGGCGCAGAGGGAGGGTAGGTGGTGGGTAGGACGGACTTGCCTCCGTGGTGGTGGTGGTTGAGGCGTCGCGACCAGTACACGAAGCCGAACACCGCGCCCACGACCACCACCATAAATAGCAGGTTGAACGACGTCCTGCACGTGAACACACCACACACACACAACACCGTAACGCAAAGTTACAGCGCCGTGTGCGCGGAGGTGACGAAAGCGCGGGCAGGTGGGTGACCTGTTGAAGCTGAGTCCATATCCCCTGTGGGTGTCGTAGTAGAGTGACGACCGCGCACCGGCCTCCATGCAAAACTCGTTCAGCTGCTTCTCGTCGGTCAGCGAGCCTGCAACGTTCGGGCCACACCCCGCAGAGCATGAGTGTTTTATGTCGCGTGTGTCACATGTGTGCGTGTGTGTCGTGTGTGTGGTGTGTGTGTGTGTGTGTGTGACCTGTGTAGAGGTAGGAAAAGGTGGTGGTGTCTACGCCAGCCTCCGCTGCCCACGTTTCAGTGATCACCGTCTCTGCAGCAGTTGAAATGATCAAACACAACACACCGCACACACGCACGCACAGCGAACGTAAGCCGGCCGAGAGGGGGATGAGGCTCATCGCTCGAGTTGCGCTGTATCAAGGGCGTACCGCTAAGATCGACCGGGGAGAAGACGACCAGGGCGGGCAGGGCCTCGATTCGGTACGTGGTCTTCCACGAGGGAACGAAGTCCGCGCCTCGCACGAACCCAAACAACGCCGAATCCTTCCACCTGTCTCACCGCACACACCGCACACGCACCACCGCACACACACGGCTCCACAACAATGAGTGGCGCACGACAGAGCGGTGGAGTGACGGCGTTATGGACGTACGTGAGCGCGAGAGAGACGAACTGAACCGGGGCCTCGTGGTTGTCGAGATCGGTCGGGCTGGCGAAGTAGACGATGCGCGGGAGCGCGGCGGCTTCGTTCTTTTCGGCCAGGAAGCGCGGCAGGGCGACGCTGGGCGAGGTGAGCGTGACGTAGGAGTGGTTCAGGTTGGTCAGCACAAACTGCACCACGCTGCGCTGGTCGTTGCGCCCCTTGTAGTGCAGCGGGTGCTCCTTGTCCCGACCGAACAGGAACACGCTGGGCACGCCCTTGATGTCGTAGTTGGGTGTCATCTTCCTGTGCTTCGTCACGTCCACCTGTCGCACCCAACCAGTGGTCAGCACACCGCACACACGGCACGCACACGGCACACTGCACACACCGCACGCACGGCACACGACGCGAGTAGGTGGTGGGAGGCTGTGCCTGGCCGACGGGCATGATGGACTGGAGGTCGTTGGCGATCTTCTCGAGTTCGGGCGCGAAGGCCGTGCAGTGCCCGCAGTAGGGCGAGTAAAACTCCACCAGTATCGGACCCTCCCGTTGCAGCACCAGCTACAACCCCACAAAGATGATCATCATCATGAGAATTGACGAAATGATACAGATTATAATGCTGCGCATCACCTCCTTTCAATAATGCTGATTTAATACATCCATCAGAGGTGCCAACGTACTGCGTTGAAATTGTCATCAGTGAGCGCGATGAGATTGCTGCCGGTAGCGGAGGCGTTGATGAGCCCCGCTAGCAGCAGCGTACAGAGGACCACCAACGCCGTTTCCTTCGCCCTCATCACGATGCACCTTGGCGACACTGCAATACCAACGATCACGACAGAACGAAATAGTATTTCTTTTCTTCTGTTTGTGGTACCGAGCTGCGCAGGAGCTCGCGCCGACAAGACAATGGCACGTCTCTCTTCTTTCACGAGTCGGGAACCTCGTGATCGTCATCATCGGGCGTGAGCACCAGGTCGAGCGTGCGGTCATGAGGCAGCGTGGGAATGTCCTCCTCGAGCTGCTCCGTAAATCCCAAACCGACTGGCAGCAGACACAAAGCAACACACATCAGCTCATTGTTGTGTGTGTTGTGTGTGTGTGTGTTGTGCGTGTGCACGTGTGCGTGACGAGGACGCAGGGAATACCCAAGTGTGGTCGTGGGCGGTTGTGCTGCTCTGCGATTCGCTCGGCGTGCGCAATGTAGCGGTCGTAGTAGCCCTTGCCCTTACCCAGCCGTTGCCCACTTCGAGAGAAGGCGAGCCCCGGCACAAGGATCAGATCCAGCTTGCCTCCCTCCGCCGCTACACACACACACACACACAGGTAGCGTGAGAATGATGGTTGGTAGCAGCGCAGGCACCAAGGGCAGCCGGGCAGCGCTGTACCTTCGGTACGGTGCTTGATACTGTCTGCTGGAGGTTCGAGGATGCCCCAGTTGTTGTGGCACTCGAAAGTGTTGAGGTCCTCGAGCGACGCCACGCTCAGCATCTTCATCTCTCCTTCCTCCGTGTGCGGAACATAGCACACCATGCCTGGTTGAGAGAGGATGTGCTCGACAATGGGCCGGGTGTCGATCTCCCCGGGCACGCTCAGATAGACAGCGACATGCTTGCTGCCCTTGAAGAGCGGCAGAGCGCGCAAACGGTCCCACACGCGCTGGGCTGCACGAGATGCAAGATTTCGAGCATCAATGAGCGCATGCACTTATGCAGGAGAGCAAGCGCCACATGCATGGCATGCCTAAAGGCCAGAGGGGAAGACATACACTGAGTGTGCTGTGCATCGGGGGCGAGGGTGCCGAGACGCTTGCGGACGGCGCGGCGTAGGCCGGATTTGAGATGCATCACCTGCTCTACCGATACGCTGTTACCCCAACGTTGATGTGCCATCGCTCTCGTGCTGTGCAGCAGCAGCGTGCGTTCGGTAGGTGATGTGGTGGCGCATCTCCACGGAAGGGTAACAAAGAAGTGTTTATTCATTTTCTCTTGGCTTGGTATGCGGAAAATGCGAATTGAATTCAGTAAAAAATTTGCCTTGTACGTTGTCCATCGATTGGCAAGCCCTCAATCATCACAAACAAAAGAAGCAAACCATGGCGCTGTCGAGCGGTGATGCGAGGAAGCGATTCGAGGCCGAGAACAAGATCGCGACCGAAGACCCTGACCACATCTACAAGTACGATGAGGCCAAGCACCAGGGCTGGACCAGCCAGCGTTTGTGGCAGAAAGAGTACCTACTGCCTGCCCTTTCTTTCTTCAGCATGACCTTGCGCGTGCCGCCCACTTGTCAGCGACGCTCAACCTCAATTTACTTGTAATGCTTGCATCAACGCTCATTTCTAATTTATGTACATTTTCCAGCCCCAACTACTTCAAGAAGGTCAAGATCTCTGCCGTTGCGTTGCTCAAGATGGTACGCACACAATCTCGAAGCAAATGGACCTGCCTCCCGCGTGCGCCGACATTTTGTTTGGAATCGATGTAGGTGATGCACGCGCGGTCGGGCGGCAAGCTCGAAGTGATGGGCTTGATGCAGGGCAAGATCGACGGCGATACCATGATCGTGATGGATTCGTTCGCCCTGCCCGTCGAGGGCACCGAGACGCGAGTCAACGCGCAGGTGGAGGCCTATGAGTACATGGTCAGCTACCTCGAGCTCATCGGGCAGGCCGGTCGTCTGGAGAACGCCATCGGTTGGTACCACAGCCACCCCGGCTACGGCTGCTGGCTCTCCGGTATCGACGTCGGCACGCAGATGCTCAACCAGCAGTACCAGGAGCCTTGGCTCGCCGTCGTCGTACGTGTCATTCCTCTCTCGTCTTGGCTCTCGCATGTGTGGTTGAGACCCTCCTGACCGACGTTTGATCGCGATGTAGATCGATCCCACCCGCACCATCTCCGCTGGCAAGGTCGAGCTGGGCGCCTTCAGGACGTACCCCGAGGACTACAAGGCCCCCGATGAGGCCCCGTCCGAGTACCAGACCATTCCCATCTCCAAGGTACCGTCTCCACTTCTTTCTAGCTCGAGGCACACCGAGAACGTCCGCCACTTTGAGGCTCACTCTGTGTGTGGGCCTATACAGATCGAGGATTTTGGTGTGCACTGTAAACAATACTACCCGCTCGAGGTCTCGTACTTCAAGTCGTCGCTCGACTCGCAGCTGCTCGACCTCCTGTGGAACAAGTACTGGGTCAACACCCTCTCCTCCTCGCCTCTTCTTGCCGTACGTCCTCTCTACCCTTCATTCGTGCAGTTGTGTGTGTTGGTGACTTACGGTTGTTGGCGGCGAGCAGAACCGTGACTACTTTGCTGGAGCGATCCACGATCTGTCGGAGAAGCTGGAGCAGGCGGAGACGCAGCTGTCACACAGCGGGCGCATGGGCGGCTACCTGGCGCCGGAGAAGAAGAAGGAGGAGTCGCAGCTGGCCAAGCTCACCAAGGACTCGACCAAGACGACGATCGAGCAGGTGCACGGGCTCATGGCCCAGGTCATGAAGGACATCCTCTTCAACATCAACAAGTCCGAGACCTCGTCCTCCTCTTCCTCTTCTCAGTGAGTAGGGTGACTCTCACCAGGCACACCATTTGCACATGTGATGAACAAGAGAGACCTTCCTGTGAACACCCAATACATGAACTCCCTGCACATGGCCCAGTTGTTGTTTCCTTCCACACACACGAGAGTGGGGCGCTCTCAGTCAAAACTCCTCGAGTACTTCTTGATCTCGTACGTGAGGGTTGGGTCGGGCACAAGGTTCTTGGACAGGTCCTGGTGGTGTTTGGTGTTTTGTGTGGAGGTGAGAAAGCTTCTGAACGAGTGAATGAACGCCTCCCACCTGTCTGTGTACCTTGTGGTAGGTCTTGACGATATCCGAAAAGCTCTTGTACAGAACCGCCAGCTCCATCAGCACACGCCGCAGGATCTCCGCACTAGAAGCGCACACGCATATGCACCACGCATCACCACCACCACCACCACCACACCACACACACACACACAGTATGAAAATCAGTGGTGAGGAGGGTGGGGGGGAATGGCAGTGTTCGGTTGTATCGTACCCCTTGATGAAGTTGGAGAAGTTCATGACCTCACCGGACAGCTGGACGAACACGGCCTTCCACGTGGCACCAAAGTCCTCGATCAACTTCTCGCACATGTCTGCGCAAAACAGGCGGAGGAAGAAATGATGAGGAGGAGAGTCAGGCCACATGTCACATGTGCCGTCGACACAGAGCGGCGTTGGGTCGGTTGGTGGGTGGGGGTGGCTGTACCCTTGTCGACGTTGATCTCGCGCGGCGAGGCCGTCTGCGCTAGCTTGGCCTTGACGGTCTCCACGAATTTGATCATGCGGCCGTAGTGGTGCGTCAGCTCTTGGTCGACGAACGAAGTAATTTGCTCGTCGCACTGTCGTGTGTCAAGCACTCCTCGCGTGAGTCACACACACACGACACACACACGACACACACACGACACAATAATAATAATAAACACAGCGAGGGCGGAGGGATACCAGAGCAGAGAATTTGATGACCTCCTCGGACTGGATGTTGAACTCGTGCAAAACTTTGAGGATCAGGTCGTAGTTGTTGATCAGGAACACGGTCTGGTTCTTCTTCGAGCTGTGAAGGGTGGCCATCCGCGTCTGCAGAGAAAGATAAGCTTTTGTTTGCTTCTTCTTCTTCTTCTTCTTCTTCTTCAGCTCGAGTAAGTTGAGGGACAGCGCGTACCAACAGATCGCCCATGGCTCGCCGAAGCCCCGCGCAGGCCTCGGCCACGCCGCCCATCTGCCACCACTCGGCCTCCACGCCATCAAAGATGACACACCTCGTGGCCGAGAACTCGGCAAAGCGCAGCGTGATGTAGTGTGGATGGGTCGTCTGGACGTTGAGCCGAGGGATCGGCGCCGAAATCTGCGCCGTTCGTCGTGCGTGCGTGCGTTGAGAACAAAAGTGAAGTGTGAGCTGCGAACAGCAAAAGAAAAGATGGTGCTGGGCGCCAGTACCAGACTGTCGGTGTTCATGGCGAGGATGGTCGCCAGTCGCTCCTGCAGCTGCAGCCGACTGCCCACAAAGTACTTCTCAAGATGCTGAAAGAAAGAAAGAAGGAAAGAAAAAAAGGAAAGGAAAAATGGTCGTGAGTCGACCCTGCGCTTCTACGAGACGACGCGATGGTGAGCGCTGCGACGTACGATGATGGTGAGCTTTCGATTCTTCGACATCAGGTTCGTGAACTGGTGGGCCATCCTGACCATCAGCATCACTGGGCGCGTGCGACGAATTCGAATGAGCGCGAGCCAGGAGAAACGAAACAGCAATCATTGGCGGATGCGGCGGCGGAGAAGGTGGGCGTACGTCCAACGGCGTCGTAGGAGTTGAGAAGGTGGGTGGCGAGGTGCTCGGAGAAGAGGATCAGCGACTTGCCGAAAATCTCGTCAAACAATTCCTCCCTCGACAGAACGCCTGTCCATTCATGAAGGGGTGTAAGGCTGAAGCTAAGAAAGAACACAAAAACTCATAATAATAACTCATAATAACGCTTTCATTATTTTTGTGATATAATAATTTTATTAAAGAATTATATTTAATAATAATAATAATGATAAATAATTAGGAGGGTACCGGATGAGCTGCCGCGAGCAGGGTTGGAGTGGGCCACCAGAGAGGGCGGGAGAGACGGAGGGGCCACGGGGGTGGCGGTGTGGGCCTGCCCGAAGAAGTCCGACTGGAAGGCTGCATACAGAATTGCAGGTCCGCTTGTTAGCACACGCACGCATGATCAACGGCTACGCCAAGGACGGGAAGGTTTTGGGTGTGAGCTTACCGCACTCGTGGGTGATTGTGTCGAGCAGCAGGTGGTGGTAGCTGCGGTACAGCTCTTCGAAGATGATCTTTTGGTTCGTTTGCAGAGCGACGTGAGGCACCTGTCGGAATCGCGAAAGTACACGAAAGAAAAAAAGTCAAAAAAAGAGGGGAAAAATGCACGCACACGCACCGCACACGCATCACCGCACACAAATGGTGGAAGGCATACGATTGAGGGAGAGTCGATCTGCTGAAGAATTTGCGCCCGATCACCCAACGAGAAGACGTTGACCTGCTGCTTGATGTCCACCTTGGCGCTTGACCCCAACCAACCGGACGCTGTGGGTAAATAATATTGAACCAATATTCCAAATATTAAGAACTGAAAAAAAAAGAATAAAGAAGAAGAGAGCGCTCGTACTCTTGCGCTGTTCTTCCGGGACGCCGATGAGATCGCCCCTCTTGGCGGTGCTGTATGCCAACTTGGCGAGGGCCTGGATGTAGTTCTTGAAGTGGGCCGTGAAGATCTTGGACATCGTGTCGGCGTAGTTCCTGCTCACCTGTGGATCCACCGGGGCAAGCAACAGTGAGAACAAGCGCATTGGGGAGAGAGAGATAAGCGGCTGCAGTCGGTGGTCACGGACCTCAAGGGCGACGTCGGGCGCATAGGTGGCGATGAAGTGGAAAAGGTATTTGTACTTGACGAGCGTGCTCTGCTGCATGATTTGTACATTCTGCGCGACAGAGTCCAAAAACAAAAATACAAAAATAATAAAAACAAAAGGTTCGTGTGAGCCTCAAGCGCGCCCGCAAACGTTCGAAACCGAGCAGGGGAGGGCTTACCGTGTTTGGCTTGCGCAGTGCGTAGATTCGCTGCAGCAGGAAGTCGCGTATCTTCGCCACGGCCTGGAGGCAGGAGATGAGGAGGAAAAGAACGTGTCCGTCAATCACTCGATTGTAATTTGTTAGCCGGTCGTTGGTGGGTTGGAGGTCAAGTAAGTTTACCTTGACTCTGAGGCTCTCTAGGTGCGGCGACATCTCCTTGAACGCGACCACTTGGCTATGGTCAGCAGACGCGGCGTATTCCATCTTTTCGTTGAGCTTGGTCAGGTAGGCGATGTAGGCTTCGTTCACCTCGGTGGCGCAGATGTTGCTGAAAGGTCGAAGCGCTGATCAGTACGGCAGGTCGTGTCGACTTCATAATTGATCATAAAGGCCACCTATGGTGGACGAGACTTACTTGACCAAGTTCTTGGGCAGCATGATGTCCTCGATGAACGCCGACAGCTTCGTCTCTACAGCCTATTATTATGATATTCGAACATTCAGATGTTAGCGCCACACGCAACTCTAGATAGCTGTTGCCCTCCATGTCCATACCTTTCGGTTGCGCAGCTTCACGCTCATGGAGGAGGACTGCTCCTGTAGGTACTTGATCTCCTCCGAGATGTTGCCCAGGTCGGCCTGGAATCCGCTCAGCATGCTCTCCATCCTGTTGACACGGAAATGGCACACAACTCTTGGTAATGATTGACAATAATAAAATGAATGGTTCATTGGGCCAGGCGCACCTCTGCAGTACTTCATCGCACGTGCTGATCGTCGAGAGGAGCGTCAAGAAGTTCTTGGACTCGGCGATGTAGTCCTCCACCGACTCTCGCTCCTTTGGGCGTGAGTGAACGAACGCGCAAAAGTAAGCAGTCGACCCAATGGACTCGGCGTGTGCACTCGGCGGTGGTGTCAAGCCGGTACCGTCTTGTAGAGCTCCGCCTCGGTCTGAGCGGTGTATTCGCGAAGGTTGACGCCTTGGTTGAGTGCCTCTTTGACGCGCTCGTCCTGCACCAAGGTTGCACAAGATTGCGCGTGTGAGTGCAAGGTGTGTGTAGGTGGGAGGGTGAGAAGGGGGTATGTTGGCCGTACCTGCTGGAACTTGTCGATCAACTCTGTGCACAGTTATTGGGACCACAAAGCACACAGCGCACGTTAGGGACACTGCGTGGTGCAGCTGTGCAGCGAAAGAACGAACACGAACCATCAATCTCTTCGAAGTCAAACTCGTCGTTGGTGAGGTCCAGCCCTCTGTCCAACTCTTCCAGCTGCACGTCGTATGCGATTAATAAAACGATTTGTGCACAGGGATGTGCGGTAGCAGTTTCTTTGGAAACGTGCAAGGCAGGAAGAGGTCGTACGCATTCTTCAATGGTGTCGGTGCCTAGCACATGGTCCACCTGGCTCTTGGTGCGAGGCCGCCTGGCCCGCCCCCCGTGGCCTGTCGATTGGGTTGGCGAATTTCTGCCCGGCTGTGACCCACCACCGTTAGATGCCCCGTGACCCAGAAGGCTGTCTCGTTTCTTGAGATCTTCTGCCGAGAGCTTTTCCTGGACCCCTCCTTCCAATCTCTTGCGTTCCATCATGCCCAATGCACAATTCAAAAGCAATGTTCAGGAAATTCATTTTCCTTTTTCTTTTGTCGCTAGTCGCTGCACCGCATCGTGCAATGGAGGCGTGGTTGTTGCAAGGTCGTGGGCAATGCTCGTCAAGTACATGCTCGTGGGGTGAAGTCAAAACGACGGATCGAACTCGCACCTTAGTCCGGGCTACCACTTACACCACCGTCCCACCAAGTTCCACTGCCAGCACATGCGCACAGTAAAGAGACCCGCTGGATTCCACCGAGGGTGGGTGATGGCTCCATCGAGGCGGAAGGTGCGATCGCCTGTCTCGCACAGTTCAGCCGATGGTAGCCAGCGCCCGTCTCGCATAAAAGAGCCGCTTCGAGCTACTGTGCTCGTAGGCCACCCCTCACCTTGGCCAGCTGCGTGAATGTCGGCTGGAAGTAAGCCACTAGGACACAGAACCAAAGAGAGATGGTGGCATTGCTGTAAAGGCCCTTTTCAAAGCAATCGGGATCCTGGCCATAAGGCACCACGGCGACCTGGTGCTCGGCGACACCGTCACTGATTTCCCGTCGACACCGGCAAAAAACCCTTGGCGTGCAATCGATACTTGCTTCTGTCATTGAATTACTGCATCGCCTTCGCTTTACGGGTACGCACCATAACACAGATCGGGACTTTAAGTTGTTCGCAGCCGCTTCTGGTGTTAAATTCTCATTGCTTCTTTAATTGCAATAAATCCATTTTATTTATTAATTTGGATCTCTCTTCGCCAATTCTTAGGAAATGGCGGATCGATCGAAGAAGAAGGAGCATAAGAAAGGCAAAGACAAAAAGCAAGGCTCAGCCACCAAGTTGGGCCTTGTCTTTGGCCGGCGATTGGAGGAGGTAATCGAAATGCAGAATAATGGCAACTACGTGCCCAACATCGTGCGCGACACCATCATCTGGCTGGAGGCCAACGGAGGTTCGCCACTCCCCTCTGATCCTATCTTTTCTGTTTTCCAACACATTTGAAACCGTGTAGCGTCGTGGGCGACAACGGCTTTGCTGCAGCATTTTTTCTCACATCTTTTCTGGTCCACGCCCTGCACGCGTGTGCGATGGCACTCTCGTGCGCGGTCAACACAACAGCAATCAATGAAGAGGGATTGTTCCGCGTGCCGGGTCAGATGACCATCATCGAGAACCTCAAGAAAGAATACGACACACGTACATACATGCCTCTTCCATTCAGCTCGCAATGGTTCACCTGTCTCATGCTCTCGTTCGGCACCAAGGTGGTACTGGCACTCTGGACGGCATCACCGATGTTGCGTCGGTGGCGGGCCTTCTGAAGCTCTACCTGCGCGAGCTGCCCGAACCTCTTCTCGTCTTCCGATTCTACTCCACATTTGTCAAGATCGCAAGTGCGTACCACAGGAGCCACCTGCAGCGTAGTTGGTGATTGAGCTCACCACGTATGGTCTCGCAGAGAATCCCGAGGCCGAGTCACGCCTCCGCAATCTGCGCATCCTGGTCAATGGTTTGCCTGAAGCCAACAAGGCGACTGTGTTCTATCTACTCCAGTTCCTCTCGAAGGTCGTCGCCAATGAGAAAGTGAACAGGCACGTACATTACGTTATCTTATCTTCTCCTTTCCGGTAGATCACATTCGCTGATCTGCTGCGACATGGCGGTGGTGAACAGGATGTCGGCAGCCAACCTGGCGATGATCTTCTCGCCTAATCTTCTGCGAACAGAGAAGGAGGAACTGTCGCAGATCATGATGGAAGCTGGCTACCTGACCAGCGTTGTAAAGTTGATGATCGAGGAGATTGACTACATGACCAACGTACGCCCACAACAACACATCTCTGGGATTGCTACCGTTGCTTATTCCCTCCCTCTACCAGAAAACCGACCAACCGGCGACAGTCAAGATGTCGGGGGGCTCACAGATTGTCATGCCCAAGGCGGACCTGGTAACGTTACCCTGCCCCTTCTTGATCCATATGCGGGGTATCCATTCATATATATTTTTCTCTGCATATGTATATGCTGTCCATCCACGCGCCGCCACGTATCCATCCACACTCGCCGATCTTCAGGATCTAAGCAGCCAAAGCAGTGGCAACGGCGTTGACGTGCGCTCCTCTTCTTCTCTCCTGGCTCTAGCTTAGCCTCCAGCTGTCCATTCAAACCCTCCATCGTGCTGTGTACTGATGTGTTCGCTTGACTGACTGTTTCCCTTTCGTGCTGTCTCCCGCCCGATTTGATGCAACCCTCCACAGATACCGCTGGCTGAGATGCAGAGGCGAATGTCGCTGCATGGCAGTTCGAGCGAGATCAGAACGTTCCTCGAGACTCAGGCCGCGGAGCAGCAGCAGCAGACGGAGGGTGCGAGCGAGGACGGTAAGGGAGACAAGGAAGAGGAGAAGGCCAAGAAGTTGGCCGGCGACGAAAGCGGTTCGCCGCCGGAGATCTCGGCCAGCGAGCTGAAGAAGAAGGAACTGGAGGACATCAAGCAGAAGGTCAAAGAGAAGGAGGATCTCCTCAAGCACCTGCGAGAGCAACTCGACGAGGACAGCGACGAAGACGAGGTGGATGCCGGCGGCGAGGGCAGCGAAGGCGAGGGCAAGAGCGACGGCGAAGGTGGCGAGGGAGGCGCCAGCAAGGCCAAGACGAGTACGGACGAAGAGGCCGACAGCAAGGCCAAGAACGACAACGAGGCCCACAGCAGCAAGATCACGTCGTCCACCCTTCTACTTGACGAGTTTGGAGGCAGGTGAGAGAGAATGAGAGAGATGAGAGAGAAGAGAGAAAAGAGAAGAGGGGTGGAGCCCTCGGAGGAAACGACCATTGCTGCGGAGGCGGCGTTAGACAGCCAGCCGTTAGACCGAGGTGGCGACGACTGCGCAGAGCGGCAAGGGAAAATGTGAGAGATGGCGGTGGTGACCAACCTTCCGTCTTCTTCTCCTCCTCTCCATCTCCTTCTTCTTCTTCTTCCTTCTCTCCCAACCTCTGCGCGCTCTCGCCGCCACCTTGTTTGTGCACTCCCGCTTGTGTGGGTTGTGGCTGTACTTTTACGACCAACCATTTCGTTCTTTCCCTGTTGCAGTCGATTCCACCCTGCTACTCTCTTCTCTGATTTGAGAAGTTGACGAGTGTTCCAGTTGTGATCGGCAATCAGAGGGGCAGCACGGTTCGAGCGGTGCCCATCAGGAACTGCTGGCAGAAGGGAACGTAGGAAGCCCCGTACCTGAAGAAGTTTGGGAGGAGACGATGTTAGGAGCTCCACCTCCTGACTGAAGAAAGTGTGAGACCGCTCATGAGAGCGCATCTGGTACCAGAGGGCAGCGCCGAACTGGACGATGACCATGATCAACGTGAGGCCTGTGTTGTGTAACTGTTTGGGCGCGCGACACAAACGAGTGGTGAATAGCTCGAGAAAACGGGTACAATCGGCTGGAGAGGTACCGACAGAGCGGCGTAGAGGGTGCCGCCCATGGCGCCAAAGTAGATGAGGGTGGACATGTAGCGGGCGGGCTGGAACATGGACTGCAGCTGCTTCCACGGTCCCATCAAAAAGAAGGTGCTGGTCATGTGCACCCAGATGCCGTTAGTCGATGTTGGGGGTGCGTCACTGTGCTGCTGGTGCGTGCCCATGTGTACTTACCTCCCAATGAGGAAGAGTGAGCCCACGGTGTAGAACTTGGCAAACGTTCGTGGTATGACGAGGAACCACGTCGACTGCAGTTGAACGCGAAGAGAGGCGTATGTCAGTCGGGACTGAAAGAGGGTGGGGAAGAGGTGCATAGCGTACAAGGAAGCAAAAGCCAATGCCGAACGCCAGGCACACAGCAAACGCCACGATTCGCTGTTCCGTCGCAGCGACAGAAGAGGGACACAGCGTGTACTTCAGCACCAACATGTTACATGCGACAGCCCACGGGCTGCACGTACCCTGCACACAACAAGAATATTTAATTTTAATAAATCTAGAATTACATCAATGCAGGAGAAAAAGAGTACTTTTTCCAGGAGAGGGAGGTGGCAGAGTCCAGTTCCTCGAAGAGGGTCGGTGGCCGCGCGGGCGCCATGCCCAGCATGGACTTTGCGGAAGCCAGCCCTGCCCCCAGCGTCTCCATCTTCGTTATCTTTTCTTGCCACGTGGCAAGGAAATTGCTAAAGAAAAAAAGAGAAAAAAAGTCACACCAGACCGTGGCTCCACACGTGTGGGGTTACAAAGGGCAAGTGAAACAAGATGAGAGCAAGAGGGGCGAGGCTGGTGATGGCCACCACGGTAGTGGTGGTGGTTATGGTGCTGACATGGACACAAGCAGCGAGTGCAGCAGGTGGGCTGGTGCCGGGTTCGACAGCTCCCTCGTTCACCGTGCCCACGTTGGACGGCGGCCAGCTGCACTTCCAGCCCAAGGTCAAGCGCGACGGGCCGTTGCTCTTCTACGCCTACAACTCGCAGGACGCCTTCTCCAACGCCATGTGGACCACCGACGCCTACCTCGACGATTTCCTCTTGAACGCCACCCACAACAGGTTCACGCTTAGACCTCTTCTTCTGCTACGACTGCTTCTTGTTGAGGTGTGTGTCATGGTTACATCATGTGCGATGCGTGCGTGCGTGCGTGCGTGCGTGCGTGCGTGCGTGCGTGCGTGCGTGCGTGCGTGCGTGTGCGGCGTGGGCAGTGAGTACGTGTTTATGTCCTACTCGGATGACGTGGCAGAGGCCGAGGTCAGGCACATGCGCTCCCGCATCATCTCGCGCATGAAGTCCCTGGCGTTCTCTGCAGGTAACTGACGGCTGCACCTCTTTTCTGCCTCTGCGCCGCAGCAGCAGCGTTTGATGGTGTGATGTGTGCGTGACAGAGAGCATTGAGCAGTGGCTGGGAAGGCTCAACTTTGTGCAACAACCGGTGGCGAGTCTGAGCGGCACCTGGATCCCTGATCTCCTGTCCCAGTGGAACAGCACCATCTACCAGCTCACCGTCAACGTACGCGTTAACAGTTCGTTAGAAAGTGGGCCGAAGCTCAGAATGTTAATCCAGAGGATGTGTCGGTCTACACAGGTGAATGGCTTCACCTTCCAGGACAAGCGGCTCGACGGCAGATACGACTGGCTGCCCTACGTGTTCCTCACCTTTCAGAGTTCGTCGTTCTCCACTTGTGCTCACTGACGCAACGGACATCTCATCGCCTTCTTGTGTGTTTAACTGCAGGCGATCAAGAACTGGAGATTGCCTACTTCGGCGATGGCTGCGGTGGCCAGCCAGTGCAGAATGTGTCTGGTACGTTGACTATGTTGACTATGTAGACGTCTGATATGACGGCAAACGCTTACCTTAGCATTGACACCGGTGCGTAGGCAAGCTGGCGTTGATCTCGCGCACCCCCTACAGTGTCAAGTGCGACTGGTTCACGAAGGTCAGAAACGCGCAGCAGGCCAATGCCACAGGCGTGATTGTGTACAGCGACCCCGGCGAACCGCTGATCGACATGAACTGCCAGAGTAAGACTGACCTCCTCCTTATTGTGAACGTTGATGATGAGGCAACTTAACCTCTTTTGTTTGCAGACTCGTTCGAGTGCAACACTCAGCTCAACATACCCGGGACGATGATCACTTTCCAGGCCGGTCTCTCTCTGCGCGCTCTCTTGGACGATCCGACGTGCGTATCGTGTCTCGTGATCAGTGTGGGCGTAGAGGAAATGCAAGAATAGCTAATTTGCCACAGGTTCGACTACCATAGAAACAAGGTGACGGTGAGCTTCACCAATGTCACCGTTCCGGGCTTCTACCTCGTGATCGACGAGCAATCACGAATTCAAGGTAAATTCTTGATTGGACGTACCCTCGCCCTCTCTGGCTCACACAACCTTTGATTCCTTGCAGAGCTTGGCTGGCTCAAGATGCCGACGCTGATGCACTACGCTTGGGCTTCGCAATGGTACGAGTACTACACCAAAATGCTCGCGCAGGTTGATTCATACGACTACACCATACCGATTGCGCGCAACATTGTACGATTGCCTCTTTGTTCTCTTGTCCGTTTGAACACACGCGCGACCGATGTCTGCCTCTCTAAAGGAGTGGCTGCCAACGATCTCAGGTGAACGAGAACAAGCCCCACACTGCACGTGTGAAGATGCCGTCGCGTAATACCCTGCTGCAGTCGTTCACGGACCTGACCCTGGATTTGGCCATGTCCTGCCTGGGCACCCGGGACGAGGACTGCCCCATCTGGTACGTAGAGCTCACCAGTGAGTGGTGCCCCCAACAAAAACACTCTTCGTCTACTCACCGCCTACGGGGGGGATTAGGGACCGTTTGTACTTCATGCGCGTGTGCTGTGACGGCAGTCCCGATGCCTTGTGCCAGAAGGAACTGGGCAGGTAAACATTTCATGCGACAGTACTTGTACTGTGTGCTCACAGGAATGCTATGTGGTGCGCAGTGGATCACGCCATTCCGTCGGCGAGTAGGGCGATGGCTTACGCCGACCGAGCCTCTCGTCTCACTGCTGACCTACAGCCCGACTGCTGGTATGTGTCACACCGAGTCTCCAGTGTCATCTCAATCCATGATCGTCTCACTACTTGAGTGTACCGCGACACATCGCAGATTACGACCAGCCGTTCTACTGCAACTTCACCTTCGGCACGGGCACGGACGAGCCGTGGGTGTCCACCATCAACCTGCTGGCTCGGAGGAAGGCGTCGCCGCAGCAGCGACACCCGAAAAAGTTCTGGAAGCAGAGCTCCGCAGAGCGCCGGCGAAGCCACACAAGCTCATTCTCGGCGGCCCACTGCACGTTGGGGAGCAGCACACCCAGACATCGCTCCAGCAACGACGATTGCGCCCAGGCGGGTGGAGTACCTCTACTCGGGCGGCAACTGGAACGTGAACTACACCTACAGCCCCGTCCGGTTCCAGCCGCCCAATGGCACCGTGAAGACCGAGCTCGTGACCCTCATCACAGGCCACGGTACGCTTTCACCACACATCACCATCACTCACGCGGACCACCCAGACGATCGCTTCTTCATTGTTGGTCTTAACGTTCGATTGAATGGGCAGGGAGTGACGCGGATGGTTGTGGCGAGTTCTGCAACATTGTGCACACGTTTGTGGTGAACGGCAAGTACAACCACTCGCAGAGCAACCCGCAAGCCGCGACTCCTCTCGGCTGCGCCAACGAGGTACCCTCGCAGCAGGCTGCAGATGACGGAGACCACAAGCGCCCGCTCACCTCCCATTCTCCTCTTTTCGCGCAGGTGCGTGCAGGATCCATTCCCAACGAACACGGCACCTGGCTCTATGGCCGTGGCGGTACGCACACACGACACACACGACACACACGACACACACTTGTGTGACACAAATACACGTCTATCAGGTTGGTGTGATGGGATGGACGTGAAGCCCTACGTGAAGGACATCACGCACGAACTGGTGCCGGGGACCAACCAGATCAGCTACCACGCCACCTACAACGGCCAGCCGCCCAACCAGACCGGCGGCTACATCGTGATGTCGTCCTACCTCGTCTATTGGCTCTAACGCCACCACCCTGCCACTTACCACCACCACCTTCATCACCAGCATCGTCATAGCCATCAACACAACAACATCAGAAGCTCGTGCTACGAGCTCATAAAGGTGAAGGTGGGAGGCTGCAGCTCAAAAAAGCGTCGACAAGGGGACTCTCTTGATTCTCAGGTCTTGGATCTACGGAAAGCTTTCGTGAATCCAGAACAGATGGAAAGAAGGCGAAGCGAAGATCGCGTGGGTGATCTTCAGCTATCGCCCAAGTTTTCCATCAATTACGGAGACGAAGACGAAGATGAAGATGTGGAAGGTCTGCATCTCTCGAATGATGAATTTCGAACCCCACCACATCCATCACAACACCACGACGACGGTGCCCGAACAGATCTTGGCGATCTGCAACGAGGGAACCCACCACCGCCGTCACCGTCCTCATCGCCACCATCATCTCCGCCACTTCCGCTCCTTGTAGCCAAGTACGTGCTGCGGATCTCCTTCGATCAGTGCAAGGCCGTCGCGCCCGTCTCGCTCTACCTGTTCTTCTTCCTGCTCGTCGTGCTTGCGCCTGCCCGACGGCTCGGCCGCGCCGCCGTACCTGACCATCGCCGCCGGCCTGGTCGTGCTGACGGCCGGCCTGGTCCTGTTCCTCGAGGGCCTGCAGTGGGGCCTCATGCCCCTGGGCCACACCATCGGCCGCAACCTGCCGCTCCAGCTGCGCGCCTCGCTCGTGCTGGCCATCTGCTTCCTCCTCGGCGTGGGCGTCACCATCGCCGAGCCCGCCATCTCCGCTCTCCAGGCCATCGGTACTCTCGCCACCGCACGCATCGCACACACCGCGCACGCATGTGTCACTGACGCACGTACGTGTGGTGTGTGTGTGTGTGTTGTGCAGGGTCGTTGGTGGCGGTGGAGCGCGCGGCGTATCTCTACGCTGTGCTCAATGAGTACACGCTCTTTCTTATATTGGCCGTCGCTGTCGGGGTGGTGCGTACCTTCTTCACAGATTGTGCACGTTGTGTGCTCACATGCGCGTTGTGTGCGTGGGACAAAAAAGGGCTTTGCTGCTTCGCTGGGCGTGCTCCGATTCTATCGCGGATGGCAAATGAAGCCCATCATCCTCATCACCCTCGTGCCGACCATATGTACTGATCACACACACACCCACACACACCACCACACACACACACACACCACGCACACAACACCACGACACACACGCGCTTGACTTACCATCCCTCTCAACAGTGCTCAGCATCGTGTTGCATTTCAATGACGAGCTGCGACCACTCATCGGTCTCGCTTGGGACTGCGGGGCAATCACCACCGGACCAGGTGCGCTGCTCCTCCCCGTTGCGTCCCCCCCTTACCTGGTGGTCTTGCCTTACGGCCTTGTGCTTGTGTGGGGCAGTCACTGTCCCGATCGTGCTGGCCGTGGGCATCGGCGTTGCCTCGGCCAAGTCCGTCTTCGCCGGGAAACCCGCCACCACCATCGGTTCGTGCCAACACATATAAACCACTCGCAAATCGTACCATACATGACTTGTGTGTGTCGTGGTGCGTGTCGTGTCGTGTGTGCGTGGTCGTGTCGTGTCGTGTCGTGTCGTGTCGTGTCGTGCCGTGCCGTGCCGTGTCGTGTCGTTGGTCGTGTCGTGTCGTGTAGAAGAGGGCCAGGACAAACACACAGAAGACGGTGATGCGGAGGATGATGGCGATATGGGCGGCTTCGGTATCGTGACCCTGGCGTCGCTCATGCCCGTCATCACCGTCCAGGTCCTGGGCATCCTGCTCTACGCCCTCGTCGACAAAGCCGACATCGAGAAATACGCCCTCAAGCACGACGCCATCGATGGCGTCCAGTCCTGGTACCCTCCACTCTCCCATCCATTCCAAAGCTTCTTTCTCACGTCATATGTCGTGCGTGTCGTGCGTCGTGTACTGTGTGCCGTGCGTGTCGTGCGTCGTGTGCTATGTGTCGTGCGTGTCGTGTCAGGTACGATAAGACGCCCCAGCGCGAGGTCATCTTGTCGGTGCGGGCGTTGGTGCCTCTGCTGGTGTTTCTGGTGCTCATCCTCAAGCTGGTGCTCAAGCAGCGCTTCCCGCACGTCTCCCTCCTCGACATCCTCTTCGACCATTCCCACAGCCACAGCGGCCCCAGCGCGGCCGCGACGCCGGACTTTGACGGCGACGGCGACCTCGCGAGGCGAAGGCGAAAGCGAAGACGAAGACGAAGACGAAGACGAAGCAGAGACGGAAGCGGGGTCCGTCGTTCACGGGCTTCAAGTACCATCGGGCCGACACGGCGGGCAGCGACGACGACGAGGTGGGAGACGGCCTGGAGATGGTAGAGTTTGACGTTCACGTGAGCCACGAAGACCTGGGCACTCGTCCGGGCGACGACGACCACGATGGTGATGGCGATGACTATGATGGTGACGAGGCCGACGACGCGGTGGAGGCCAAGGAGAAGCGGGCGACCAAGCGCGCGGACGCCGAGAAGGAGGGCGCCGAAGCTGAGGCGACTGACCGAAAGTTGGTCGGTGGAACGCCCGGTGGCGCGGAGGGACCTGCCGCGGAGGTGCACACCAACTGGATCTACGTGTATCTGGTGCTGGCGCTCTTGGGCCTGATGCTGTTCAACATCGGTCTTACCCAAGGTCCATTGCCAGCTTTCGCTGTGTGTGCCACGAGTCTTTTACTCATCACACACACACACACACGCACGCACCACCGCACACTCACCACCGCACGCGCACACGAATGTTCTAGGTCTTACTTTGCTAGGGAGCGAGACGGGATACCTGATCCCGCTCACGTTCATGTCGCTGCCGAAGGAGCACAACCACCACCACGCGCAGGCGAACGCGACTGCTGCTGCATCGGCGGCTGACGCGTCGGCCGACAGTGGCGATGACGACGACAACCTCATGCAGCCGCTCTACCCCTACGCCTTGGGCTTGTCTATCGCCCTCGCCTTCTCCTTTGTCCTCGGCTTCGGCGCCACTTTCGCCGAGCCTGCTCTCCGAGGTACCCACACACACCACACACACACACACACACACGTACACCACACACACACACACCACCGCACACGCACAATTGAAGACTAATATTCACCGTGCCGGCGGCAATGCAGTGCTGGGCAAGCAGGCGGAGCGGCTGTCGCAGGGCCGGATGAAATCCAACGTGCTGATCTATTCGGTGTGCGTGGGCGTGGGCGCCGGGATCACGCTGGGCATCGTCAAGATCACCTTCCACATCCCGCTGCTCTACCTCATCCTGCCGGCCTACGCCTTCACCGTCGTGCTCACGCTCCTCTCGCCCGAGGAGTTCGTCAACGTCGCCTGGGACTGCGGCGGCGTGACCACGGGTCCGGTGACGGTGCCGCTGGTTCTTGCTCTCGGCCTGGCGTTCGGTAACGCAGTAGACGCTAATGAAGGTCCGTGTGTGTGTGTGTTCTGTGTGTGTCGTGTCTAACACTTCTCTTTGTGTCTCACAGGATTCGGGATCTTGACGATGGCATCGGTGGGACCGATTGCCGCCGTGCTGACCGTCGGCCTGTTGCTCACCACCTTTGCTGAACCGCTGCAGCGGGTCAAAGCTGGGGTGATGAGGCGCTGCTGTCCCCGCAGGGTCGAGATGTTGTGATGTTTGGTGGCCGATAAAACAAAAACACAAAAATTACAAAACCCACCCGCATCGCTGCGATCGCATTCACGTTCAGCTGTTCCAGTTGAAGGCGTAGAAGCCGTTGGCGTTCCAGAACTCGCACTCCTGCCTCTTCCAGCCCCGGTGTGCCTGCAGGCCGTGTGTGCTGTGCGTGCGTGCGTGCGTGTGTGTGTGTGTGATGTCAGATGGCGCGGCGTGTCTCGTGATCGAGGGGAGTGGCCGGTAGGTAAGGGTGGTACCGTGGGCTTGACGGTGAGGCGGTACGTGTTGTAGTCCTCGGGCCAGCGGACGTTGTTTCCGTTGATGGGCCACCACTTTGCAAACCCGTCGTCTGCTCCGTATCGCGAGAGCGGTTCAGAGGGTGGCGTGTACGACACCACCGCACACACACGACACACACTCGACACACACACACACACACTCGACACACACACACACACAAGTACGAGCGCACACGACACCACACACACACACACACACGACACACACACACACACAACACACACACGACACACACACGACACACACACAAACACCGACACACGCGAGAGCGATGATGAACGCACTGGAGGGCGTGTCGCCGTGCTTGGCAAAGTAGAGCCAGAAGTGGCGCATGATGTCGCCCATCTTGTTGTCGACGGCGTTGGGCACGTAGTCGGTGGGCATGTAGGCCGAATAATCATCGAACAGCATAAACTGGTCGCGGGTGTGTTGTTAGGCGCTCGTCACGTAATATAAATAAAATAGTAAATAATAAGAATACTAATATGAATAATAATATAAATAGTAATAATGAGCAGCGTACCATCTCGAGCGCGTGCAGGGCATACTTGGCGCACCAGTCCGGCATGAGGCAGAAGGGGTGCGACGGGTCTTGGCCGAAGGAATAGTGGAACACCGGCGACTTGAATCCCATACCAGCCTGAACGCGTAAAGTAAATGCGGTGGTGAGGTCGTGTGCGGTGGTGCGTGTGCGGTGGTGCGTGTGTGTGTGTGCGGTGGCGATGTGCGGTGGTGCGTCTTACGTTCTTGGCGAGGAGAAGCTGGCCACAAGTTGCGTGAATGTCGGCGCCGATGGAATCGTAGGCCTTCTGCGGGAGCCCGTTGTAGGCCGTGGCCACTTCGTACCTGTTCAGCACCCGATCGCCAAAGTCCGGACCCCAGGCAGCAAACCTATTACACATCACCGCACACGCACACATGCAACCGCACACGCACACGCACACGCACACGTACACAATGACACACACCGTACACCGCATACGCACCATCAGGCGAGAGGCGTGCGATGCTCCGAAAGTTGATGGTTTGCGTGCGTACCGCTTCCTAATGTAGTCCTGGAACTCAGGGATCGTGTAGTTCTCGAGATGGGCAGCCGGAGCGAAGTCGATCTCCTGCTCGTTGGTGCCGATGATGGTCGGCACGTCGTTGAACAGCCCCGCCATCAGGGCCTCTGCACTCCTCTCCGTCAGCGGTAAGAGACCGGTGTGTGCGGTTGTGCGTGTGCGGTCGTGCGTGTGCGGTGGTGCGTACGATCCACGGGGAGAGGAATCGTGACGCCATCGACGATGCCCAGCATGGCGCCCGGACCCTTCTCGAAGATGGGGATGTCCATGTCGGTCGGGTGGTTGTAGTACGGGTACTCGTCCCTGGAATGTCAAACATCCAACACGACCACATCAGCGCAGTGTCAATGGCCTGCGTCGACAGCAATCAATAGCATACCACATACCACCACCCCACAAGGGGTGGGTCTGGTATGTGGAGTATGTAGAGGCGGTACCAGGGGATGGCTTCCAGGATCTGGTCCGTGGACAGCGAGAGCAGGCAGCCGTAGACATCGGCCGCACCATCGCACTTGGCCTTCTTCACAAACACCCTGTTCTGGGCGTTGGCATCCGCGAGGCTCATATCAACCCGAGTCGAGGCGCTCTGTTTTACATAAAGGAAGGGTTTGGGTTTGGGTTTGGGTTTGGGTTTGGGTTTGGGTTTGGGTTTGGGTTTGGGTTTGGGTTTGGGTTTGGGTTTGGGTTTGGGTTTGGGTTTGGGTTTGGGTTTGGGTTTGGGTTTGGGTTTGGGTTTGGGTTTGGGTTTGGGTTTGGTTTGGGTTTGGGTTTGGGTTTGGGTTTGGGTTTGGGTTTGGGTTTGGGTTTGGGTTTGGGTTTGGGTTTGGGTTTGGGTTTGGGTACCTCGAGGATGGCGCGGTGGAAGAGGCCCTTGGCGGAGGGCGCGGTGAGCAGCATGAGCGCCGCCGTGCCGCCGGACGACTGGCCGAAGATCGTCACAAGATTGGGATCTCCGCCGAACGAGGCGATGTTCTTCCTCACCCACTGCATGTGCGTGTGCGCATGTGTGTGCGGTGCGTGTGCGCGCGTGCGGTGGTGCGTGCGTGAGTGTTTTTTCTGTGCGTGTGCGGGTCGTGGTGCGGTTACCTCGAGTGATGCGATCATGTCGGTGACGCCGTAGTTGCCGGATACACCGCGGGAATCGTGGCGCGAGAGTTCGTCAAGGGCCATGAAGCCGAATCCGTTCAAGCGGTAGTTGATCGACACAAGAACCACCTTCCACATTCCATTTCATTTCATCAGCACAACACACACGACACACACGACACGCACGACACACAGCACATGCGAAAGTACCTGATGATCGGACTTGTTGACGAAGCGACTGCCATCGAAATGGCCGCTGCCCATGACGTAGCTGCCGCCGTGGAAGAAGACCATGACGGGCAGCTTCTCGCTGCTGCTGCTGTGCAGGGTGCGGTTGGGCGTCCACACGTTCAAGACCAGGCAGTCCTCGCTCATCACCGACGCCGGCATGTACTGCTGCGGGCACGCCTTACCGAACGCCGACGCGACACGCAACCCCTTCCAGCACCTGCAGTGGTGTGTGCGTGTGTGCGATGAGCGTGTGCGTGCGGTGGTGCGTGTGTGTCGTGTCACGGAGCCAAAGTACCCGAGGTCGCGGGAGAGGGCCTGAGCGGGCTGCCAGCGGAGGTGCTTGACGGGCGGCTGGGCGTAGGGGAGGCCCAAGAAGGCAGCCACCCCGCTGGCCTCGTTCACCACCCCCCGCACAGGCCCGCACTCCGTCTCAACTGGCGCGCAAGATTAATAATACAATTAATCAATACAATTAAGCAAATCTCTGTTGCATGCAATTCAATACCTGTTTGGGCATAGGAGCAGGCGGTGAGAGCGACAACGACCAGCAGCAGGACAAGCACGGTCCAGCGCGACTTGCCCACCATCATCGTCTTTCTGAGAAAGTCGAAATAGATATTTGAGAATATAAACAAATATAAAAACAACAATAACAATAATCATAATAAAAATAATAATAAACACAATGACAAGCGCCCCATTGGCAGGGCCCAGGTATTTTGTTTGTGTGGTCAGTGGCTGGATTGATGGGACGAGGTGGTCGGAAGAAGGGCACCAAGCCGACGCAGGGCGAGGCCTCTGGTGCACCAGGAGGAGAGGACGCCGACTGGGTGCTCGTCGAGGGCGGCAGCAAGCCATCGAATTCAAAATCGAGTGCACTGCCGGGCGGACGTGACTCCAGCAACGACGTCCCAGCCAATCCATCTGCCGAGACCAACGCGGGCGAGAAGAAGAAGAAGAGGAAGCGAAAGGGACGTGGCGGCAGCAGCGAATCTCAATCCAGCGACAAATCGAAAGAAGATCACGATTCCAGTCGTCAGGCCACCGATGCAGCTGATGATTCGTCGACGAAGAACCAGGCGGGCAAGAAGGAGAAGACCGCAAACGCTCGCCGCCAGTGCCCGCAGCCCCGGCAGCCGACGACAGTGGCTCCAATCAGCAGCAGCAGAGAAAGCGGAAGCGCAGGAGGACCGGAGGCGGCTCTTTCCGTTGCTGCGTCAGGTGACCTCATAGCTGTCGCTTTCGTTCTTTTGGTCCACGGAGGGTGGCTCACTGTGTCGTGTGTGTCGTGTGTGTCGTCTGGTGCGTGATATGTGGGATATATGCAGCAACCGGCAGTTTGTGACGGTGTTCCTCCTGGGAGCCCTGACGGCCCTCAGCGTGTGGCTCTACATTGATCTCATAATTGTGGCCGAGGAGGCCTCCCAGATCCGTCCCTTCACCGAGCGCGCTGCTCACGTTGCCGCCGTACGACAACCGCTCTTCTCACTCGCGTTGCGCCGTCATCGCACTGAAAACAAACTAACCCTGTCGCGGTCTCGCGTGGCTTGTTCGGCGTGTGCGTGCGTAGGAAGCGCACCACAGGGCAGCCGAGGTGGCGATGGTTCGTTTGTTTCGTTCTTTTGTTGTACCTGTTGCGACCACCTATTCACGGCCTCCTTGCTGACACGTGTCACATTCTTCTTTTAAAAACAGAAAGCGCAACGCAAAGCAGCACAAGCAGCAGAGGTAACACACGACACACGACACACGACACGACACACGACACACGACACAACAACAACGCCGGGACAGCCCTTTTCTGTCCAGACATACTCAACCTTTTCCTCCACTTCGTCAGGAACTGCAACACAGTTTGGATGACATCTCCTCCTACATGGAAGGCATGTTTTCTGCCAACAAGTACGTACTCAAATCTCCCTCTCTCTCTCTCTCCGCGTGTGTGGGTGTGGTGTCGTGTGTGTCGTGTGGCGACGTGTGTATGTTTCAGCACAACGACGTGGTTTTTGTTGGCCAATGCCAAGGCGGTCTGCTGACTACGACTCAATAACAGGACGACACTTGATCCGGATCGACCAGGCCTAAGCGCGAAGGAGGAGATGTCTCCTCACTTTCCGGTAGTTATGGTTCCTGGCGTAGTCAGCACAGGTAAAAAGACACATCAACGACACACACGGCACGCGACACACACGGCACACACAACAAACGCATGCTTAGCCATATCTTTGCTGTAGGTCTTGAGATCTGGAACGGCAGGCCATGCGCGCTGTACGTTACTACGCAGGCCCTCACACACGCCGCACGCAACGCAATGCAACTCATACGCGACAACAAACAGGAAACACTTCCGCATGCGGATCTGGGGAACAGTGACCATGATGCAGAAGCTGCTTCTCGATAAACAGTGTTGGCTAGACCATGTCATGCTCGACAAGTACATCATTGCCTCCCCTCTCGCGCCGTTGCTGTCTTTTTTCAGACAGCAAATTAATTACGCCACGCACTGCAGGGAGACCGGGCTGGACCCGGAGGGCATCAAGCTGCGCGCCGCGACTGGCCTCGAGGCGGCCGACTACCTCTTCCCGGGCTACTGGGTCTGGGGCAAACTCATCCAGAATTTTGCAGGTAAGTTTATCTATTTTCTATTTATATATATTCTATTTTCTATTTTCAATATTTATATTGAAATGTGCAGTCACTCAACGTTTTCTGTATATGTGCTATTTATTTATAATATAAATATAAATATAAATACAAATTGACGTGCGTGCGGTGGTGCGTACAGATATCGGGTATGACAGCAACAACCTGTTCATGGCGGCCTACGACTGGCGTCTGTCGTTCAAGGGCCTGCAGCAGCGGGACCAGTACTTCACTAAGCTCAAGCACATGGTCGAGCTGGCCTACGACACCAACAACCACCGGAAGGTGGTCATCCTCACCCACAGCATGGGCTCCAACGTGCTGCTCTACTTCCTCAACTGGGTTCAGGCCGACCCCGCCACCAACGGCGGCGATGGAGGTGCGCACTCTCGTCACCGCACGCACCCTCGTTACCTCACGCACGCACGCACTCTCGTCACCGCACGCACGCACGCACGCACGCACGCATTTCATTTAATGCGCCGGCTGACGTCGTGCAGGCGGCGAGTCGAGCGAGTGGGTGGACAAGTACATCGAGTCGTGGGTCAACATCGCCGGTCCCATGCTGGGCGTGCCCAAGGCGCTGGCTTCCCTCTCCAGCGGTGAGATGCGCGACACCGCCCAGCTCGGAGGTAATTATTATTCTTATTCTTATTCTTATTATTATTATTTAGTATTATTTGTTATTCTTTATTTTGTTTAGGTTGTTGTGTTTTATTCGATTTATATTGATTATCAATCATTAATGATTGATTGGACAGCGCTGGAGACGTATGTGATGGAGAACTTCTTCTCGCGGCGCCAACGGGCCGAGATGCTGCGGTCGTGGGGCAGCATTGCGTCGATGCTGCCCAAGGGCGGCGACTACATCTGGGGCAACTCCACCTTCGCGCCCGATGGCGTGGTCGTCAAGGGCCACATGATTTCCTTCGAACCGCACGAGCGCGAGGAGACCATCGAAGACGAGGCCCTCCGCGCCGAGCTCGAGAACGACGAACCCGCCGTCGATGATGTCAATGTCGACGCAAACGCTGACGTCACTGTCGACGTTGTCAGTGGCGGCAGCGGCAGCTTGCTGGGCGTTGTGGGCGCCGAGGCCACCGGGGTGGTCGACCCGCTGACGATCGAGGCGCAGGCCGTGAACACGTCATCGCTGCAGGCGACGACGCCGGCGAAGCCGTCGAGTGGCAGTGACGCGAGCGTGCAGGAGGTGATGAGGAGGACGCTCAAGAAGATGAAGAGCAGCATCAGCAACAACAAGAACAAGAAGAGAAAACGCAGCGCCTCGGCGCCGTCGCCCGCGCAGCACGCGCTGGTTCGCAACGTCACCATGGGCGACGCCATCGAGTGGATGATCAAGGTCGCCGACGACCCCCACTTCGAGCGCTACATCAGGTAACCAACCAACCAACCACGAAGGGTTAATATATTACTGCTTTTAACCAACCAACCAACCAACCAACCAACCAACCAACCAACCAACCAACCAACCAACCAACCAACCAACCAACCAATTGATGGTTTGTTAACACTTTTAATGTGTCGGCACAGGTCGGTGTACAGCTACGGCGCGGAGACGGACGGACGGAAGCTCTTAATTGGGCCGCGCGAGGCCAAGTACTGGAGCAACCCGCTCGAGTCGTCGCTGCCCAACGCGCCCCACATGAAGATCTACTGCTTCTACGGCGTGGGCAAGGGCGCGGAGCGGGCTTACGTGTACCGCCACACGGACTTGGCCGACGAGCTGCAGCAGACGGTCAAGGAGCACGAGGTGGGCGGGCTCGTGGGGGACCTGGCCGGCGGCGACGGCGACGACGGGCAGGTCAAGGCCGGCGAGGCCGGCGGGCAGGACATCGAGGAGGAGGAGCACGACGTGCCCTTCCGTATCAGTACGTCCACCCCAATCCCGCCAGGAGCTGCCACGCGACGCGACACGACACACGACACAACACACATGGTAACACGTGGTGTGTGCGTGTGTGTGTGTGTGTGTGTGATGTGTTAGACAACGAGGTGAACGATCCCGAAAACGACCTGGTCTCTGGCGTTCAGGACTCTCAGGGCGACGGCACCGTCCCACTGATGTCGCTCGGTACCTCCCCCACACACACGCACGCCACAACGATGACGTGGATTGATCTGGTCGCAGCAAATTCTTAACATTGCTTGTGTTGTGGTGGGTGCGTCCAGGGTATATGTGCGTGGAGGGATGGAAGCGGGAGGACTACCCGTACAATCCGGCCGGCATCAAGGTGCTCACGCGCGAGTACCCGCACCAGCCGTCGTCCGTGTTCTCCGACATCCGGTATCGGCATCATCACTCTTGCGCTGTGCGTGTGTGTGCGTGTGTGTGTGTGTTGCGTGCGTGCGTGCGTGTGTATGTGTGTGTGTGGCGACCACTTCTCTTCTCGAGACCAACACGCATTCTCGTGCGCGCAGCGGCGGTCCCGCGACAGCGGATCACGTGGACATCATGGGCAACTACGAGATGACCATCGACATCCTCCGCCTCGTGTCGAACCAGGCCAACAAGTACGTCACCATTCTTGGTGCCCAAATTGTGTTACAATCAAACACATCTGTTCATGGTTGGGGGGGGCCGAGATGATCTCTCATCTCTTCTCAACATTATCAACGCTTCCATTCAAGGGTCGAGGAGAGGATCGTGTCGCCCATCAAGGACTACGCTCGCGGTGTGGACCTTCGCTGGATCGACGTCAACAAGCCTGAAGAGGCGAACTAGTTGCAAAAGCTGGATTGCTCTCAGAAGCCGCCCTAGCCACGTAGTGAGGCCGTTCATATTTAGAAACACCCATGATCCTCCAACTCCTCCGTCGAGACAAATTAACATTGTTCTCTTCATTGCTCACTCGGCCAGAGCTTGGGCCTCAGCTTTGTTATTTGCCACCGCCACCGCCACCACGTCATCACCAGCGTCGGTGATGTGTGGCGGCTTTGCCTTTGGCTTCCTCCTCCTCTTTGGGTAGTGCACCTCCACCCAGTTCTGTTCCTCCTCATCACCTTCACTTTCCTCCCCCTCGACCTCGTGTGCATCATCCTTCGCCTGCGCCTCGCCACCGCCTCGCGTCGTTGCCGTCGTCTCCTCTTTCTCTTCATCTTCATTCTCCGCATCGTCATCTTCGTCATCGGCTCGGGTCGCGGCGACAGCAGGGCCAGCGCCGGGCGCCGCCCAATCACAGGGCAGGACCCGCCCGTACTGCTGCTTGAGGGCGTCGAAGATGGCCTCGAAGAGGTTGATCTTCGAATCTCGCGGCCCTTCCACCTGTGACATGCGAACGCGATGAGAGTGTGTGTTGTTGATGATGATGATGATGATGATGATGATGTGGCGATGTACGGCGTGAGAGGGGTGAAGGGGCGGTACGTGGTAGTGAACGTCTTCAATACCGGCCAAGTAGAGGATGGCAGCCGCCATCCGACCGACGCCGTCAATGCCTGTGCCTCGAGGTGCGGGCTGCAGTCGTACGGTAGTACCACCTTTCCTTCCCGTTGTCTGATTCGTTTCGGACGCAACACACGCACAGCACGCAACACACGCAATCATCAGCGGTGTGGTACGTGCAGTCACGGCGGAACAACAAGATAGCACCTTGAAGGCGACTGTGTGAGGAGTGCCTGAGCGACCATAGTAGTAGCCCTTGCGCACGGGTGCCACCGCCTCCTTGGCCTTCTTGATTGCGCCTGTCACATAGCATGAGATCAGCACCTTCGCACAACGCAGGGCGGTGGGACGGCCATCGTACTTCGGATGGCGATGCTGACGTCTTGGGCGACGGCCACGCCCACGCCGACCTGGCAGACTTGGTCACCCACAGCAGCCGCCACCCTGGTGCCAGACCATGGTCAGTTCGAAGCGCACGCGGTCACTGACACATCGACGCGAGAGGGGGTGAAGAAGCGCCAGCGCACCGGTAGGACGTCGTGCTACTCGACATGGTGCGCGCGGTGGGGGTGCAGCCGCTCCACACCCAGCATCTGCCAACAAGTAGAGTAAATAGTAAATAATGATTAATCAAATCTCAAATAATTAAACAATGAAAAGATGGAACAGGGGAAACGTACGGTGGAGCGGTCCATCATAGAGAAATAGTCGTACACAAGTGGGTCAACCTTCTCAGAGTCGCGGTAGATTTCGGCCAGGCTGGCCACCTGGCCTTTCATGACCGCCTCGAGCTGGCGCGAACGCTTGGGTTCGTCGGGTTGCTGGCCCCTCCCCCATCCTCTGCCCCTGCCCCGCCATCCACCTCTGCCTCTGCCCCTACCGCCACGACCTCGATACATTCTTGTTTTCTTGCTGATCTCTGGTTATTCTGTTTACGTCATTTTATTTTATACAGCTTTTCACCTAAAATGGAAAAAAGAATAAACAAAGAAAAGAAATTGAAAAACAACTACTTGTTCTCATCAAAAAAAAACCCTGCAACACGAGATGGACGTGGTGCCCGGGACGCGTGATTTCGGCGCCCACCTCGTAAGCCAGGCGGAAAGGCCTGTGCATCAACGGAGAGAGGCGCTGGCTGACGACCCAACGCCGGCCTACCTGCGGGACGCACCGCTTAGCAACTCGGCGGACGAGATCTGTCCTGGCCTGTACCTATCCGGTACCGATTTAATGCACGATTTTCATCGTTTAATTGCTTATTGCTTGATTTTTATTTGTTGTTTACGCCAAGGTGTGGAAGATTTATTTAATCATTTTATGATTATTAATTTGTCCAAGCAAGGATTTGATGCCAGCCTGATGTACGGGGAGATGAAGAAGCATGGCATCACACACATCCTTGTCGTTGCGGCAAGCGCAGAGATGCGCTATCCCGAGGTACGCACACAACACGACGCGACACCGCAGTCTACAACTGCACTCATCTTTGCATCCTCTGCGCAGGACTTCATCTACAAGCGCCTGCCCGTGTACGACTCCAAGCAGGAGGACCTGTTGTCCCACTTCGAGTCCTCCGTCGCGTTTATCAACGAGGGCAGGACGAGAGGCGCGGTGCTCGTCCATTGGTACGCCATGGCATCACTGATTCAGCCACCAAGCGCAGAGCCTGACCACACACACACACCACACAACACACCACACACACACCACACAACACACACAACTCTCAAACAGCATGGCGGGCGTATCGCGATCAGCGACAATCATCACAGGTACAGCACGCAACTGTGAGTGTATGTGTCAACCTTTCAACATTCTGAGCAGTTACGCTGACATAAAACCCGTATGTGGGTGGTGTTGCTAGCGTGGCTGATGAAGGAGAACCGGTGGGATGTCACGAAGGCGCTGCACAAGCTCAAGAAGAAGCGATCGATCGTATGCCCGAATGAAGTACTCACCGCATACAACACAACACAACACAACACAACACAACACAACACAACACAACACAACACAGCTTCGCTCGCTTTTCATTTCTAATCATGTTTTTCTACAGGCTTTCATGTGGCAACTCCACCAATGGCAAGCCATGGGGTACACACTGCAAGGCTCCTCACTAGCTCACAAACAGTACTTCAACTGGAAAAAGAGTACGATGACATTCGGTTTCTCTATGACTGCATCGGTGTGCATCGGTGTGCGTCGGTGTGCGTGTTTTGCACACAGGATTGCACACTGACACGCAACACACCGCAGGGACGGAGAAGGGGCGACAACAGCTGCGGGACCGGGCCGCCTTCCTACAGGGCACCATGGTAAAGGCTCCGGACGCGGCCCAGGAGAGCGAGTCCGGCTGTACGCTACAATAGTGTGGCGTGCCAGAGATTGGTGTCTAGATGGGACGATATGAGAATGTTACTTGTAATGTGAGGATATAGTGTTTGTTGAAGACGAATCAATCAGATGAGCTGTTCGGTGATGGACTTGAAATCGATGGCGTCCGCCGAGTGTCTGCCGGTCTTGAGGAAGAACTCCAGCGTGTGCCGCACGGTGGGGAAGGCCAGTTGGTCCCACGGGATCTCGTCCAGGTCCACCAGCGCAACGTCCAGCGTCTCCTCGCCCGCGGACACCTCGTCGGAGAGCAGCTTGGCTCTGTAGTACATATGCACCTGCACCCAACCCATCGCGTCAGGTGTGCAGGTACGATGTGCGTGTGCGTGTGCGGTGGTGCGTGTGTGCGTGGTGTATCCGTGCTTTTTACCTGTCCGATCCTGGGCACGTCATACATCGTAAGCAGAGAGCCGGCCTCCACGGTGGCGTTGGCCTCTTCCCGCGCCTCTCTCGCCGCTCCAGCCTGCACTGTCTCACCCACTTCCATGTAGCCTGTGTAGCCAGCATTGCATCGCGCGATGCAAGACTGATGAGTTCACAGGCTTGCCGATTGAGAACGGAGAGAGTTAGAGGCGGCACCTGCGGGCAGGGTCCAGTAGCCAGTCTTGGGTTCAATGGCACGCTTGCACAGCAGCACCTTGCCACTGCACACGTATAGATGAAGATAAGATTCTATTTTTTGAAAAATAAATCCTGACGGGTATGTACGTGGAGGAGAGTGCCACGACGCCGGCCACAATCTTGGGGTTGTGGTAGTTGATGAACCCGCACTCCTGGCACACGGCGCGCTCCTTCGAGTCGCCCTCGGGCACCACCTTCTTGAAGTTCTTTTTCCAGCGATCTGCAGAGCCGGCACCAGCGCTGGTCGTGAGCGTGCGAGCTCCCACCACACGACTGCCTCCGCTCGTCCAAGGGTGTGTCCCCTGTACCGATGCCAACACACTCGCTCGTCTCATCCCTCTAGTGGCAAATTAAAATAAAAACAAAATAAAATGCTGTTAGACGTTTTATAAAATAAATATTATACTTGATATTCTCAGAAGGGGCGTGGTGATGGTGAGTCATTATGATGATGAGGTCATGCCTCGCCTGGCCCCTCGAGAGGCGCCGCCACGACTACCCGACCCGGCGGAGCTGGATGTGGCCCACCCGCCCTGAATCCGCGACGGACTCCCTCGGCCGCCACCGCCTCTGCTTCCGCCTCCGCTGGCGCTGCTCGTGGGCTGCACCCGCGCATTGCGCTGGCCTGCCTTGCCTTGAAGACAACACAACGACACGAACACCGCAACGTGAGACTCGACTCCATGTCTTTGTCAGGCTGATGAAGAAGAAGGAAAGGTGAATTGTAATGAATGTAGGTTACCTTTGGCCTGCTGTTGGTTCTGCAACACGAACTTGTCCACTAGCTCAGTGACCTCGTACACGGCCATGGCGATCTCCTTGTCGTCTTCCTTTGCTTTCTCTTCATTGTGATGTTGTTGCTGTATATAGGTGTGGCTTGGCTTGTCTTCTCCATTCATCTTCTTGTCTTCCATGTTGTTAATGCTTGCACCCTCTCCTCCGCCATTCCGTTCGTTGATTGTCCTGCTCGACACGTAGTCACGAGAGGATTGATGTTGAGCTGTGAACACGAACCAATTTGAAATTGTATGCACACAGTAGGTTGTGTACCTCCTTCTACCCCAGGCGATGATGGAGAAGCGTGGTCCGTTTTGACCTCACGCCTTGGGCACGCCATGCTGGAATCGCTGGTTCACCTCCGAGTTGAACGCAAAGATGTCTCCATTCACCTGTGGGAAGTCGAAGGTCCTGCCTGCTCAGGTTGCACGTCAGGAAACTGTGCATTGCATTGCATGCGTTGCGTGCGTGCGCCACACACAAGCATCAATAGAGAGCGAACCAGAAGGTGGATGCAGGAATACGAGCTGGCGCGATGCTCCGAAGGAGGCGCCCATGGTGAAGTCTTCCTTGGTGCCCTTGTCGCCGTAAGCATGGCTGTCGTGGTGGAACGGCTTCCAGGAGCTCGAGTTGGGGTAGAAGTTGAGCCGCGACGCATGCACCTCAACGTCCTGCGTAGATAGAGATCTTTAGGGTCTGCACAGATCAGCGATGCAATAGCAGCGCGTACAAAGTAGTCGGCCATCTTCTTGATGATGTCGTTGAAGGTGGGCGAGAAGGCGGGATTCTCGTGCTTGAGATGCTTGCTCCAGTTGATCATGCCTTCTCCTGCGTCCTTTTCGAGATCGCGAGACAAAGATTGGAGCAGAGCAAAGTCCTTCGCCCCGCAGAAGAAGTTGGGGAGGTAGATGCAGCCGCCCTGCAGGATGGACTGGAAATCTCCCATCAATTGAGAATCGCATTGGGCGATTTCGCTTTTCAACATCTTGGAGGCGAAGTTCCTCGCTTGATTCGTGTGTGTCTTGGCCGCCGGCTCCATCATCGCGCCAGTCAACGTTCGGTGCGCGTTTACAACTTTTTTCGTTTCATTTCTTTACCATTTCCCGCCAGACCTCCTTTCCCGCCTTTTTGGTAGCGCCAGCAAAGAAACGCAGCAAAGAACATCGCATTAGCGTAATGGGAGACCTCGAAGGCCACGGTGTAGTGGACAAGGACTTCTCGTTCCTGAACGAGCCCTCAATCGCGGAGGGCCATCCGGCCGACATCTCATGCCTCGACACCACACTTACCAACATCTCGAACATTAACGACGTGTCTGCGCTCGGTGGACAAAAGCGACGAGGTACGCTTGGTTCTAGGTTGCATCCCTATACAAGTCTTGCCCATTTTGATTAATCTTCTTTACATGCATCTGCAGTGAAAGTAGTCCAATCTCGATACATGGCGAATCGCTCTTCTAGCTCCCCCAGTCCCCCGTCGCGGGACCGGGAGACCACAGGACCCGCAGCTACCGCCTCCACCTCTACATCTTCAAAGAGAGATCCAAGCAAAACGAGCCGTACGACCTCTTCTTCTGCCTCCTCTTCCGCCTCGCGTGCCCATAAGGAATCTCGTGAATCTCGCCTCAACACGACATCGCGCGAATCTTCTGCACGCTCTACGAGTAGCTCTAGTACTGCCAAGACCACCTCCACTTCCATGAAGGCTCCGCTAAGCAGCTCAAGAAAGGTGGGCCACACCGCGCCCTCGGCTACGAAGAAGCTGCTCGACACGACGGCGGCGGCGTCTGCCGACAAGCCCAAGCCATCCAGGCGGCTCACCACCACATCACACCCGACCACCAGCTCCTCCAGCTCGAGGCCCACAAAGCCCAGCACCAGCACCAGCAGCGGTACGAAACCACGCTCGACGGCAGGGAGCAGCAGCTCCAGCTCCAGCTCCGTCAATGGAGCCACCGGTGGCGAAGCCATGAGCGATGCCAAGAGGCAGGCCAGCCGCAGCGCCAAGCTTGAGAAGCGACTTGCAGGCGTGGAATCACGACCTGGAGATCTTGTACAGCGTCCACCTGCAATGGGTCTTTATCAACGCTCGGGCAAGCCACGCGTTCTCAAAGCAGAAGGCAGAGGCGGAGGTACCACTCCATCACCCCGATGCTTCTACTACTTCTTCGACCTCACGAGAGCGTCGCAGCAACAACTCTACGCGGCCACGCAAGCGGTTGCCAAGCTGCGCGAGGAGGTCCGACGTGAACAGGCTCTGCTCGAGGGGATCAAGTACGACCTCCACCTTGAAGATGTCGTCAATGCCCAGGTACGTTTCGCACCACCTCAAGCCGCTTCGAGTCGTTCCTCCGCTCGCGATTCACTTCTCGTCGTCGCCTTGTGCAGTACGCGTGCATGCCTCTCCTGGAGGACAGCATCGTAAAGATCTCCCCGGCGTACAGTGAGCTGTCCACGGCCATCGAGGCCACCACCCACCGACTCCCCACCACCGGCATCATCGTGCCGCCGCCTGCCGAGCTCAATCAGGCTCTCATTGAGGCCGAAGAGACCATGGATGACATCCTCGAAGCAGTCGGCTCCCAGCTCGGCGCGGTACGTCATGGGGTTGACCGCACGCAGGACACGACACGCGCGACACACGACACGACACGACACGACACGACACGACACGACACGACACGACACGACACTCACTTTGGCGCTTGCTGACGTGGCCCATCGTCAGCTGAGCGAGTACTCGCGGTCGACTGAGGGTCTGGTCGCGGTCCTGGGCGAAGAGCTCAAGGAGCTGAAAACGACCAAGGAGCTGCTCGTAGAGACGGACATGCTGGAGAGCCAGAGGAGGAGCCTGCTGATCCAGTACATCCAAGAGCACGGCCATCGGCCCGACGAGTGAGCGAAGGTGTAGCCAAGACGGTCAAACGAGCAAGTGATGCAGGTAACGTAATCAATCTTCTTCTGCGCATGTAAATACAAAAGCCGTCGTCTTCTCTTATTCTGACTTACGTGTGTGAACGGCAAGACCTCATCTTCTTCTTCTTCTTGCTTCTTCTTCAAGCCTAGCTGGAGGTTAGACCTGAGTGTAGTCGTCGTTTCGTGCCTTCCTCTTCCGTTTGCTGCTGTTGGCTCGCTTGGCCTCGCGCTCCACTCGGTAGCTCACTTCCCGGTCTTCTTCGAGTTGGGTCACATCAGCAGCACAGCCTGGAGGAGGATATGTGAGAGAGATGTCGTGGGCATGTGAGCGACAATCTTCTTCAACAAGGGCACCACCATCAATGCATATAAGAAGAATGATCAAGCCAACGCTAACGTGCAAGCTACGGACCTGCAACTGGACACTTGGTGCCCTTTCGCTTGTTGGCTTTCATGTGAGCCAGGATGGCCTCTTTGCTGTAGAGATGGCCGCACACGGGGCTGGTTGAAGTAGAAGAGCGGTGTGGGTGAGGCGACCGGACAAAGAGGAAGAGACCAGAGATCAGCGACGTGAGACGGGGGCGGGTGAATGACGTACTTCTTCACTGGCTCGACTAGAAGCTTGCGCGTGATGGGGCACATGAGGTTGTTTTCGTCCTGTGTCGCCATCACCACCAGATCGTCGTTTGCTTCATCGGGAAGTGCCTCATCGGGATGGTGCACCTTCTGGAAAGTGAAGTGTGTGAGCACAGAGCGACGAGGGGTGGTCATAGTGCTTGCAGGACCGCACCCAGACTTTCTGTCTAAACTCGCGGTATCGCGGATGTCGCTGGAACTGTGCATCTTCCTCTGCCGCTTCGGCGTGTCGTCTGTCGATGAGCTCCACCAAGTTTGTTTCACCCTGCGTGGAGTGAATAGGGAGAACGAGACCAAAAGAGCAAAATCAGGCGAACGCACCTCTTCATTTCGCAGCACGTTTCGAACTTCGCCGATAATGGTGGCATGATCTTGAAGCAGCTTTTCCATGGTGATGTACGACTGCATAGCCTCGTCCAAATTCTGAACCTGATAAGAATTTGGCCGTTAATCTCCTGGTGATGGACAATTCAAACGAGCATTCATACTTTCTCTCCTTCGCCCTGCTCCTCTAACGCGACCGCCACTTCGGTGGCGAGAGTCATCGCAATCGCCAGTTCATCCTTGATTGCCTTGTGCTTCCCGCCCAACCTATCGAGCTCTCGCTGAAGTTGCATCTTTCGCTTTTGATCAGAAGCAGATTTTCGTGTTTTGGGCAGAATTTTTGGCGCCAGATGAAACACATTTGGGAAACACAGAAACCGTTCCGAAATCAGAAGAAAATTAATTTGCTGCCAGCTTCCACTTGTTGAACAACGCGAGAAGCAGAAGAATCCAAGCGAGAAGATGGCGTCAGCACTGAAGGCTCAGTTCGAAGCGGAAGCGGCAAAGCAGAAGGCGTCGCCGGCGAAGCCTGGCCAGCCCACTGGTGTGCAGGGACTGATCAAGCAGCACAAGAACTTCATCGAGCCGCCCCCTGCCAAAGGTACGCCTCACATCGACAAGAAGAACGAAAAAGAGGTCGTGCTAACACCTGGACGTGGTCGTGGTGCAGTGAGTTGGAAAGCTGACGACAATGGCACCACCTCTGCGGCTGAGGCGTCGCACATTCGCTACACCAAGGAGGGTGGCAAGCCCAAGGGTCCGCCCCCCAAGAAGAGCTTGACGGACCTTCCCTAAAGTGGAGGTTGTAAACTATGTCATAGCTAAGCCCCTGTACATCATTGACACATTTATTGGATCAAAAAAAACAGAAAAAGAATTGGAAGTGAAATTGGCAACGGAGGAAATTTCTGTTTGCTGGAAGTAGATTCGCTAAAACATCAAAATCACCCAGCCCTGCATCTGGCCACATTTCATCAATTCTTGTTCTGTGCCGAGAGGAAAAAGCCAAGGTGCCACCCACCCATGAATGCATGCATGCATGCAGGCCCTTCAACTTACGATTAAACTCTCCTGCTTTTGATTGGATCAGTCTTGCCATGTATGACTCAGAGGGTGAAGACGATGATGCTCTGCTGTTCCCTACATCTACAACCACCCCCTCGCGGCCAGTACCCTCACCCTCGCGCCCAACAGTTGGCACAGTTGGCACCTCCCGACCGGTGTCACAGGCGTTGAGCGACCGTGACGCCAAAAAGCCACGAAAGTCGGCCGGCGGCGAGGATGGGTACAACAGCGACGATGAAGGTCGGCAGGGAGCCGTTGCCGACTCACATGGCACGCTTCCTGAAGACGAAGGAGCTTTCGAGGAGGACCTCAGACGGGTCGGCTACCAGATCAAGCGGATGACAGGCGACGGCAACTGCCTGTTTAGAGCAGTGGGTAAGTGTGATGTCGCACCTGCGCCATTGAAGTGGTAGAAGTGCTGAGTCTTCTCTTCTTGTTGCCACCAAAGCTGACCAGGTCTATGGCGACGCTGAGATGCACGACGAGGTGAGAAGTCGCTGCATGGACTACATGGTAACGTTGAGTCTTTCTGCTTCTTCGTTCCACCTTCAAAAAGAGTTCTCGAGAACGTGACGGTTGCACTCAACTCACTGGCGTGTTTGTTGCCCACTGCAGGAGAAAGAAAGGGAGCACTACTCGCAGTTCGTGGCCGAGGACTTCACAGAGTACGTGCGACGGAAGAAGCGGGACAAGGTGTTCGGCAACCACTTGGAGATCCAAGCCATATCCGAGATCTACAATCGGCCGATCGAGGTCTACGCCTACGGGCACAGAGGTACGTGGCGTCTTTCGATGCTGATGGCGACTGGCCAATCGGGACTAACAGTACCTTACATTCAGAACCGATCAACATCTTCCACAAGCACTACTTCACGGAGTACGCGCCGATCCGCCTCTCGTACCACTGGGGCAACCACTACAACTCGGTCATCGATCCCGAGAATCCCTCCGTGGGCGTTGGGCTCGGACTGCCGCAGCTCAACAATCCCGGCCTGGAGATGGAGCGAGCCATCGAGCAGGTACGTACCTGCAACAAACGAGTCTCGCCTTGTCTTGCCTTGTTCTGAACGCGTTGTTGGTGTTGTGCGCTCTGCGTGCAGTCGATCGAGGACACACTGTACAAAGACGTGGTGGAAGCGAGCGAGTGGGAGGCTACGCAGAAGCAGCTGGAAGAGGAAGTGCTCCGCCAAAGTGCGCTCGAGGCCAACGTCGCCGTGCCCGGGATCGACCGCGAGGGCGACTTCTTCATGGGCGAGGGCGAGCTCAAAGCGGCCCTCGGCGGTGCCTCTCTGGACCCCTCTGCCGGCAGCGGCCTTGCAGCGTTCGGCGACGAGGACGAGCAACTCGCTGCCATCCTCCGACAAAGCGAGCTCGAGTACTGGCAGTCCCTGAGTAGGGAGTAGAGACCAGAGCGTGTGGTGAGGGGACGTAGCCGCCTAGCGTTGTTTTTTGTGTACATGATGACGTCCCGTCTCGTGTGCGGGGCATTTTGGAAGAAGTTTTGATTGGATGACATTATTCAGGTCGACAAAAAAGGCCAAGTTTATTCTGCGGCTTTTGGTGTGGAGCCTCGCGCACTAACGCAAGCAGAAGACGGACCGTACACTCAATGGACACACCTCCGGTGGTGCAGACGAGCTCAACCACAGCGACTGCTGGCGGTGCTGTTTATGAACCGACAGTTATCGAGTGGTGGCAAGACAGCAGCACCCCAACTATCATGGAGACACAACAACTTCAACATCAGCAACAACCCCCACAGCAGCAACAAGCCTTCGGGACTGCAGACGTCGAGGCAGACACGGCAGCACACCAACAAACCGGGACGCACCAGATGGAGCGTGCGCCCAGCCTTGAGTTGAAGATGGAGACCGTCATTCCCAACCGCGAAGAGATTACGAGAGCCAAAGAGCAAAGCCGAGAAGATGCACAACTAAGAGTACCCCCCTTTTGCACACTTGCATCTTTGTTTTTATTTATTTATTTATTTATTTTCTCCTTCCGACCACTGCGAAGACGTACACAAGATGGATAAACTCGCAGCTGAAGGACGGCTCGCCTCCCATCCAAATCAACGACCCCATACAAGACCTGCGCAGTACGCCCTCCTCTTCCACTTCCCTTCCCCCTCAACAGAACCTCCGTCTCCACGTGTGGGCTATGAAGCAACCATTCCTTGAAACCACTACGGTGGTTGACTTACAAACCATGGACCTTCACCCCATTGGCTGCAACACACCTGGAGGAGACGAGCCACCATTAATACTCTGCCATGGCTCACTGTTGTGTGTGTGTCGTGTGTGTCGTGTCTTTGTGTGCGTGTTCGCGGCACGAATGTAGATGGCGTGGTGCTGATCAACCTGCTCCACCGGCTGTACGGGATTCAATTGCCGCACTACCACATGCAACCGAGCAGCAAAATACACGCTCTGGACAACGTGGTGATGGCGTTCAACATGCTCGAGCAAGTGACGAGCACCAGCTACCCCTTCCTCAAGCCCGCCAGTACTGCCACCACGCCACTCTCCCTCCCTCCCTCCCTCTCTATTGTGCTGGCGCCTGCAGTTCGCTGACTGGATCGATCGTGATGGGATTGGCAGACGTTATCGACGGAGACGTCAAGATGATGATGGGCATGATCTGGACACTCGTGCTGGACTCTGGAGTGAGAAAGCCGCTTGCTGTCGGTACGGATCCTCGTCAAGGCGAAGGTTCAGTTTCTACGCGTCGATTGCTGAATGTACATTCATTGTTCTTGCAGGAGGCGCTGCTGCGAGCGGAGCGAACACAGGAGAACAGTCTCCTCGTCCGCTCAACATGCAGTCTTTCGAACAGACCGCGAACGCGGCCCTCTTGAACTGGTGCCAAGAGCGCACCAAGGGCTACGAAGGCGTCAACATCCAGAACTTTACGGAGAGGTGCGTCATCTCCTGTGGCGTATGGTGATCATCACGGTGTGAATGCATGTTTCACTAATCATCAAGCTCGACTCTGTAGCTTTGCCGATGGATTGGCCTTCAACGCTCTGCTGCACAGCTACGACCCCTCCCTGGTCGAATACCAGATGCTGAACCCTGTACGTTGCCCGTCGCTCTGTGTGGTGCGGTGGTGGTGTGGTTTTTTTTTTTTTTCCTCATCTTCATCTCCATCAGGCCTCCAGGGACGAGAACTTGCGCATCGCATTCACCACCGCCGAGCACAGGCTCGGCATCCCGCAACTCTTGGATGTAAGCGACCTTGATGGGCAGCATCCGATCGACGCGCACAGCGTCATCACGTACACCTACCTACCAGTCACCACCCTCGTCTCATGGTCGCCACGTTGTCGTTGACTCGTCGCTTGCTTGCGCATGCGCCAGGTACGTCTCTGAGTACGTCAAGCGGTTCGAGGCGCCAAGGTCGGAGCAGCACAGGCCTCCCTCCCCAGTACCGGTCCCGGCGTACGTCGCTCCGGTGGAGGTGGAGCCGCTGAGCTTCCCTCAGCCTGTGGCCCCTCCGCTTCCGCCGCGTCAGCAGACGCAGCAGGCAACGATGGGCTACGACCCGTATGCGGGCTATCAACAGCAGACCCCGCCGCCATATGGCTACGGGCTGACGCCTCCTGTGGGCTACTATGCGCCTCCCGCGTACCACCCCCAGCCGCCCGTCCATCAGCAGGCGCCTCAGGGTCAGGGCGTGAATCTCGTAAGCATTCCTCAGTCTCATGCGCGTTTGCAACACGCCGTTATCTCACGTAACCCCCCTCTGTGTCCTGCAGTACGACCACCGCAAGCCAAAGGGAGGAATCGGGCGAAGGCTTGTGGAGAAGACGTACCTCTGGGGCAAGAACTGAGGCCTTTGCCCGCTCGGCCGACTTGAAAATAAACATAGAATTGATTTTTCTTTTGTTTGGCAAACAAGTCGCTACACGAGATGGAGTCAGAAGAGGTCGTTGCTGAAGGGGCAGGCGTTCCCAGTTCGCCTCGCTCTGAGGTGAGCAGCTCACGTGAGACTTCTCCCAAGAGGCGCGGGCTCAAGCAGAAGGCGCCCCTCGCGAAACGACCGCGGTCTGCTGGTACCCTAACCCCCCCCTCTACATGCTACAGACCTTCATGAACCTGCACGCTCGTTCCAGAAGTCCAGCAAGTAGCTGCGATGGAACCCTCTCAAGCTGTACGTCTCTTTGGCACGCTACAAGGTCCTACAAATGGTCATGCGCCACTTCATCTTGTCTTAGGCTCTCGGCCACACGCTACCATCATGCTCGTTGGCATTCGCCAAGCTGCGTGGCCGCATATCATCGCTCTATGATGAGATGAGCCACCAACAGGTATTACTTCCTCACACCAGGCGTGCTTGTAATAAGCTCTCACCCCCTCCGTCAGCTGTCCATGGAGGAGGAGCGTAAAGCAAGGGAGCAAAGCGAAGCCAAGGCCAAGGCGCGAGCTACCGATACGCCCACTTCTCCTTCTACCGAGGGCCACGAGGAGTACGTTTGCGAGAGACGCCAGGTAAGCCACCATCGTTCATTCTTGGGGGTGCGCGTGCTGCCTGACTCTTCCGCTCGCGTGTCCGAGACTAGCTCGAAGAGACGACAAAACGAGCCTTGGAGGAGAACGATAAGCTGAAGCACGAACACTCGGCGTTCGCAGCCAAGCTCAAGGCCAAGAGCGACTGTATCGAAGCTCTCAAGGTATTCATTCGGCCGAGCCAAATCTGATTGATGGTAGGATGGGTGAGATGCTTGCTACTCGACAGGCGAGCAGTATCAGTTGGAGGCCAAACTTGGAGACAAGGAGAAGCAATTGGCGGCTCTCGCTACGAAGGTTAGCAGGAGCGACGACTTGATCGACATGTTCGAGCTCAACTTCAAGCAAGTACAGCAGGAAGTTGAGGAACTCTCAGCTGCCTTTCGCATGGAGAGAGACACCGGTATCGTATCTCTGCGATCAGCCCCGATAGCGCTAACTCGTTCGCTGTCCGATTAGTCGAATCGCTAAAGAAGACGCACTCGTCCATGCTGAGCCAGCACGAAGACATCACAGGTACCTGGCCTCGACTTTTCATGAAGAGACGAAATGCCATTTGACTGTATGAGTGCGTGATACCACAGAGGTGCTGAGACTGCGCAATCAAGAAGCATCGAAGTATCATCAGCGCCACAAGTCGCTGCAAGATAAAGTCTTTACGCTCGAAGCAGAGGTCGCAAGCCGCCAGGACAGAGTAGAGACTCTGGAAGCCGAACTGAAGAAGGTAGATTACCGGCTTCATGTTTACCCTCCCATTGCTAGGCCATCTGACTTGTCTTCCCGGTCGCTAGGAGCAGCAACAGACCAGCAATATGCGCGAAGATCTGTCCAGAGCTAGGAGCGACAAGGAGGTATCGCTCTACTCTCACGGATGAGTAATGAAGTCTGCTCAGACTATGCCTCCCACAGTCCTCCTTGAGCTTGTGCGAACAACTTCAAGGCTTGATCAACGATGCCACCAAGCGAGCCTCGGATCAGGAGGCACTAATTGCCGAGCTCAGAGCAGCAAACCAGAGCCTACACGATAAGAACTTCGAGGTAAGCTGCATTGTTCATTGTGACCGATCGTCGCCTCACCTCCGTGCAGCAACAGCGGGAGAGCGCGGGGGAATTGAATCTGTCTCGGGCGCGTGAGGTGAGCTGAAAGCCGAGGTCGAACGCCTTGCCCAGCGGCTGCAAGTGGCGGAAACCAGCAGCGAGAGCGCCAAGAAGGAATGGGCGGAAAGAGAACGCGTCCTCCAGGAGCGTTTCGCGCTGACACAGCAACTGCTGAAGAGGCAGACCGACCAGTACCTTCCACCCACCGCCCACGTTCTGCCACTCTCGATCTCAACCTACACTCTCTTGAACACTTACGCAGCGAGGAGAAGCTGAAGCGAGAAGAGATGGCGAAGCAGAGGTCAGCCGCAACAGAAGCGTGCGCACCCGCGGCAACGCTGGCTGAGTTGCAAGCTCCTAGCGAAGAACAGCCCGAAGAGCATCACCTCCAGAAAGAAGATCCCATGCAGGAAGAGAGAGCACCAACGGTACGCAAGGAGCGCAGATGGGATTGCACCGTGCTGACGAGTCACTGGCAGATGGTCAGAGAGATGTTCAAGCAGACTCCCGAGGAGCCGGCTCACGCGACGACTACAGCGTGTTCACGCGCGCTCGGGGTAACTTCTTCTCGAGCCGTATCGGTGGAGCCGTCGCCGAGGCGAGAGATGTCCACCGTGGGGTCGTCCAGTCGCCCAGTATGCTTGATCAACATCGGAGACGAGGAAGAAGAGCCGGCCATTCCCTTGGCCTGCTCTCCACCTCCCAAAAGCCGTCAACGCTCAGCTGCCTTCCCCTCGCCGAAGAAGCGAGAAGCCGAGTCGACCTTCTTCTCGAGCCTCGAAGAGACGAGCGAAAGCGACCACAGGAACAAGAAAGACGAAAGCAAGCACATCGCTCACTCCCTGGCAAGCCCAGCTGTGCCTTCGCCCACGTCGGACGCCGACAGCGGAAACAGAAGGAGGTCGAGGCTGCGACAGACGCAGCCCAGCACTGCGGCGGCGGCCCTCGTCGAGAGGAACCTTTGCTCCTGCGGCCAGCCGGGCTACGGCCTCATGGTACCACCACCGACCACCATCTTCTTCCGCCTCAGCCTCGCCAAAAGCCAACATGTTGGCTTCTGTTCTCTCCGCGCAGTACCGCTGCCGCATCTGTGGCAGACCGTACCACAAGGAGTGTGTGGATGACGGCGGAGGACATGCATTCGGTACGCGTGCACCCACTCGCCCAACGTTGATCGGCGCTTATCAACCACTCCTGACTGAAGAGAACTGCACACCACAGGCGCACTCTACACATGCCAGCAATGCAAGACGGACCTCGAGCAACACGCGTGATGAGTCTCTTACTCGTCGAGGAAGGAGCGATCAATTGTAGATAAGAAGACGACGACGAAGACGGAGAAGGATCACGCGGGGGATGAATGCGCACTTTGATTGCGCTTCGTGTTTCACGTCAGCCAGGACAGCGCACACTCGCGAACAATAAATAGAAGAGCTTCAAGCAAACATGTCGTACTCGTCGTCCACCATATCCTCGTGGACGGCGGCGGTGGTCTTCGTGGGGGCCTTCTTCTTTCCCTTCTTGCCCTTCTTGGCCGAGGAGGCCTTGAGCTTGTCGTTGACGACGACGTTGAGCGTGGCGATGAGGTCCTTGACGTCTTCGGCCTCGACGTTGACGGTCGCTTGCCTGAGCATCTCCTTCAGGAAGGTCGTGTAGAAAGCGCTCGCCTGAGTGAGCAAAAGACTAGTCAGATGCGGCCTCGATCACGGATTAACATGATTATGCAGTTGTAGAGAGTGAAGGTTGGTACCGAGAACGGCTCCACTTTCTTGCTCACCAGCTCGGCGAGCTTGATGAACTCCCTTTCGCTCCTGGGCTTAAAGGTCTCGAGTGTGATCTCCTTCTTCGCCTCGCCCTCGTCGCCGTCATCGCCGAACAGGATGTCCGAATCTTTGAGCGCCGAGTCCTTCACGGCGAACGCGTCCATCGCATTTTCGAGATCGGAGGCCACGACTTGCTCCTGCAGCCTCTTCTTCTCCTCGTAGGTCAATTTGCGCGGGGCTTCTTCCTCTTCCTCTTCCTTTTGCCTGATTTTCTCGGCAAGGGCCTTTCCTCGCTTCTTCTTCCCCGATACTTGCGTGAATGTCTTCTTCTCCTCCGCCGGACCAGCGGGGACCTTCGGTTCCTTGGGCTTACCAAAATCCTCCCAATCATCAGTAGCAGGACCGGCGGTGTCCTCCTCCTCATCATCCCAGGCATTTACGATGGTGGGCTTGTCTGCCGGCACCTTCACCTCAAAATCGTCATCATCTGCAATTGCGCATACATATGGCGACAACATTACTTAATTGACCCCACAATTGTGTAGGGTGAAACACAGGGCGTACCCCACGACATGTTCGGTCTGATGCTTGCTTGTGCCTCCCTGGCCTAATCGCGGAACAGATCAACACAGCTTGAAAGGAAGAAATGCGCAGGAAAAGGTACATTCTCCAGATTTTGCTTCCATCACCAAAACTATGCGGAAATCGGGCGGCAACCACAAAAAGTTGAAAAATGTGGTTTCGCCACCGCGGCAAACAAGTCCGGCACAGACCAACTCATCATTCACCATCACAACAATCATGTCGAACAAAGCCGCCGCTGAAGCCAAAGCCAAGGGTAACGCCTTCTTCCTGAAGAAGCAGTACCCCGAAGCCATCGAATGGTACACCAAGGCCATTAAGGCCGACCCCAATGACTCCACCTTCTACTCCAACCGGTGCGCTGCGTACATGGGCCTTGATAAGTTCAACGAGGCGCTCGGTGATGCTGAGATGTGCATCAAGCTGCAGCCCGCTTGGGTCAAGGTGCCGCCCCTCCCCGCCTCGTTGCACTTTTACCGCAATTTTTACGCATTTTGGCATTAATGCCAAAAAAACGGGATCGCTTAATGTGGTTTTTGTCACTAGGGATGGTACCGCAAGGGTGCTGCCCTGATGTCTCTTAGCCGCTATGAGGAAGCTGCCATGGCCTTCAGGAAGGGCGTTGAATACGAGCCTCAGAATGACGATCTGAAGCAGAAGCTCGAGGATGCCGAGAGGCAGGCCAAGTATGCCCCCAAGAGGTTCCGGGAGGACGGCGTACGCTTTCCCCTCTTACCCGCATTTTTCAACACTCTCTCAATCTTGCATTTGCTTTCATCTAGTCTGCTCTCAACGCCGCCGAGCTCGCCAAGGAGGAGGGCAATGCTCTCTTCCGTCACGCCAAGTACGAGCAGGCTATTGACAAGTACACCAGGTGCGCTTCTCTCCTTCTCTTCTGCTCGCTCGAGTGAGCTTTCCTAGCGGCGGCAATCTCAACTCGATTTGGCGCTCTTCTTGTGCAGGGCCATCACGCTTGCCTCGACCGAGGAGGAGAAGGCCACCTACTACACTAACAGGGCCACCTGCTATGCTCAGCTGCACCATTTCAAGGAGGTGGTGGACGACACTACTGCGGCGATCAACATCAAGCCCTCTTCCAAGGCTTATCTCCGTCGCGGCCTTGCCCTCGAGAGCCTGGAGAAGTACAAGCTCGCTCTGGAGGACATGAAGAAGGTGCTGGAGCTGGACCCTAGCGCGATGGTGGCTTCGCAGGCGATCCACAGGCTCACGCGTGCCGTCAACAACTTGTAAACCATAACGAGGGAGAGTGCGATTGTTGGCCAGTTTTGTGATGGAAGCGAACGATTCGAGATTAAAAAAATGAATCGTGGTCGCTTTTCCTTTTGATTTGTTTGATATAAAACGCACAGATGCATGCACCGCCAACATGAGGTCCAACTTTCGTGCACACTACTACACGTCGTTGGGGTTTCAAGGAGCCGAGCTGAAGAGCTCGCTCGAGCTCATGCTCAAGGACAACGTTGTTGGTCCGCTCACCGCCCACAGCATCATTTGCATCTCAACTGTAATTAATCAGAGATTCGTTTTGGCCGCAGAAACGAAGAAGCTACACAAGATCTGCTTGTCGTGTGCGCTTCCCCCCGAGTATCGTGCCATCATATGGAAGCTTCTACTCGGTACCTTCTTGTCCAAACCTTGCCCAGCTGCGAGCAGCTCCACCCGTCTGTACTCTGCTCGCTCACAGCGCTGTGTGCAGGCGTGCTGCCGGTGTACAGGGAAGTGTGGGAGTTCGTCCACCAACAGAAGACAGCTCAGTATGAGGACATCAAGCACGCTGCGCTTCTCATCTATCGCTCTGTCTTGTCACCGTCCGACGCGGCCAGGTGCCTCTCCACTCTGATCGTTGAGCGGCAGCGACTTACATTGTTTCCCAGCGACACAATCCGATCACTGCAGGGCCGACCGGACATCTCACAGGCTCCCACAGAGCACACAGACGATTCCCCATCAGTGCCTCGAGCAATCCCATCACCATCATCCGCCACAGCGCAAGTATGTTTCATGTTTAGCGCGCGTGTTTGGTGCGTGTGGTGCGTGCTCGCTCATGTGTTTGTGGCACAGCTTTCCAAGAGCGAGATGGCGGACCTGCTGTCCGTCGTGTACAGAGTACAGACGTATTTATTCGACGAATCGTCACAAACAGCTCAGGTTCGGACCTGGTCTCTCCTCCCCCCCCCACCTGCACCATCTGAAGGCTTGTGTGGCTGACCCGCTGTCCGCTTGCTTCTCACTAGAAACAAGACTACGACGCCGAAGAGCTACGCCGCATCGCCGAAGTGTTTTGCTATGTGTGCGGGACGCAGAGCGAGGCCGACGCCTATTGGTGCTACTCTGCTTTTCTTCAGTGCCGAGAGCAGATCTATGGCCACCACGCCACCGGCATCTACCACCAAGTACGACATGTTCGCCCTCATTTGTCACCACCGGCCTGTGTGTCTTACACTTCGCCGTTTCGTGTTTCTCCTCCTGTGGCCTCTCCTAGATCAACGTTCTCTCTCGCCTTGTCGAGAAGTGCGTGCCGGACGTGTGGCGACACCTCCTCTCGCTGCACATCACACTCGACGGCTTCAGCTACCAGTACAGCCAGCCCGTGCCCGTTCACTGCACTCGTGATGACTCCAAGCCGCGGCTTCTTCTAACTCTCATCCTCCCTTTTCAGGTGGTTTCGGGGCTATTTCACATCATGCCTCCCGCTACACTCTCTGGACAAGTACGTTGACCAACCCTGAGTGTGTGCGACGGCGTGTGCGTGCGTGTGCGACGGTGGGTGTTGTGTGCGTGTGCGGCGTAAGGACACCGTTGCGTTTCACCCACCGCTTTCACCCGGGTCTCACTGCTATTTTCTCCATCCTAGGGTGTGGGATCGGGTGATGGCGGTATCGCACGATTTCCTCGCCTGCCTGGGCTGCGCCATCGTCATGCACCTCAAGTACAAGATCCTCGACATCTCCAATCCGCGCGAGCTCAAACACTTCCTCGGAGGCGTTCACGTACGACCTCGCGCGCCTTCCGTCCGGGCGGACAGTTCTTCTGATGTTCACCTGTTATGATCCTCCACGGCCGCTGACTGTCAGTCGACTCTCGCCCAGCTGCCCAAGGTGAACGTGGAACAGTTGATCGCCAAGGCGACCGAGCTGTACTCCGGCGACCTACAAGAACTGCAGGTCAAGACCAAGCAGCTGTCGCCAACTTGACCGAGTGGCACGTGCACTGACCTCAAGAACGCCCACGACAACAGTCGCTAGGGCGGATGCTCTCCTCGCCAAGGAGATGCTGCCTTTGCCAGGGAACGAGCACACACTTGTAATCCCGTGTGCGGATTGGACAAACTGGTTGAAATTTCATTAAATACTCTAACATAGCTCACGCCTCGTGGCGAACCAGATTCTGTTTTAGGTAATTTAAGCTAACAACTGGACTCTTCGTTGAGAACTTGATGAGCATCCGCCCGTTGGCCGGAGGCAAAGTGAAGTTTAGGCATCGGTGTGTTATGTGTTGTGTTTCCCAGAAGGAGCGGGGTCGGCTTCTTCCTTCGCACGTAACCCGTCTTCTTCAGCCGGCTGGTTATACTCACTCACCAGTCTCCAGATCCTCTTGACGTTGACATCAGCCACCACAATCCCACCACCCTACGAGTGTCCGCAGCACCCTACAACTCACACAGCACACAAGACATGACGAGCTCCGAACAATACCACGACGACTCCGGCCAAGGCGGCACCACGTGCACGCAGTCACAGACACAAACTGAGCTCGTGGCGGTGGCCACGGCGGTCGCTGCGGCCGGCTGCAGGCTCATGGAGCGCCGGGGCAAGCTCCGCCCGAGGAAGAGCGTCTCCGAGATGACGGTGCCGTGCGAGTCGCGCACCGAGCTCAAGTCCCTCCAGACCACCCAAGCCGGTATGCAGCTTCATCTCCTTGCTTTCGCCAACCCGAATCAGAATGAATTAATCTGCGATCGATTTTGTTTCTCATTTCTTTTTGATGTTTTGTTGCTGACGTGGCAACAGGCGTGGAGGTGTCGCGGGTGCAGGGCTCCCTGATGTTCACGGTGGGCCACTACCGGGTGTGCCACCTCATCGGCAGCGGCGGTGGCGGCCGCGTGTACGCGGGGCTCGACCCGGTCACGGGCCAGCAGGTGGCGCTCAAGATCTGCTCGAAGCAGCTCACCGATCGTCAGATGGAGAGGCTGCGCACCGAGTACAACGTCATGAGCAACCTCGCGCACCGACACATCATCAAGCTCCACGGCGTGTTCGAGAACGACTCCCGGCTGTGCCTCGTCATGGACTACGCCGAGGGCGGCGACCTCTTCGAGCACATCAAGGCCCACAAGCAGCTGCCGCGACCAGAAGCGCGCCGCCTCTTCCGACAGCTGGTGAGCGCGCTGAGCTACATGCACTCCCAGGGCTACATGCACCGCGACCTCAAGCCTGAGAACTGCCTCCTGGACAAGGACCGCAACCTCCTGCTCGCCGACTTTGGCTTCTCCAACTTCTGGTCTTCCTACAAACTGGAAACCGAGGGTGCGTCCCCAACAACAACATCTAAAACCAACGGCGTTGGTTGGCATTGCAACCATCAGATTACCAACACGCAGCATTCCATAGGTGTGGGATCGCTGAACTATGCTTCGCCTGAGATCATCACATCATCGGCCACATATGTAGGACCCGAGGTGCGTACGAACATATGTTTTGAAAACCCACATAAATTGCTGTTTGAGAAGATAGGAGTGCTGACATTGAAGCACCCCAGGTTGATTTGTGGTCGCTGGGCGCTGTGCTCTACACGATGGTGACCGGCAAGCTGCCCTTCTACGCCGCCGACCCCACCAGCACCCACCGCAAGATCCGCCGGGGCGCCTGGCGGGTCGATGCGCAGATCAAGGGCGATCCCGACGTGTTCGACCTGCTCTGCCGGCTGCTGGAGCCCAACCCGCTCAGGCGCGCCACCATCTGGGACGTGATCAACCACCCCTACTACAAGGGCAGCGGCATGATCAGCGCCGAGGGCGGCTGCGGCTCGTCTTCCACCACCACGCGCACGTCGCCGCCGGTGTCGCCGACGGGATCGGACACGCTCAGCTTCCTCCCTGATTCATCTTCATCCAGCGCAGCTACTGCGACAACTTCATCTTCGTCCTCCTGCTTCTCCTCGTTTTCCTTCTGCACCTCTCTGTCTTCGTGCACGTGCTCGACGTGCGCTACCGCCTCCTGCACGACATCGACATCGACATCGACAACCACCACGACGACGCCGCTACGCACGAGCACGCCGGCAAAGGAAAAGAAGAAGCGAACAAAGCACTTGCTCACACCAATTGCAGAGTAATGTTGTAAGTAAAACAATATCTATATTTCTCTATTTCCTGACCGCATAGTTTGCATGCCGTGAGAGCTGCTTCTTTTTTCTAATCTTCAGCGGCGATTTATTTCGATTTGTTGAATTCAAGAGATCAATCGAACAAGATAATGTCCATCCACAAGCTCGACAAGACCCACGCTACGGTGAACCTCGAGGAGGCCGCCACCCGCACCGGCACCATCCGCTCGGTGCCCTACCACGAGACCATCGCCTACCAGCGCTTCTACGCCAATGTGTTCACCAAGGCCACCGTCTTCGGCAAGAGGCTGATTCCCCTGACCAAGAACTACGCTCCCACTGCTTTCCGCTGGGGTGCCCTCGCAGGTCTCGCTGCGGCCTACGTAATCGAGCCTTCCTTCCTCACGAAGTACTTCACCAAGTCTGAGTCCAAGTAAACAATTGTATGCCCCCCCCCTCAATTTTCAAATCTTTCGCCAATTTAAATGTTCCGAGCGAACATGAATCAATTGCTCACCTGCGCCCCCCCACCGACGCACAGAGGCCTCGTCATCTCTCCCCTCCCTCCGCAAGGCGCTCAACGGACTTTGGTCGCTACGTAGAAATAAATAATTATTCCATACTTATTGCTACAAGTTGAGCTGTGTGCTCGTTTGGCACACCCGCCCTCTCCACTAACACGACAACTGGCAAGGCTGCTCGCCGTCCTTCTCCATGTGCACATCGCGCAGGTGTATCCTGTCCTCGGCGAGCTGTTGTTGATTCCTGTCGTAGAGGGTTAGACCAAAGAAGCCGGCGTGAGCCACAAAAGAAGCTGATGATGGTCATCAGGCGTACCAGATGTCGAGCTTTCGCTTGGCCTTCTTGGCGAGGGCGTGGAAGGCCTGCTCGACGTTCTCGCCGTCCTTGGCGCTGACCGAGAAGTGGGGCATGTCGCCGTTCTCCCTGCACCACGCCTCGGCCTTGGCATGCGACACCTTCCTCTGCTCCTCCAAGTCTGTCTGAACGTCCATGAGACCATCGTCATCACATCATCGTCTGCTGCATCAACGAGCAGTACATGACAAAAAGAACGAAGCAGTGAAGTACCTTGTTGGCAAAGACGCCGAAGACCGTGTGGTCGACGTCGGCCTGCGTGGGCATGCTCTCCTCGTAGACGCGCTTCCACTGTTCCAGCCGCTCGAGGGAGCGCGGGTTGGTGATGTCGTACACCAGGATGCACACGTCGGTGCCCCGATAGAACACTCGCCCCAGCGTTTCGAAGCGATCCTGCCCCGCTGCGCTCCCACCAGTTAGAATTAGAACAATCAACCACTGTGGTGGGAGGGGGTAGTAGTGATGCAGTGTACCAGTGTCCCACACTTGAAGGTAGACAATGGTGTCGTCGACCAGCAGCTCCTTGGTCAGGAAATCAGCCCCTGTGAGTGCGAAGGGAGAGTGAGCATAGGAGGTCGGTTTCACCAGACGGAGGTACGATACCGATAGATGCTCGATAGAGCTCTCTGAACTTGCCCTGCACGTACCGGCACATGAGGGACGTCTTCCCCACGCTGTGAACACCAACTCGTTATTATGTCACTCTGCCTTGATGTCACCTTGACAATTCATGAGTGGTGTGGTCAGAACGCACCTGGAGTCGCCCAAGATGAGGACTTTGAGGAAGGGCTTCGTGTTGGAGTGGGCCACAGTGACTAGGAGATGATGAGATGTTGTTGTGCGCGCAGTTGAGTTGAATTGAATGCAGCCAGGCTGGTCTCATCCACAAACAGTGGTGCACCCTTTCATCGAACAAAAGCAGAAGTTTGCAGAAGCAGCTGCCCCATCGTGACCAAAGAGCAGCATGCTGCACGTTTGCTGCCCCTTCGGCAGGTGCGGCTTCCCAAAGCTGACCGCGTTGGGGCACGTATCAGGTTTGGGCAGCGCACGTTCCAGAAGTCACTCCCAGCCAGCGCAGGAGCAGCTTCGCCAACCTGATCTTCTCCTGCACAATTCGTGCACAAGCCTCCACTCCCTGGTGTGCTGTCGGCTTTGCCTTCCACGTTCGCGCCATCATTCTAGACTGACCCCTAGGGCCACTCTACGCCTTCTCAGCCTTCGATCGTGACTAAAGGAGGTATTATTCCAGAATCCACGAATGCTACAACCTGTGCTCGTTGGAGGGCTGCCACGAACTAACACTGGCAAGGCTGCTCGCCGGTGTCATCCGCGTTCACGTCGCTCAGGTAGGTCCTGTCCTCTACGGGCTGTTGTTGATTCCTGTTTACGGCGGAGAGACGCTGGTTAGACCATCTGCTCATGAGGCATTGTATGATAAGATGCCGGCGTGGGTTGTAATAGAGATATACCACTCATCAAGGATTCGCTTGGCCTTCTTGGCGAGGGTGTTGAAGGCCTGCTCGACGCCATCGCCGTCCTTGGCGCTGACCGAGAAGTGGGGCATGTCGCCGTTCTCCCTGCACCACGTCTCGGCCTCGATCTGTGACACCTTCCTCTGCCCCTCCATGTCCATCTGCACGCACACGAACAATCCTCGTGGTTAGGCGCATATCGACATTGTTCAGCGTCGTCTGCTGCATCAACTACACCACCATAGTACAAAGCAGTGAAGTACCTTATTGGCAAAGACGCCGAAGACCGTGCGGTCGACTTCGGCCTGCGCGGGCATGCTCTCCTCGTACATGCGCTTCCAGTGGTCCAGCCGCTCGAGGGAGCGCGGGTTGGTGATGTCGTACACTAGGACGCACACGTTGGTACCCCGATAGAACGCTCGTCCCAGCGAGTCGAACCGCTCCTGTCCCGCTGCGCTCCCACCAATGTCACAGTTGAGGAATAACACCGGGGGGGGGGTAGTTGTGGCGCAGTGTACCGGTGTCCCACACTTGGAGGCAGACCACGACGTCATCTATCAGCAGCTCCTTGGTCCGGAAATCGGGGCCTGTGTTGTGTTGGTGTGTGAAGAGGGAGGGTGAGTGTAGGTACCCCAAGCCTCGCACATCACCAACTGCTGTTGCAGACGTTGTGGGTGGCACGATACCGATGGTAGGAGCATAGTTGCCGAATCTGCCTAGCACATACCTGCGCTGAAGGGATGTCTTTCCCACACTGCACCACGACAACATTGTAAAACGTGTAAACAGTACTAGTCAGCCACACATTGTCCCACCACCGCGTAATGTTGTTGGCATTCTTTCCAGCACGCTCTCTGCATGGAATGCCCAGAGTAAACGCACTGGGAATCGCCCAAGGCGATTATCTTGAGGCAAGGCTTGGTCTTCGTGTTGGCCATGGCTGCTTGAGTGCAACCTTGTGTGTCAGGCAGCCACCCTCAGTTCATAGAACAGAGAAAGGCAGAAGTAACTGCCCAAGCGTGAAATTGAGCACGTTTGCTGCCCCTTGGACAAGTGTGGCTTCTCAAAGCTGACCAACCCGATTCACAATTCACGTTTGCGCTGGCCACGTTACAGAAGCCACTCCCCCGGTCGTACCCCCCGGCTGTATCGCCCCTTGCACGATTCGTGCACAAATATTATAATAGATGGCGCCAAATAACTTAGGCACTTTGCTGACGAAGTTCACGGCTCGCCGAGATCTTCATATCCACACAGAGCAAGGCCATAGAAAAGGAGAGAAGAGAGCAAAGGTGCTTCTTAGCTTACACCGGATGAAGTTCGTGCTGTGCGTCGTTTTGCTGGTGGCCTTCCTTGGCCACTTTGCCGCGGAGGCCTACATCGCCCGGAGCAGTGCCTCCTCTGTCGGGCGCGATCTGCCCAAGGAGCAGTGGTACACCCAGGTATGGCCGCCCTCTCCGTTGATTACATCTTCAGCGCTCCTTGGGCATGTAAGATTCAATTTCTCTTTTTTTTTCTGTGATCACAGAGACTGGACCACTTCAACGGCCAGGAGACTCGCACCTGGTACCCTCCCACAGCGTTTCTTTTTAAAAGCATTAATCAGTTCGTTGGAAGCTGTAGGAGCGGACTCTAACCACGTGTACAAACAGGAAGCAGCGTTATTTCATCAACGACACTTTCTGGAACCCTTCTGCCCCCGGCCCCATCTTCTGTACACCCTCACCCTCTCCCATCCTTTCTGCTGCTCACCCGTCTGCTGACTATCATATTCGGTGGTTGCGGACGACGATGTTGTTGTTGTGCCACACCACAGTCCAAATGGGCGGTGAGGGCGCTGTGAGCGGCGAGGACGTCGTGCTGCTCCAGATGGTGCAATACGGAATCAAGCACGGTACGCTCCGGCGTAGTCCCTCTTGCACACGCGCGTACGACGAGTGCTCAGTGTGTGTCTCACCTGCAACGCACACCACACCACACCACATCACGCACGCACGCATGACACACGCACACGACGACAGGTGCGCTGATGGTCACGCTGGAGCACCGCTTCTACGGCACGAGCCAGCCTCTGCCCGATCTCTCCATCGAGTCCCTCCGCTTCCTGTCCTCTGAGCAGGCGTACGTCACCTCACCTCCCTCCCGCGCCTACGTGCGTGCGTTCGCTCATCACCGGCTTCATTCACCGACACCTTCTTCTTCTTGTTGTTGTTCATGTTGGTGTTGGTGTTTGCTCTCTCCCTTCTCCTGCCCCGCAGTCTCGCCGACGCGGCCGAGTTCCTCCTCTGGCTCAAGGACCAGTACCAGGCGCCCAAGTCGCCCATCATCACCTTCGGGTGCTCCTACCCCGGTACGTTCGCAGCGAGAGCCCATTGCGCAACAACGCCCCACCGAGCCCGCTCTGCCATGCAAAACTCACAAAAATGGCTTAATTTTTTATGATTATCTTTTATTATTATACTTTATTTATAATTTATTTCTCACATATACTTTTTGTGCTCCTATCGTGGCGCTGTATAGGAGCGCTGGCGGCGTGGTTCCGTCTGAAGTACCCGCACGTGACCTACGCCTCGGTGGCTTCGTCTGCGCCCGTGGAGGCCACCCTCGATTTCTTCGAGTACCTCGACGTCGTGGACCAGTCCCTCGGTGAGTCCCCTCCCCGCCTTCTATTCGCCGCCGCCGCCGCCTGGGCAAACGTCGTCAGCTGACCGAGCGCCCACTTCCCTCCAGAGTACTTCGTGGGTGACAAGTGCGTCGCCAACATCAAGCAGGCCACCACCGCCGTCAGCCAGCTCATGGCCAGGTACGACACACGACACTCAACACACGAACCCAAGTCGCACACGCACCACCGCACACGCACACCGCCCGCGTGTGGAATGTTCTTCTCAATGTTCATCTTACGCGTGTGAGCAGCCCCGGCGGAAGGGCCAAGCTGCAGAGCCTCTTCAACTTCTGCGGGCCGATTCAGAACGAGCTCGACATTGCCAACTTCTACTCCTCCCTGGCTGGCAACTGGATGGGCACCGGTACCGCCCCCTCGCACACGCATCGCAGCTCACGAACACACGAACAAGAACACACGCACACACGCACACACGCACACACGCGCACACGCGCACACGCACGCACACGCACACGCACACGCACACGCACACTACTTGTTCACTCAGTCGTCGTGTGGTGCAGTGCAATACAACGACGAGAACGGCAACCCTCTCGACGTCATCTACGTACGCGCGCATCTTGGTCAGGCTTCATACGTGGATCATGCTAACGTCAGTGCTCTCTCTCTCCTCCCCTGTGTGTTTCGTTTTCATGTTGTGATTCTGCAGTTGTGCAAGATCATGACCCAGCCCGGCGTGGACCCCCTCACCGCCTACGTCAACATCTCCAACATCTTCCTCCGCTCTCAGGACGTACGTTCGCCTGACCTTTTTTTAAATTTTTATATAATTTAATTATACTTATATTTTATTATTACTTTTTGTGCAGCAATCGTGCTTGGACGTGTCCTACGCCGACGCGATCGCCCAGCTGCGGGACACCAGCGCTGCCGCCGCTGGCGTGGGCATCCGCCAGTGGGTCTACCAGACCTGCACCGAGTTCGGCTACTTCCAGACCTCCGATTCCGGTACCGATCGCCCCGCAGCGTCGGTGTCGTTTCTCTCCTCTAACTCGCTTGCGCCCACCCAGATGGTCAGCCCTTCGGCGACGGCATGCCGCTCAAGTTCTCCCTCGACCAGTGCCGGTACAATTATTATTTTATATATTATTTATTATTTACTTATTTACTTATTACATTAATTTTATTGTGTTTTTGTTTTTGTTTTACTTTTACTTTTATTAGTTTTTGACGATTGAGGCATTGACCGGTTGTACCGCACTACGCAGTGATGCGTTTGGTCTGATCGACCCGCCCCGAATCAACGCCACGAACCACATCTACGGTGGCAGGAACCTGCCCGCGTGGGGACCGTCCAACATCCTCTTTGTCAACGGCAACATCGACCCGTGGCATGCGCTGTCGATCACCAAGAGCATCTCGCCGTCCCTCACCACCGTGTTCATCAACGGCACCGCCCACTGCGCCAACGTGCTGCCCGCCCACGAGAACGACCCGCCCAGCCTCGTGCAGGCCCGGAAGGACATCCAGGCCCAGATCGACCAGTGGCTCGCCCAGGCCAAGCGCCAGTTTGCCTACTAATCCTCTTACCGTCACCCCTGCTACACCACCACATGTGGGGCTTTTCTTTCACGCAGTGTTTATGTTGCGCTCGGAGCAAATACATCATTTTATTACTATCATCATTTTGTATTTGCCTCGCGCTGCTATTGTACGGTTGGTAAGTTTCGAGGAGTCGTAGCCCTTCGTTCTTTCAAGGCTTGCGGTCGCGCACGCCGGTCACTGCGCGGAGGAGGTGTCGTCATTGTCGGCCGCGCCGTCTTTTTCTTCGTTGGCTGCGGCGGGCAGGGCCTCCTTCGATTTGCTCTTGGACTTCTTGCGGGGCGACGACGGCACGACGGTCGTAGTCTTCAACGAACTGTGAGAAATGCACAAAACAGGTGAGTAACCGCACACGCCGCACACGCACACACGCACGCACGACGGCACGCACCTTTCAAGGCCTTCGGGGCGCTCGGCCATCTTGGGCAGAGTGCGGCAGGAGGTGGTGCGGAATCGGGGCTGGCAGCCGCCGTTGTCGACAGCGGGGAAGCTGAGGGAGGAGGTGTAGGGGCTGTTGGGCGCCGACGCCGGGCCGCCGATCGGCTTCTTGCGGGGCGACACCGGCGGAGGCGGGCCGTGTGCGCCCGGGGCGGGCGCCGAGTGCGTCAGGTCCGGTCGTGGCGTGTCGAAATAGTTGCCCTGCGCTCTCTCCCCTTGATTGTGTCGTGTCGTGTCGTGTCGTGCGTGTGTCAGCCTCACGGACGCCACGAACGCACCAGAGCTCAAGCGTTTGACGACGACGCACCTTCCAGCTGCTGGGCGGCCTGCTGGGCGAGGCTGACGCTGCTCTTCTGCCCGGCCGGCACGTAGACGGCGGCTCGCTTGGGCACGTCGTTCTGCTCACCCCACACAACAGCGGCCCAGTGAGCGGATGGAAAGGAGGAGAAGGTGGTGGATCTGCGTACGGTGAGGGACTGGCCACGAGGGCGAAGGGCGGCCGCTCGGAGCGCCGCGATCTGAGGCGAGCCCAGCAATTCGTTGGCGGCCTGGTTCAGCTCTGAACACGTGTGTGCGTGCGTGCATAGAACGAAAACGAAAGAGAGAACGAAAACGAACGTCGTTAGCGTGTCTGTCGCCCGGTAGTGTGCTGTGCCGTGTGCTCGGTGGTGTACCGATGGTGGAGATGGCGCGCTTCAACTCTCGTCCCTGCATGCCGCCCTTCTTTCGCGTCAAGCTGTTGATCAGATCTGCACCCAGCCACCAACCAACCAGGCGTGAGCAATTAATTTCTCATTTTATTTATTTTAATATAATAATGTTACGTAATTAATTGTTTTTTTGGAATAATAATAAATTAATATAAAAAATAATAGGTGGCGGGGTGAACCTTCTCGGGCGGCTCGGTCGCCGTCCATCTTCTTCTTGATGGTGGTGAGCTCGTTGACCCACTCGGTCTTCTCCAGTTCGCTCTCGGCAAAGAAGCGGATCAGCGACTCACCGAACTCAGTGTCCAACCCGAAGCTGTGCTTGTTCTCTGTGTGCACAGTGTGTGTGTCGCCGCATCAGAACACGCGCACACACCGGGCCGCACACGCACACACACAAAAAGGCGGGAAAAGAGGAACGCACTGGGGTCGTCGGGTATGGATCGCGGGACGAGGTATTTGAGTTGGAACGAGGCACGGAACTTGAGGTCCTTCTCTGCGGCCATTGGCTTTTTCCGCTTCAGCGCCGCCAATCCGCTGCCTGCACACGTGTCGTTGAGTGCCGCACTCAACGTCGCGTCTTGCGCGTGTGTCGTGCGCGTGTGTCGTGCGTACCAGTGCTCTTGGCCACGACGAGGAGGTCGGAGAAGAGGAAGACTTGGTTGGGCTGTCGCTTCTTCTGTTTGACGGACCACACGATGAGCGTGCCCTGTCGCACAAACTTGCGCCCAGGCACCACCAAGTTCTATGGCCCGTCACCACCACACATCCGCGTGAGTCGGAGTTAAAATGTCCATCGTGCGTGTTCGGAGTGGTAGCTCGCTTCTCTTTTGAGTGTGTTACGGAGCTAAAAAAGTAGGGGGTGAGAGGAGCGCACCTCTGCTCTGTTGCTGAAGCGGGATTGGATGGTCGAGACCAAATGTACATGCTCCGACTCCTCGGCCTTTTCCTCGATATACGACGCCACGCTCGCGATCTGGTCCAGAGCCTGCACCAAATCAACGAATTGTTAATTCAGATATTATTAGCAACAAAACACTAAAATGGTAATAGAATAATTATAAGAATAAATCCTACAATTTACCTTTTGGAGGGATTCGAAGTCGTTGTGGTCCTTTTCGGTGTGCTTGAGGAGGTCCCTGAGGAGGAGCTGGTATCGGGGGATCCTCTGTACGGGCATGATGAGGTACGCGAAGATGTCCTTGTTCTCCAGCTTGGCCCCGTTCGACTTCTCCAGGTCCTGTGTCGCGCGCGTGGTCAGCCGCATGTTGTGTCGTGTGCGCGTGCTTCGCGTGTGTCTTATTGCACGTGCGCGCCGTGTGTCGTGTTGTGCGCAGGGTTGTGGGTACCGTGATGTAGGCACCGAACTCCAGCGAGTTCTTGCGGGCGTGGGCCAACTCACTTCGTGCTCGGTCATAGTCCTTCACGTATTGTGTGTAGACCTTCAAGAACAGGCCCTGCACCACACCACCACCACCACCAACATGTATCATGAAATATATTAGCCATCTTAATTGTTTTCTAATCGTATGAAATGCTAAAGACAGAATGTATGTAAATGTTTTTTTAAAACAATATAAACATAAAATAAAAGTATGTAGTATTGCCATGGGGGACAAAATTGCGTACGAGCTGGAGGAAGATGTCGCCGAGCTTTTGGTGTGGCGTCCACTTCTCGACGCGTGGTGTGAGGTCGCGCAGCAATTTGCCGTTGTAGTTCACGATCACCTGCAGATCGTTGTACAGTGACTTTACCTCCTTCAACGTCACCTAAAATCACACCGCACACGCACACGCACACATGCACACGCACACGCACACACACACACACACACACACACACCGCACACAGGTTTAGATGAGTGTAGAAGCGAAATAAACGATCATGGCCTAAAGGCCAGTAGTACCTCGCCGAGCTTGGATCCGTTTTTGGGTTTCCAGACGTTGTCGGTGAGGCTCTCCTTGATGGGGTTGATGAACACGCTCATGAGGAGCATGAGGTTGTTGACGTAGTCCTTCTCCGTCTGCAAAATCTCTCGCGCCACGTTCTCCCGGTAGGCCACGTCTCGCACTGCAATTAAATAAATAAATCAGCGTGTGTCGTGCGGAGTGGTGCGTGTGTCGTGCGGTGTGGTGTGAGGGTACCTCGTTTGATGTAGGCCTTCCGTGCGCGGCCGCCGCGAACCAATGCCTGCAGCAACACCACACCCCGGACCACCTTTTCGTTGGCCATCACCCCGCTCGCCTGTTGTGCCCAGTCGCACACAACGTACGCACATAACAGAGCAAATTGTAAGCATATTGTTTAAAACCAACCAATCAAACAGCGCGGCTGTGATGTGAGTGAGTGGCGATTGGGTACCGGAGCGTCGTCTTGGGCGAGGGCCTTCTCCTTGGAGGCGGTGCTGGCTGTGGTGTTGCGGTAGGCGAAGCGGGCGAGGAGGATCTCGGCCCGCTTTCGGTCGCCCTCGTCAAAGGTGATGTTCCGCTTGTACATCTCCTCCTTGGGCTTGAGCTTGAAGTAGAAATTCCATTCCTTGTCCGCCGTCTCGGCAATCGCCTCTATACACTCCCTGTGGCATGCGCGCGTTGCACGATCGGAGACACGACACGACACGACACACAACAGTGTGCGCGACACGACACACAATAGTAGAGTGATGAGTGCAGTTCGTTAAAGAGTGAAATGATATTCGCGCGCACAGCAACTGGCTGCTGAGAATTCAGCATATCGAGCTCGCGAGTTCCAATAAGTCGGTCAAATGAGAGAAGAGAGGAGGGAGTGGGAACGTACATCACTCGGGCACTGTTTCCGTGCCGGTCCAGGTCGCTCAAAGCAAAACGTTTGGTTGGCGGGATGCCACACTCTTCACAGGCCTGCACAAGACGAGACGGTCGCATAGCGAGAGAGTATGTGTCGTTTCACGCATTAGCCAAAAGAACGAAGGCCATTGACCCGTCGCTTTCGTTCTTTTAGCTCCGAATTGGCAGGAGAGGAGGAAGGAGAGAGAAGAGAGAAAGGAAGAGGAGTGCGTACCGCCAAAAAGAAGCCGATGTTTTCCTTCCGTCGGTAGGCTTGGTTGAGGTCCTTGCCCTCGTAGTACCGCGGCACCGAGCCCATTTTTAGTGACAGCATGAGTCGGCACAACAGTACACCGTCCTGCAAACGTTTGGTTGTGACGTTGGCCGACCAAACCACCAAACGCCGATAGATTAGCGATTTATGATTCTTTGGGGGATTAATCAAGCTAGAAGAGAAGATGGCGGGCTCATCTGCATCCGGTTGTTGAGTAAGAATGAAAGTGCATAGGGAATAAAGCCCTGGACTTCCTCTTTCAGGAGGTATAACAACCATCATCCAATCATACCGCCCTCCAAATCCGACATCGATTCTTTGCCATCAAACAAGAGCGAAAGCGAAGAGGGGAGCGCACCCGAAGGAGCTCGTGGAAGTGGCCGTCTTTTCCTCCTTGAGGGCGTTCAGGTCCTCCATCAGCACCTCGGCCACCCATTCCTGCACGGCCAACTCGCGAAGGAGGTACTCGTCCACATCCGCTGCCGTTACCGACGAATCCATCGTCTCTTTTGTTTTGTTCTCTCTTTTACGATTATTAAATCCTCTTTTTCGTCGTCAAACTCCTGGAGGAGAGGCAAGAGAGAAGAAGATGAGCTGAGAAGCCGAGCTGAGCTTTGTCTTCTCTCTTTCTTCGTTCTTCGTCTCCTGGACCAGCCAAGCCGGCGCCTCTCGCTTTTCGTCGGTGGTGGTGAGTTCACACGCGCGTCTCCTTTCTCGCCGGTGGCTGCGTATGACAGTTCACTGCAGCCACGCGAGCTTTGTGTCCGCGCCGCCCGTAACACAGGAGCACGCAAGGCCGAATATATTTACAATTAGTAATTAATTATAAGTAAACAAATAATCTGGTAAATAAAAAAAAGAGACAAATAACAACAAAAGAGAACAGGAGAGATGGAGGTGGTGCCGGGGCAAGAGTTTGATTTGCCGCTGGACGTGGGCGATGCCGAGGTGAGCGCCGTGGCGTTTCATCCCGACAAGCCCGTGGCCTACGTCGCCGCTGGCGAACACCTCTTCGGTTCACCCCCCTCCCCCCTCCATCATTTATCTTCGCTTCTCTCTTTCCTCCTCGTTGTTGTCGTCAAACAGCGAAAGATTTTTCGATTTAGTTTTTTATCTATTGATTCTTTATTGATTATCTATCTTTGCGAGGCAGGCGTGGCGATCTCTCGTCTGGAATTCATTATCATCACCTTCCATTCTCACGAAATGCATTTTTGATTTGTGCTGCAATCACAGCGTACGACCTGTACAGCGGCGCATTGAGCGGCAGGGGGCGGGTCAATCCGGGCAGTCGCATCCATGCGCTCGTTTCCTCGCCCGACTACCTCGTCGCCGCCACCGAAGTGCGCTTCACGTGTTGCCCCCCCCCCTCTCGACCTTCTGTCTCACTCGTGTGCGGTCGTGTGCGGTCGTGTGCGGTGTG